AAATTTTTTATTACTATTTCTTAAAAAGTAGTAGGAATATTTTCGTTTGGTAATATATATTTGATGAAATCTTAAAGTTTATATTGTTGTTATTTATTAGTTTTAATAATGGAATGATAGAATATTAGGTTTTTATAAATGATTATCATATTTGGATTTAAGTAAATTTTTTAGTGTATTGCTTAAAATCAATAAAAATTAGTAAAAAACCGAATTTTTTTATTCATAATTTAACAAATAGTAAAATCAAATTCGATAGGATTTTTTATTTAAAGGGGGTCTTTAAGTTAAATTTCCTCTTATTTAGGCCAATACAATCATAAGAAAATATTTAAATTCCCTTAAATCTTTTTATTTATAGTTATCTTACATCCATCCCCAATTAGATGATTCATTGATTTAAATTAAGAAATATTTATGTTAAAATAAATTTAAGGAATTTTGTTAACTAATGCAGATATTATAGTTTTTTCTTTATTTCAGATACAAAGAACAATAAATTAACCAAAATATGTAATTAAATTGAAAATAGTGGTATCTGGCATTAATTACAATAAAAGATTTATTTAAATCTAAATCTGAGTGGTAGATAAATAGATTAATAGAACAAATAAAATCCTTTTGTATTTTATTATGTTTTAATTAGTGATTATCAAAGATAATAAATAAATCCTTATTTTCTAAGAAAAAGGTATCAAATTTGCATTCAAACAAATTTTAGGTAAAATTATTTATTGATGAAGATTTATTATAATTATAAATTCATTTTATTATATTAAACATATTATTTATTTTTTATTTCTTACTTTACTCTCTTATTCAAAAACCAAAGAGAAATTTCTTTTCCATAAAAGCTAATAATTAAAATTAATTAATTTATTTACTTGATGATCTAATAAAGTATTGCAGTAATTAATTAGTTAACTACCACAAAATATATATTAAATAAAATTTGTACTTTTATTGAATTTAATATTTAGATTGATATTAATTAAAGAAGCCAAATATCTAATAGAAAAATATTAATATGTATGTTAACTGATTGTAAAATTCAAAACACCTTTAATGAATTATATTATATTCTTATAATTAGAATAAAAACTTAGTGCTAACAATCTCTCTTTTTAAATTTAATTAAAATATAAAGAAAACATTTTCTAAAATATGTCGTATCTCAATATAATTAATTAGTTTTGATATTAGAAATAATTAATAGTTTTTCATCTTTAATAAATAGAAAATATTTGAAATTAATTATCAGAAAACTAAAAACTTGATAAATTTTGCTGTAATCATGTAGTCATTTATCATTAAATATAATCAAAAGTTTAAACTATCAAAAATGGATTTTTAAATGTAAAATTTATCAAAAATATATATGCCTTTAAGAATATATAATTAAGAAACTGAGTAATCTTCAATCCCTATCATATTTTTTAGATAAAGGTAAAAATATTTTTTTTACTGATTATCATTATTTAACCTTTTCGGATAGTTGTTATTTTAATAATACTGATATTGATTTTTATTTAATTATGTTTAATTCTAAATATTATTTAATTCATCAACTAGTAAATAGTAATGATTAATTTTTAATTATGCGAAGTGCTATATATACCGTAAAACCCCGTTAAGGAAAACAAAGGTCTTGTGAGGTAAGAGGTAAAAGTCTTAAAATTCTATCTTTTCAAAAAAAAAAAATTGACTTTAAAATAATAAATGATTTTTTAATTAATACAAGTAAATAATGTAAAAATATAAAATAATATCAAATATATTAAATTTTATCATTTATTTTTTATGAAAGTATCTCCATACTTAACATTAGTCTTATTAAAAAAACCACAATTTATAAGATAATATCCGTTTAGGTTATCTACACCACCATCATAATCTAATCTCTGCTATTTTTTTGCTGTTTCATCATAAGTAAAGTAAGCTGATAAAACTTTTACTTCGTTGTTACTGTAATCAATAGCTTTTTAGTTATTATAGTAAGCTTTTCTTGAAATATTTCCTTTTTCTGGATTAAAATTTTCTAAAAATGAGTATAAACCTCTTAAGTATGATTATGTTTTTGGTCTTTTCCATGAAGCAATTAAAATATAATCTTAAGATTTTGTAGGATCCTTAAAATAAGCACTAAATATTGAGTACCCATTTGTAGAAGGCTCACCAACAAGTTTGAATTAATATGAAACACCTGCAACCCAAGGATAAACTAGATAACTTTATCCGCCAGAACCTTCATTTCCAAAAGCGTTAATAACTGTGTTGTTACCTTTAGATACCAAAAGAACAGAATTTTCAGGTAATATTTAAGATGGATCATCAGTTGACTATGGACTCCAAACAGAAAAAAGAATTCTTCTTTCAGATTCAGAATTCACTTACATTCCAAAGTATCCATAGTCAAAACCTATTGCCATTGCATAAGTGCCCACTGCATCCCAATACTTAGGGACATTAACTTCATTGAAGAATTACTAGATATTTTTTTAGGATTCTAGGTTGTATCTTAAATGAACTGAAGGACCTCTTCTGCCAAAATGTGATGAAAAAGAGTCATTAACATAATAAACAGAATTTTTGTTTTGAGAACCTGAGAGAATCAAAGAGTTTAACTTAGGATAATAGCCCGCTTTTTTATTTACTAAAGAATTGGTGCCTTTGAAATTTACTTCATAGTAACCAGGATTTTAAATATTGATAGTTCCTAGAGATAAATTCAAACTATCAGTGTTAAATTTTGCAAAGTAACTGTAGGAGATAGAGGGAATATTAACTTAAAGCTCTGCTGATCTCTATACTTCAGTAGACAAAAGAGAAATATCATAAGCTCCAGCAACAGCAACATAGAAGAAAAGGCTTATGATAATGTTAGAATCTTACCAATAAGACACTCCTTGTTCTGAGATATAAGCATTGGAACATTTCTATGCAGAACAAGTTTAGTAAGAGTTCCAACCAAAAGATATTTTTATGTCAGTCATTTTATTTTATTATTATTATTATTTTTATTTTTTTTAATTTATTATTAATTAAATTATAAAAGTTTGATGGGTATTTAAAATGTTATATTTAGTGAAAAAAATTCTACTTACAAATAAAAATATATGTTTTGTTTTGATTATCTATGATTTTAACATATTATTAAATTTTGAATGATAGAACATGTTTCGATCAAATTAATTAATGAATCAAAAAAATTTATAGCTTTTTTAGTAATATTTTTTTAATGGTTTGATGTAATTAAAATTAAGTCAGTGAATGTTATTTATTTAGTATTATTAATAATAATATAGCATTTTGTAACTAAAAGCTATTCTTTAACACCTTTATAACGCTTATGCTTTATTATTATTATTCTAATATTTTTTATAATTAAATAAATAAGTATTTTTTAAGCACAATAAACATACTATCCACACTGATCTACATTACATTTTAACTGAATTAAAATAAATTTTTACATTCTTTCTTATTTTTATATATTTTACTTAATTAAAATATTAAGCTAATTTGTAAATAATAGAATATGCAATAAAATAACAGATTTGCTATAAAATCTAAATCAAATATTAAAAAAAATTTTTTTAAAGTAAAAATAGCTTCTATATAATTGATTTTATTTAAATTTTAAATATTTTAAAAGACTTTAAAAGTAAAAATAATCCTTTAAATAAAATAAAAATCATGATAATTAACCTTTATTGCAAGAAAAGTTTAATAATTCTTTTAAATCTATGATTTATGCTTGAATAGATTTTAACAATACTAGAACTTATCAAGTTTAATTAATTACTTATTTATGTAAATTTAATTTAAAAGAGTAAAAACATTAATTGCAATTTTTTAAAAAGTGGTAGGAATAATTTAGTTTAATAATGCATATTAAATAAATATTTTAAATTTATTTTAATTTATTTATTAGTTTTAATGAACATAAAACTGTAAATAATTAATGGTGGTTAAACTAACATTTAAAAAGAATAGCATTTAAGTCATGACAAATATAAAGCAAATGTTCATGAGTTTAATTGGTAAATAAAAATGTCTTTTCAAAAAATATAAAAAGCATTGCTTTTAGGTTTTAGATTAGATGATCTATTTTAAATTAATAATTATGTTTATGTTAAATAAATTTTAAAAAATTAGTTAATGCATTAAATAAAATTGCTTATTTTTCTTTAATTCCGATGTAAAGATGTTTGAATTTACCTAAAAGGTGTAATTAAATTAAAAGTAAGGGCGTTTAACATTAATTGTAATTTAAGGTTTACTAGAAATCTAAATTAGAGTGGCAGAATATACTTATAGAACAAATAAAAATCTATCTATATTTAATTATGTTCTATTTAATAATCTTCATTAAATAATAAATAAATCCAGTATGGGCTTAAAGATGATTTCTTTTAATATGAATAACAAATATTTATCATTATTATAAAACAAATTTAATAAAAAGGGAAAAAATATTTTCATAATAAAATATTTCAAAAAGTTAAATTTTTCCTAATTTTTATTTTTTTAAAAGTTTATTTGGGATTAAGCAATTTTTCATGCACCCTTAATTAATTTAAAAATTCAATTTAAACTTAACTGAAAAATATATTTATCCAATTAGATATACTGGTTAATTAAAGGAAAACAAATTAGAAATATAAACAATATTTTGATGTTAACTCTCTCTCTTAAATTAATAATCACAGAATACTCCTAATTAATTAGATTAAGAATATTAGAATTTTTTTCAAATATCTAAATATTTAATTTATTTTTAATAGAATATATTATCTTAAATCAATGGATAAAATATTTTTTTTTATGTTTGTTTTATTAAATTTCAAATAGTTTTTTAAAATCCAAAAAAGATTTAATCTATAAATATCCTAATCAAAATAAGAAAACTATTAAAGATAGTGAATTATTTTAATAATTTAGAAATAATAAGCAAGCTATGTAAATATATAAAATAACACCTATTATAATAAATTTTATCATTAATTTTTTGTGAAAGTGTCCCCTTACTAAACATTAGTCTTATTAAAAAAACCGCAATTTCTTAGGTAGTATCCCTTTGCATTATTTACACCACCATCATAATCTAGTCTCTGTTTTTAATCAGCTGTATTATCATAAGTAAAGTAAGCTGATAATACTTTGACTTCTTAGCCTGTGTAATCAATTGCCTTTTAGTTATTATAGTATACTTTTCTTGAAATATTTCCTTTTTCTGGATTAAAATTTTCTAAAAATGAGTGTAAACCACTTAAGTATGATTATGTTTTTGGCCTTTTCCATGAAGCAATTAAAATATAATCTTAGGATTTTGTAGGATCCTTAAAATAAGCACTAAATACTGAGTAACCGTTGGTAGAAGGCTAACCAACAAGTTTGAATTAATATGAAACACCTGCAACCCAAGGATAAACTAGATAGCTCTGTCCACCAGAACCTTCACCTCCAAAAGAGGTAATAACAGTGTTTTTACCTTTAGAATCTAAAATTACAGCATTTTCAGGTAATATTTAAGATGAATCATCAGTTGACTATGGACTCCATACAGAAAATAGAATTTTTCTTTCAGATTCAGAGTTCACTTGCATTCCAAAATATCCGTAATCAAAGCCTATTACCATCGCATAAGTACCTACTGCATCCCAGTATTTAGGAACATTAACTTCATTGAAGAATTGCTGGATATTTTGATCAGATTCTAGATTGTATGTCATATGTACTGAAGGACCTCTTCTACCATAACTCGATGAGAAAGACTCCATGACATAATAAAATTCATTTTCATTTTGAGAATTTGAGATAATTAAATAGTTTAATTAAGGATAATAACCAGTTTGTTTATTTAACAAAGAATTAGTACCTCTAAAATTTACTTACAAATAACCTGGGTTTTAAATTTAGATGGTACCAAGAGACAGATTCAAGCTATCAGCATCAAATCTTGCAAGGTAATTGTAGGAGATAGAGGGTATACTAACTTAAAGTTCTGCTGATCTCTCCACCACAGTAGACAAAAGAGAAATATCATATGCTCCAGCAACAGCAACATAGAAGAAAAGGCTTATGATAATATTAGAATCATTCCAATAAGACACTCCTTGTTCAGAGATATAAGCATTGGAACACTTCTATGTAGAACAAGTTTAGTAAGAGTTCCAACCAAAAGGTATTTTTATATCAGTCATTTTATTATTATTATTTTTTAATTTATTATATTTTAAAATATTCAAATTTGGATGGTATTTAAAATAAAGTTTTAAGTTTAAATAAATTGTATTTTTAAAAGTATGAATATATAATACTTATATAATAAACCTAATTTACGATTAAATTTAGAACAGACTGACAACAAATTATGAGCAAATTAAGGAAAGAACAAGAAAATACTTTTATTTTTAAATGGATTTTCTAAAATTATTTTTAAAAACTTAATATATTTAAAATTGAAACATGTTTCATACATTTAAAGTATTAAAAAATAAAAGAAAAATGAGTCTGTAACAAAAATAAAAATAGTGGTATCTGACCTTAAATGAAATAAAGATTTCAATAATTATTCCAAAAGTATGAATAATGAATGCTTGAATAGATTTTCAATCAAATTATATGCTAAAATTCTAACTATACCAAATTACATATTTATGTAAATTCAATTTAATGGTAATAAAACTTTTATTACAATTTCTTTAAAAGTAGTAGGAATATTTTTGCTTGGTAATTCATATTTAATGAATATCTTAAAATTTATTTTGTTGTTATTTATTCGTTATAATCATAGCATGATTGAATATTCAGTTTTTAATAAATGATTATCAAATTCGGATTTCAGTAAATTGTTTAGTGTTTTGTTTTAAATTTTGTAAAGATTAGTAAAAAACTGTATTTATTTTACTCATAATTCTAATTCAATAGGATTTTTTATTAAAGGGGGGTTTCTCAATTAAGATTTCATCTTATTAATACTAATACTTCGATATTATCAAAATAACCTATATATAGTAAATCAAAAATTTTCCATATAAAATCCTCCTCTTACATGTCCCTTAAAAATGGCATCCACCACAGATTAAATGATCCATTTTAAATTAAAAAAATATTAATTTTAAATTAAGTTAAGGAACTCGCTAATGCATGAGATATTATTAATTTTTTCCTTATTTCATTGGCAAAGTTGAATGAATTCACCATAAGGTGTAATTAAATTCAAAAATAGTGGTATTTGATATTAATTACAATAAAATATTTATTGAAATCTAAATCTGAATGGTAGATAGATAGAATAGATTTCTAGAACAGATAAAATCCGTTTGAATTTTATTGTGTGTTTTAATTAGTGAATATCATAAAGATAATAAAAAATCCATATTTTTCTAAGAATTATATCAAATTGAAAAATAAAATTAATTTCAATAGGATTGAAACAAATTTTAGGTAAAATTATTTATTGATGAAGATTTAATTTATCTGTAAATTCATTTTAATATATTATTTATTTTTTGTTACTTAATTTGCACTCTTATTCAAAAAGTTAAAATATCAATGAGAGATTACTTTGGCACAAAAACCAATAATCAAAGTTAAAAGTAATTAATTAATTTATTTATTTAATGATCTGATAAATTATTGCAGTAATCAAATAGTTAATTACCACAAAACGCATATTAATTAAAATTTGTACTTTTACTGAATTTAATATTTGGATTGATACTAATTATAAAAAATCAAAAAAATAGCTTATAGAAAAAACATTTGAAAACATTAACATACATGTGCTGATGGAAATATTCAAAATATCTTTAATGAATTATATTATATTCGTATATTTATAATAAATTCTTAGTCCTAACATTCTCTCTTATTGATTTGAACTAAAATATAAAGAAAACATTTTCTTAAGTAATTTGTTTCTTAATATCACTTCTTTTGTATTAGAAATAGTGTATTGAATTAATGGTTTTTCATCAATAATAGAAAATATTTCAAATAAATTATCAGAAAACTAAAGTTTTGAATGTAATGATGTAAGTTTTTACCACAAAATATAAGTATAAGTTAACACTAACATAAATTAATTTTTAAAAGTAAAAGCTATTAAAAGTATGCATATATTAATAAATAATTTGAGAAACTGAGTAATCTTCAACTAAAAATCAATCACAACCATTCCTATCATATTTTTTAGACAAAAAATCCTAAAATTTTTTTTTTTACTAATTGTGATTATTTAACCTTTTGGGATAGTTGTTATTTTAATAAGACTGGTATTGGATTTAAAGTGATTTTATAAAATTTCTTATGGTGAATTATAAATTATTCTATTTTTTTTCCCCTATTATATAAATATTTTTCCAAAAATAGCTTTATTTATGATATTCAAAGGAATATTTTATTCGTATTCATCATAGCTAACATTTAACTTCATTATTTTCTTCTTTATTTTCTTGTTCTGCATTAATATTTGAAACTAATAGTCTAAAAAGTCCTAATTTTTGTTTTAATAAGTAGCTAATAATTTAAATTTTCTTTTTATTTCTCGATTCTTTTCTTTTCAATTCTTAATCATTAGACGTTTCAAGTTGTACTAACAAAATTTATTTTAATTTTCACATTAAATCTTTCTTCTAATTCCTGAAGAACTTCTTTTTGTAATAGTTTTTATTTAAAATTCAAAAGTTAATGGATTTTTTTCTTCTTTATTTTGAAAACATCACATAGATATATCATATCGAGATGGTGGTATTAAAAAATTTTTAAAAACTCTATGTAACGTCGACCCTTACATTTTTCACTTTTAATTTAAGATTTTAAGTTAAAATTTTAGGATCTTACTTAAGGAGAGTGTCTTAAACTGAAGGGAACATTAAATAAGTATATATTTAATTAGATGAAATTTAAGGTGATATTGAAAGGCACGAAAGGAAAGAAAGTCAAGCAATGTTTATTAGGTTACAGAAAGATTGAATTCTTTTAAAAAAATATTAGTATTTGTTTATTAATAAATTAATTGATTCAAAGAAAATTCAATCCACCTATTAGTTAAATTTAATTTCTTGAAAATATAAAAATAATTGAATAATTTTTAATAATTTTAATAATAGAATTTTATAATAATTAATCACAATAGATATCAAATTTATTTTCTAAAAACTGAATTGTTTTTAGAGATAGTTTGATTAATTAATTTAATAAAATTAAGAAATATTTTATAAAAACTAAATATAGATTTAAAACGCTTAAAAAATAAATTTAAATTAAATTCGAATTAATTAATTTCTATTATTTTAAATTAGGTTTATTTGATATGTTGAAATAATAAAAGATAAAAACAAATAAAAAAACATTTAAAAGGACAATTCTATTAAAAGGTATAGAAAATAGTCTAGAACTTTAAATATATAAATTCACTTTGTAGAAAAACAGATAATAATTAATAATTAAAAATGATTGATTGATTGACTAAAATATCCTCAATTAAATTTGAAAATTATAAATATAAAAAAACTAAATGGTATTTGTTAGTTAAATAATTAAGTGAGAAGTTCGTTTCTTTAATTAATAAATAAATTTATTTGATTGATTATAAATATAAGTATTTTTAATGTAGTTGTTACTTTTAATGAATGAGAAGAAGAATATAATTTGATTTAAAAAAACAAATTTCTTGAATATTGGGAATATGTATGTATGTATGCATGTAATATATTCATATATTTGTATTTATTTTTTGCTATACATCTAACTAAGCATTTGCATTGAGGAGAGAAAAAATATATCAATAACTTAATCAACAGTAAAGCTTTTTGGATAGTATTTCTGAATTAAAATAATGTGTTAATTTATTATTAAAGAACTAAGAGTAGCAAATAGTATCAAAAATAAGCAAAAGAGGAAAAGCAAATAAATAAATTACCATTAAAATTCAAAAGGTTCAATAAGAAAATACTCTATAAAAAGGATTAATTAAGACTTAGATTTATAAAAAGGGGTTTATATAATAGATTAATATTGATTTATATTGAAAAAATAAATGCAAGAAGAGTAGCAAGGTGGTGGCGGATAGCGCTATATTACTATGGGATCAGTTATATCTTTATCCCATCTTGAAGATAACGATTCGTTCATTTTTATAGATGGTCATATCAAGCAAAAGGTTATGGTGAGAAATTTTGGGTTTCTTTCAGGCAAGCTGAATGATGAAAATTTTGGACAAGCTGGATTTAATGTGAAAGAAGATTATTTGGCTAAAAATCTTAAATTTTCTAGTTGCCTCTTTTAAATTTTGCCCAAATTATCAGATAAATAAAAAGATGAAATACTTTCAAAGACTAAACCCCCTGAGGATGAGACTAGCCATTCAGATGATGAGGGAAAAGCAAGTAATTAGATAAAGGCAAACTCACGTGCATAAGGTAGCAATACAGGAAGTAATTAATTTGACACTGTTAAAGAAGTAAATATAAATGATAATGATGATTATGAGAGTTCATATAAGAAGCCTGCAAAGAAAACTAGTTTAGATAAAGACAAAGTAATTCAGCTACAAGGTAAACTGATGAACGAATTTAAAGCTAACTACGAAGCATTTGAAAAATACAAGCACAATCGTATAACATATAATTAGACAATTCAACTTATGCATGTTAATTCTTCTAAATTTTTGGCTTGCTATCCTATTGAGGCTAATATTGAAAAAGGAAACTACAGAGTAACTTTAGATGACTATACATCTGAAAATACTCTCTTTAGAATAGTGCCTGCATTTAAATATTAAAAAGATGGTGATCTCGTAATAAGCTTAAAAATTAATCTACTTTTTTTTTTCATTTATTATTTATTAAAATGTCAAAGCTAAACATGTGTGCGGGATTAAAAATTTAAGCAACATTAACTTATGCTAAAAAATTGATGATTTTCTATAGCTAAAAAAAAAAATAATTAAGAATTTATAATTATTTAAAAGGATTTAACTGATTTTATTGTTTTTAACAAAAGACTATTTATGCAAATGAAATCATTGTAATTGAAAGAGTCAATTCCTTCCATAATAAAAAGTCGATACTCCATTGCTCTGAAGAAATAAATTAGATAAAATAGATTTCTTTTTTAGAAACAAAAAGTCAATTTAAATAAATTGAAGCAAATTTTGTAAATCTTATTTATTCAAAATAAAAAGTTTAAATTCATTTTTTTTAATATACAAAATGAAAGAAAAAAGCTGATACTGTTTAAGTGAAGTTGCCATTAAGAGTGGAATAGCATTAGCATACCAAAAAAGTGTTAAAAAGAGAAGTTAATATTTCTATAGAAAACGAAACAGACCCTACAAAGTGGAAAGTTAATTTATTTTCTTATTTGATGGAAAGCTAGTAGAAATTTTTAAAATGTGGAGATGTTATTTGGCTGCATCACTCAGAAGCAAATGCTTGTTTAGGTGCTACCAGAAAGAGAGAGCTTAAGGATATGAATTAAAATGAATGGCATTATATGGATTCTAAAGAGAATCTTTAAGTTAGTATTGTTCCATCTGATATCTCAACAAACTTGGAAGAATATTCAGGAAATACATATGGAATGTGGATTATTGAAAAAAAGAATTTCAAAGTTGGAGGTTATGTTTAGTTTGACAACTTTTATCGCTTAAGACATCTCAGCAGTGGGCTTTATCTTTCAGTTGAGAGTAATCATAAAATTAATAAATATTTTTTTGAAAATGTATTTAATATATTTAATTAAAAGGCCCTCACAGTGATAATTCATAAGGTATTAGAAAACCAGAAGAAGTACTTCAAATGAAATTAGTGTACATCCCATCAGAAAGTTCACTATTTTAGTTTGTAAGCTTAGAAACCAACCAATTGAGCCAATAGTAAAAAATAATAAGATCAGATTCATTTGTTCAGCTACGTCATGTTTTAACTCAGACATGGATTGATATTTCTCAAAATTAAGAGATTAAGCAAAAGTTAAAAAAGCATAAAACTGGAACTAATTTAGCTTCTGTTTAAGATTTAAACCAACCACCATAAGTACAAGATTTAAATCTAATTAAATAGGAACCTTAAACTACCTCAATCAGACCTTTCTTGAGTTAAACCAGAAGTGAGAATTAAGTAAGCTAATTAATTTAATTTGATCTCTTAAGCATGCATAATTAAATTTAATTAATTCAATTTTGAAGTTCAACAATATTTAAACAAATAATAAAATACTTTTTATATTTAATTGAGAGATTGTAAGCATCCAATTCTGATTAATAAAATTATTATTAAAATAGGTCTTTAAACTTTTTACTGCTAACGAAAGTGATGTTTGGGAAATAAATTATATAAACTCTTCGAGCAAAGAATTGACGAAACTTCTTAAGAATATTTAGAAATGTTAAGTTTAAAATTTACAAATAAACTAAGAAAATCCTGTTCAAAATTTAAATATAACCTAAGCTGATTATTAGAAGATTAAATTTATGAAAAAGAAATTAAATAAATTGATTGTTTAAATTAAACATTTAAATGAATTTTGTAATAACCGTATGCATAACAGTAGTTTTGATTAAAAATATGGCTCAATCAATCATTATAGACAGAAATTACTTAGAGAATAATATTATATCGATATTTTGACTTAGCTTTTGAATATCATTTTTGAATAGCATGAAATAGAATATTTAAATAACTTGGATGACACTTTTGCTGAAATGAATGAAAGAAAGTAATAGCTAAAGTATAAACAGAACAGAAACAGCAGAAAATCATTTGCCCTTTCTTACACTGTACTTAAACCTTAAGACGAAAATAAATTTAAGTTCAATTCTATTGATTACATCAAATTTATTAAGCAAAAAAGATACCTTTGTATTTAAATATACAAACTACTAACTTCTATCTGTAAATAAAACTAAGACAACGAATAATACATTTATGACTTGTTTCCTTTATTCTTGTATCACTGCAAATACGTTCCGCAAGCAATAGATTGCTTGATCTCTATTATCGGTTCCAACGAAGCTCTTCTATTAAAGATCACTGATAATCTTGTCTTAAAGCGTAAGGAAGGATCTAGGAATGTGCTCAATTTTGATAGACCAGAATTTAATGAGATTGACTAAAAGCAGTAAATTTTATTTTATTTTTAAATTAAATTAAATTCTTTAAATTTATATTTTTTAAAAGAAAGTAAAGGATTGTGTAAAAAAGAAAGACCTCTTAGCTTTTGACTATAATGCCAAATGCTCCTGAATAGTCTGCTTAGACTAATTCAGAAAACATTATGAACTTTTTTATGGATTTAGTATATGACCCTAAAGCTCCTTTAAAAGCAGATTACTACAGATTCCTTAGCTCTGTGTGCAGATTTAAAAACGATGGTATATCATTAAACTAAGAAAGTATTTATAAACTATATAAAAGCATTCAAAATCAAAATTTATATGCTTCTAACTTTGTTGAAAAATTTAAGAATGGAATTACTTTCCCTGAGGATCCTAAAGACGTAATATTTTTTATTTTATTCTTCTTTTTGTATAAACATAATCATTATAAATAGCTAAAATAATTGTATCATTAATTGACTTTCCTCTCTGATTTATCATTCGGTAGAAACTTCTAGTGGCTAAGAGAATTAGTTAGACATTTTAAATTTGATTACTTATTGAAGAACATTTGGGAAAATATTAGAACTCATTCCACTATTTCTTTGAGTAGTTGCTTCAGTAAATTAGCAATGGCATTATACATAGACCATTATCCATTATACCGCATACACAGACCTAACTTTTGCAGGATATTTCATGATGTAATTTGACCATATTACATAATAAATAGAAATAATTTTGTTAAATTTAAATTTATTATTTTAGAGAAATAAAAGCTGATTTTGTTTTTATTGGAAATAGAAAAAAATATTAAAAATACTTTCTTTTTTTTTGAAATTCTTATTTAAAAATCTTTATCAAAAATATTTTATATTATTTAGATTTATTATTAAAATTATTTAGTTAATAATTCAAATTTATTTATTGGAAAAATTAATTAATTAATTAACTTTTTTCATTTGAATAGACAAAAAAAGAGAAATACGTTTAGAGATTTTAAGCAGATTAAGTAGATTTATATCAAGGATTGCTTAACAACTTGATAAAATATTTAAAGGATATTTCTGAAAAAGTAGAGTTAGAATTTAGCAATCACCAAGCAGTACCTTAAAAAAAAAATGATAAAGATAAGGGTTAACTAGTTAGATTAGACACAGAGCAAAAAGAAACTAGTAAAGCAATGGGAGTTTAAATTTTAAATGAAGATTTACTATATTAGTCAGTAAACATGCTTAACTTACTTATAGATTTGGATGTCTTCAACATCATGAGTAGAATTTAAGACTATGAAAATATTATTTAATATTTGCTAAAAATTTTGATTTACGATAGAATGAATATAGCATTTAGCTCTACAGCATACTTTAATGCTAAAGGTATATCAGAACAAAAGTAGGATTCTAAAAAAAACGTACTCAAAAAATTAGTCAATATTGAGGGTCTCATTAAGCTCGATGATTTAAATATATTTGGTAAAAACATTTCCTTTTATTCAAACCTTAATTAACAAACATATTACATAAAACGAACTTTAGATGATGATGAAAATGATGAAAACGAAGAGGAAGAAGACGAAAACATTGATGAAATTAACAAAGCATCTTCAAAGATAGATGAAAACTAACTCTATCATAACCCATTGATCAGAAGTTACTTAAAGTAAAATCACTTCAAATAAATACTGAAATTAGCAACTTTTTAATCTATAGGATGAATTCTTTGCTTGAAAGCTAAATTTAAAGCGAAGAAGATGGAACATAACTAGAAATAAATATAAAACTATAAATATGTGATCTCTTTGATAAGCTACTTGATATGAGGCAAGACTATCTTATTGAAAATACAATTTAATGGTTTTACAGGAATATTGGTGGTTTGATGAACGAAAAAGAATAATCTAAAATAAATGATATCATATTAGATGGTATTGCTAAAGTAATGCCAGATATTCCAAAAACAGGTATTATCGAAATTGATAAAGAATATAATAAACCTAAAGAAGAAAATTCGTTGCTTAAGGTACTCTCAACTGATAAGCAAAGGCTTTATAAATTTGAAAATTTCTCTCCAAGTAATTTATTTATTTATTTATAACTAAAAACTCAAAAATAAAATGTGCGAAATTAATTTATTAAAAATTAAAAAAAATTAAACAATCTTAAGCATTATTGATTGAAATTCATTGGAAAGATAAAATATTTTATCATTTATAAATAGATCAATTTTATGATTTGGATACTTGGCTTAGTATTTCATACTTAAAGAATGATGATGAATTTAGCAATCCTTCTTTTTCTGTTTTACCATATTTAATGCAGAGCTTTATTTTAATGCACAACCCTCAACTGGAAAAGAAAAGCTTATCATTACTTATGAGGTTGTTCAATTAACGTTAAGAGCTACTATAAAACCTAAATAAGCTTGAAGTAATATTCGATAAACAAAAAGCCATCCTTTACAAAATAATGACAGAAAATATACACGAACTTACCAAACTAATTGAGCAAACAGAAGACTGGTTCGAAGATTTTATAAAAAATGATTAGACTTTTGATTAATGCGAGCCAATTAATAAAGTCATGGGAATTATCAAGAATCTTAAAAATTGCTTCTATGATGACTTACAATTAGATGAAGTTACACTCAAAATTTCACCAAATAATTCAAAGAAAATTATTGATTCAAACAAGCAAAAAATATTTAACTACTTAAAAGCCTACTAGCCAATCCTAGACTTAATCAAAGATGGTAAATCAATAAATAAAGAATTAAAATTAATCATATTTTAATTAAAAATTCATTAAAATTAAATAGGTATGCATCATTTTAATGCAATTATGTCTGATAATTCTTAGCCAAGCAAGAAAAAATAAATGGTCTACAATTTATTCAAGGACACTTATGAGTTATTGATAAATTTCTGCATGAATAATGAAGATAACTAAATCCTTTTATATGACTCAATAAATGCTTTACTGCAATATTTGCATTATGATGTTGGTTAAATCACTTTACTCTGTGAGATTTTTAGAGACAATATAAATTTATTGAAAGATAAATCAAATCGCTTTATCATACAAAGCTTGATTGATCTTATTTTGGATTACGGAAGATAACATAGAGTTTTAGATTTCTTCATAATCTTTTAAAAATGTTAAAATACTTATATATTTGATAACTAATTGCTCATTTTGAATACCTTTTTGCCAATTAATGATTTTGGCGAAGATGAATTAAAATTATTGTATTCATATCCGAAGTAAACAGGAGACAGATCCTAAATTATTTTAGACTTTAAAAATGAAGACAAAGATAACAATGAAATTTCCTTCATAGATTATTTCCTCTAAAAGAAAACAGCAAAGAAAGATGATACCTTTTTCTACCATGCAAAACTTCTAAATATGCTTCTATAAACAACATACACTCAAGTCATAGATGACAAATAAACTATTTTAAACTCTCTAAATACAAAATAGAATTTCAACATTTCTATTGCAAAGTTGAAATAAATAGACAGCTAATTTTTAAAAGATTGGCTTATTGAAAATGATAATTTCTTAAAAGAAGTAGCTGAAATCCCAGAAGAAGATGAAAACAATATCCTAAGCGCCCCAAACAAGCACGAAAATATTCTTATATTCACTCCTAATAGAAAAATGAATCAAGGTTCTGTAATTTCTAATTTCTCTTAGAAATTCTAATTATCAAAAGATGCATAATTTTCTTAGAGAGGTTTTACCCACTTAAAACCCTATATCTTAGATTTCCTCAAGAACGTTTACATCCTAGGAGAAAGCTAATCAGGTTTAAATTTATTATTTTATTTTTCTAATTAAACTATTTTTTAAATTTTTTCTAGCCACAGTATTTTACTTAGCACCTTTTTGCATTCTCACAAATTCAATTTATAAATTTTAATTAATTTTAAAACTCAATTTTAATTTATTTAATTGAAAATTTATATTAAAAATATTTTCATCCAAAACTATTAAAAAATTGTATTTTAAAATTAAAAAATGATTAAAATATCGAAAAATTATTTCATTTAGTAAAAAATATTTAAATTTTACCTTAAAGTCTAATGAAATAAATTTACTTAGCTTAAGCAATTCATATGAACTATGTAAATGTTAACAAACCTAATTAGATAGTATGCATACAACAATATTAATTAAAAATAATAACAAAATAAATTTAGATAAATTATAACAAAAAACCAAATTTTCAAATGTTAATTTCAAAAATTACTTGAGCTAATTAAGCTTTACTTAAAAAAAAAAAGTTTCTATCCTTATTAATTTTATTATTAAATTACACTTCCTTATGTTATTTAATCTTCTCAATTTTCATGTTTTATTTTCTAATAAATTGTTTTAAAGCTTATTTTTATATATAAAAAATTTTATCAATATTTTTTTAAAAAAGTGTACCAAGGTGAAATTCAACCATCTTACTAATTCTTAGAGAGAGTTATAAATTTTGAAACAAGCAGGATTAGGGATATAAAATCAGCTAATGAAACTACTGAACAATATGCTACTTATATATTTGACCATGTTATACCATTTATGCAAGCCTATTTTGATAAATACCTTTCTAATATTGTGCACTACTCAGAAAGAGACAGAAAAGATTTATTAGTAATTTAAATATATTATCAGTGTTTAATTAACAATTTATATTTTTAAAATAAATAATTTAGGATATGAAATAGTTTGCTAATGAATTAAAGAGGAACATAAGTATTTTTGATCACAAAGTAGAATTTGACTAGAATTAGAGGATAATAGAGTTTTTAAGGAGAGTATTATAAGATGATGCTATTTAAAATGATATCCTAAAAAATAAGGAGGCAATCTTTAATTTGAATGACCAAAGCGACGATCATTAAGATTAAATAGATAGTAATGTTTTTAAAAAAGATATGAACTTGACAGTCTAAAAATCAGAGAGTAAAAAAAATGAAGACTCTAATCTTTTAGTAAGAAAATATTTGATATTTTTTTTATAATCTCACAAATTAATTTTACTATAAAACAGGAAAGAAATGACTCAAAGGCTGCTGTTGTTAAGAATAAATCAGCATTTTCAAACTTAACAAATATTGCTACGAAATTGAAGAGCATTAATATTTTAAAACAATTTTCTAGTAAAACTAACCAAAATGCAGAATACGATAGTAAAATTTCTGATTATTCTCTGAAAAAGAAATGGAACTGTTTCTTGAAGTGTCTAAACTAAACAGATGAAGTTGAGAATTAAATAAAATTAGAGAAAATGGCTTTAACAGAAGCTTTATTAGAGGTAAAGTAGTTAATACCGGCTGATGTTTTCAGTTAAATAGAGCCAAAACCAGATCGCTTTGGTTTGATTAAAAAATCTATACTTTTCTTGTAGTATGCTGTAGAAGACTCTACAAATAAAGTAATTTTAAAAATGAAATATTTATTTTATACTATTAATTTATCAAATAATAGAATACAATTTAGGTCTTATTGAAAGTTCTTAGAATTATGGTAGAAAAATGCAGTGAAACTCCAGAATAAGAAGAAAAAATGCAGAATATTCTTGATCAATTAGGTGCCACTCGTATGACTCTTTATGTAATCAGTGAAAATCATAAAAATTTAGACTCAGAGTTACTTAGTGAATTTATTAAGTTCCTTTGTACTCTATTAAACGGAGGTAATAAAAGAGTGTAGAAGACAATTTATGAATTTTATATAAGTCATTAAAAATCTGAAATGATATTCAAGAGATTTGATAATATTATAAGGAAACAAATATCCTCAATAGAATTATAGGTAAATAAATATTTTATTTATTTATCAAATTTGTTTTTTTTCAATATTTTAATTTTTACAAAAAATTATTGAATTTGAAACTTAAACAGATTCTTTAAAACCTTGCTTAATAGTAGGGAATGAATGCTTTTTAAGGTTAAAAAATTATTTTAACAATTAAATAGATTTTAAAATAATTCAAATCTTTGATTTTAAAAAATAAAATTTTTCACAATATTATTTTAAAATGAAAAGGCTAAGAACTAAAAATCTAAGAAAATAATAAGTGGAGGAACTTTTAAATAAATGAGTCAAAGTGAAGGTACTGTTGATGAATAAGAGTTTAGCTTTGATAATGACATAGAAGTAAAACTGTTAGATGATGTGCTAACCTTCTTACAACTTTCTTGTGAAGGTCACTACTTAGATTTATAAAATTATTTAAGATAATAATCAAACTCCAGAAACAACTTTGATATGATTAATGCAGTTGTAGATTTGCTTAAGACCTACTATTATGAAGCAAGAACATAAGTAAATCTTAATTTGAGAAATTAGCTTTAAATATTTCTAATTCATACTATCTATTAAAATATAAAAATATTTTAGATAAATATATATAATGTAATTTTTATTAATATTTAGAAAATGTATGATAATATGTGCTAGTGTTTAGATACAATAAATGAAATAGTGCAAGGACCTTGTCCTGAGAATCAAATAGCAGTTTCTGAAGGTAAATTCTTGGAAATTGCTAATGATTTACTTACTTCTAAGAAGTAAAAGTAAGAGCAACTATTAGCTTCTCTAAGTATAAATTCTAAGTCTCCAAGATAAAGTGTTAGATGTAAATTAATTTTATTATATTTTGTTGCTTTAAAAGAAAACTATAAATAAAAATAGACAATAAACATAACAATAAAATGGAAGAGCTTGAAAACTGGCAGGTTGCCAGACTTTAAAATAAATGTTTAATTGTCGTTTTAAGTTTACTCGAATAAAGGCCAATTAATGATTCCAATATAATTATTAAAAAAATCATGAGAAATCTTTCACTACAATAATTAGAATACTAACTTGTCGAAATTTACAAGCTATATGAGCAACTTTATAAGGATGAGTATCCTCTAGAGTGCTTAGAATATCTAGATATAGATCCTGAAACTGTATCTGAAAAGAAGTAGCTTAATTTAGAGTGTGTTACTTAGAATGGTTTTTACATCACTTATTTAATCCAATACTACGTATTTCTTTTTTTTTAAATTTTATCAATAAATTGTCAATAAATTTTTATTTTATTTAGATGCTTTTTGATGAAAAACAAGAAAATATATTTACTTCTCTCTACAAGCAGTATAAAGCAAAGAAATTAAAAGTAAACCAAAATGCACTTGAAGGTTTGCTATATGGTGATCACTTGTTTGGATAGATAGCATCTTTTGTTATGAGCTTAATAAAAGAAGGTGTTAGAACTGCTAATTAAATGAAAGAATTTGCCTTGCTTTAACTCTAATTAAAAGGAGAAGAGGATGAATTAAGAAGAAAACAAGTAGAGGAAGATCTTCACAGAAAAAAACTTAAAAAAGCATTCTTGTTCTTCTGTGAGAATACGGCACACATTGATATTGTTCGTAATGGTGAAGTAGAAGTGTAAGAATTTCAAACTCAATTCAGAATTATAAAAAAAAATTAAAATAACTTTTAAAATAATAAAAATTTAAATAAAAATCAAAAGAAAATTTGTTGAAAAATAAAAATTTTGAGTTTTAATTGATTGTCTTCATAAAAACGAAAAAATTGAAATTATAAAATTTTTTTTTAATTAAATAACAGAGTCTTCTTCCATATCATGCCGTACATGCATCACTTACCTAAAGAGAAAAAAACAGATTTCCACGATGAAGTAGATCGTTAAAGTGTGAAATCTAAAGTAGAATTTTTGGTTGCTAAAGCAGATGAATTAATTGAAATATGCAAACATGAATCAAGATTAAACGTATTGTTCTCTCACAACAAGTTTATTGCTATTTTTGCTAAGTAATTTATTCGCATTTAATGTGGAGTATTTATTTTAATTTAAAATTTATCTTTCTTTATAGCTATGTTAACTTATGGAAATAAATGACCTTTACAATGACTTTGATTTTGAATATTTTCAATATGATCAGTTTTGATGCAACTTTTGGAGATAGATTAAATAATTACTTGCTTATTGATGTTTAAAATGGAGGCAGATTTACACAACAAAAAACGAAAAGAATAGTAAAAATTAATATCTTTTAATGATAAATTTAAATTGAAATAAAACTTTTTTTTAATTAAATTCAATAAAATAATTGAAATTTTGTTGCATTAAGTTGAATTTAAAAATTTTAAATAAATAGTATTTAATTTTGGGTATCATAATGACGGTATGTAGTGTCTTTGTCGTGCTTTTCTTCTTATTTAAAAATGTTCCGCTTATTATAAAAAAAACTTGGGTTGTAAGGTATGGTAAATAAAAGCCTGGTATAATCAAATAAGTGGCAACATTTGTAAAGCTCTTTTTTAAGATTTTATTCTAGTTTTTGCAGGAAATAGAGGTTATGTATTATATTGCGTATGGAGTTCTTGCTGTGCTAGGGACGTTTTATCACCCACTATTCTTTACTTTCCACTTAACTGAAATATTAATTAGATACCCTACTCTAAAAAATGTTATTAAAAGTGTCTATATTCCTAGAAAATCATTTTACTTAACATTTATCCTTTTTGTTATATTCATTTATTCGTTTACTGTCCTAGCATATAACTTTTTCTATACAGACTACTAAGGAAATTGTGATAGAATGGAAGTTTGCTTTTTCTTGAACTTTGATTGGACATTTAAGGTAAACAATTTTAGAATTTTGAAATATTTTTTTATTTATAAAAATTTAAACGTGATTAGGCAAATGGAGCAGTTGGAGGCTATTTAACTTAGAAAGAACCTGGTAATGGTAAGTAAAACTAGCAATATACTGTGGGCAGATTGCTATTTGATAACTTGTAAAACTATATATTAGTCGTTATTTTAGTCGAAATTGTCGCTGGTCTTATAGTAGAAGCATTTGAAGATTTAAGAGAAAAAGAATAAGAAAAAAATAGAGATATTAGTGATAAGTGTTTCATCTGTGATAATCAAAAGTACTTCTTATTAAATTGCTTTTACATAGATTTATTAAACTTTTTATTAATGCAAAAAAGGACGGAGTTCAATAGAAAGCAAGACAACAATGGAGGATTTTAAGAACATATAAAGCTGAATCATCATATGTGGAATTATGTGAACTTTATAGCTTATCTCCGTACCAAAGATCCCACTGATTTATCTGGTATAGAAAGCTACGTAATGAGTAAATTAGAAATGAATGATGTTACATGGTAAGTTTTTTTTAAATCAAAGTTTTTAAAATGTATATTAAAAAATAATTAGGTTCCCAATTAATAAAGCGAGAGAATTAAGTTACAATAATGAGGATGATGAAGAACAAGAGCAAGATTTAATAAGAAACATGAACAACAGTGTAATTAATTATTCAAATCTTAACTATTATCTCACCGTTTATATAAAAAAAAGCTCTTAAGCTCAGTAGAAAATCTATAAGAATTAAATAAATTATTCTCTAAATAATCTAAAAAAAAATAAAATGGCTGAATGAATGAATGAATGAATTGACTGACCGAATGGACAATCAAAAACAAAAAATGAAAAATTTTTAGCTAATATTTTAATTAATTTTATTTATTACATGACAATTATCAATTAAATAGAAATTCAAAAACCTTCTTTTATTATTTCAATTAATTTATTTATTAGCTTTTCTAATTTATTTTAATGAATAAATTAAAAAAATAAATAACAAATATTTTAATTTGAGTAATTAATTTATTTCTCATTTGAAAAAAAATTAAAATCAATCAATTTTACAAAAAGAATATTATTATTATTATTATTAATAATGAATTTTTAATAAAATTTTATTACTTTGTTGTTTTTAAATAATTTTAAAATCTTTTTTATAAAAAATTAAATGAATAAAAATTAATTAAATTATAAATAAATATTTAAATATTTTGTTTATTTAGTCTATTTTAAGATTTTAAAAATAAATAATAAAGTTTTATTACAAATTTATGCATTTTGATATATTCAATCATTTTTAATAATTCTTGCGATTAATAGGTTGTGATTTTTGTTTATAAATTAAATTATTAAGTTCCATTGTTAGATTAAAAGAAGCACTTATTATTTTCATATTAGTGAAGATTATAGTGAGTTACTATAGCCATAATTTTGGCTAAGGGGTCTGGGAGATGACTGGGGAAAGCTGAAAAGTTAATAGAGTATAATAGTTAACTAATTAATTTAACATAAATGCTAATTTATTTTTTTCAAAACCTAAATTGATAAATAACAATCGATTTATACTAATAAATTTAAAAATGTTTTAAATATAGAATATAATAATTTATTATATTTTATAATAGAATAATTTAACATAATAAAAAAAGCTTTTTTTATGATTGATTATCTTTATGTTAAAAATATTATAATTTGATAAGTTAATACCAAATTAACTAAATAAAATTTTATATTTAGAATTATCTTAAATTAATTTTTTGAACTATTATATACAAAATAATAATCAATAAAAAAAATACTAGAGTGAAATAATTTGTTGTTGTGTCAAATAAATATTAATTCTGTTGAATAAATATTAAAATCAATAAATTAATACGCTTAATCAAATATTTAGATTATTTTTGTAATGTAAAATGTAACAAGATAACTTTACAATGATTTATTGAACCATTAAAAATATAATTTTAATATTTTAAAATTAATTTATTAAATATAAACATTTTTATATTTATTATAGTTTTTAAAAACATTTATTATGTATAAATAGTCTTTATTACTAAAAGCTAAAAAAAATTAAATAATTAATTCTTATTTAGATAAATAGTAATATGAATATGAATATACCTTCTATTAACGAATTATTTATTTAGCTTGAAAATTATGTGGTGGTTTTTTTCTTTTATATCTTAAATTAAAAACAAGACTTAAAAATGGATTTTACAATTTCAATGAATTTATTTACACTTATTAAAACACTAAAATGTTTATTAAGACATTCATTATTCTTCAGATTAATTAAGTAAATAAAATACTTAAAAATTTATTTCTCAATTATTTTTTATTATTTTATCTCTTATAGTAACATTTATCTTTTTTGTAAAATTATGAATAATAAATATTTTTATGTTATTTACTAATTATCCTCTAGTTTATTAATAGAGAATATCTAAGTAATAAAATATGAATTTAATTATTAGAAAAAACTGTAATAAAAAAACAATCATTGATATTTATGAAATTTCTTGTAAATTTTTAAATTTAAAAGTGATTAAAAAACATGTCTAAACATAATTTTTAGATTACAATTTTATATTACTTTATGTATAAAAAATTAAATAAATTAAAGGTTTAGTAAAACAAGTAAAGAAACCAAAAAAATCTTGCAAATCACCTAAGTTTTTTTGTCAGATGATATGAAATGAATGAATAACAAAATTGTGCCATTCATAAAAATCTTATAATTAATTTATGATAAATTTCTTTTTGTTAGTTTGAATTTACAAAATATGCAATTAATTTATTTATATATATATGGTTTAATAACCAATTTATGCATTTATGTATTTTAGTTTATGGAAATTAATGATTGATTCACAATATTAAATAACAGTAAGCTCTAAAAAAGTGAGAATCAAAATAGAGGTCATAGATTAATTTTAAATTAATATAATTAAAAGGATATATTAATAGAAAGATTTAACATTTTTTTTATTAAAATAGCAATTAAATAATTAGTTAGTTAGTTTGAATATATTCATATTTGCGTTTATAATCTTATCAACTTTAATAAATAAATAAATACATCTTTGTTAGCAATATAATAAACAAAGTCAGATTCTTTTAGCAGGATTATTTTAATCCACTTACTGTAAATTTATAGCATTTACCACTTTCATTATGAATAACAGTTTAAGTAAACAAATCTTGAATGCAAGTGGTGGAATATTTGGAGGTGTAGAATAAAATTAAGAAAATGAGACAAATAACAACAATAAGAGAGGTTCTATATTTTCTCTTTATCATGTTCATACTAACTCACTGCTTTAGCAAAAGACTTTGACTATGTACTAGACTAAAACAGAATACTCAGATGTAAATAGATAGAAATCTGAAGTCACATTAGGAGCAGATAAAAGAAGAAAATTACTAACTTAAGAAGATTAAGATCTGAAAACACTTAACTAAAAAAAATCATTTAAGTCTTAAGATAGCAATCAAGCTTATGACTCTTCTACTTTAGTAATTTAGTTTTAAAAAGAATAAAACCAATTTTAAGCAAAATATTGAACTTAAAATTTCATTTTATATATAAAAGAGAGAGCACGAAATAGATTAAGAGGACCATGAAAAAATAGTCATAGAGTCAAATGAGTTTGATGATAGGGGAGAGATAAAGAGTGGAGCAATTTTGGATAAATAGAATTATATGAAAGGTTCATAAACTTCTTGCTAACTAATCTAGCTAAATGAAGAATCTATGAATCATCTAAATGATAACAGCCAAAGCGAAATTTCAATGTAAGGATAGCGTAGAAGTCACAATTAACTTGTGTAAGGGTTAGATAAGAATAATATAGTTTTTAGTAGAAAATAATAGAGCAAGAATAATCAAAGTAATAGCTAAAATATGAATTCATCGATTAGTAGAAATAATAGTAATATGCCTTCACCTCTTAGCAAGACTATGGATTTTCATCCAGCTGAAAGCAATCCGCTTTTTAATTAATTATAAGACATAGCTGCTTAAGACAAAAATCAAACTTTGTTAAATTCTTCTGTCAAATAAAAGTAAAACTAAGAAAATAGTAATTTGGTGGGAGAAATAACCAATCAGAATACAGATATTAAAAATATTCAAAACAGCTTCTAAGCCACAAAAAGTATAATTAAATAAGACACCAATCCTAACTTTTAACACAGGATAACATAACAAAAATCAGAATTTTTTAAGAATGTTGGGGCAGGAGTTAAAACTATCTCTAATTTTCTCTTTGTCAATAAGGTAAAAAAGAAATTCTTAAGCTTTTTGAGTATGCAAAAATTCAAGAATTTCAATTCGTTTCATTTTGAAATTGTAAACGATGTTTCTGCGTTGGAATAGAATACCAACCATTCTCAGATGTCGAAAGAAGACATCAAGTTGCAGCGCCTTTCGAAAGAGTAATTTGATGAATATAAAATAAACACTTTCGTATTCTAACCAGATAGTATAATTTTAAGTATATGGAACATCTTTGTAGCATTTATTCTGTTGTTTCTGATAATTGTAACACCTGTTGTAAGATCTTTCGAAGCAGGTTATGATGAAACAGGATTACATTTAATATAGAAATACTTTTCTTCAATAATATTTATTTTTGATATACTCATATCATTTAACAAAGCTTATTACGATGAGGGAATGATAATAACAAATAGAAAAAAAATTATTAAAAACTATTGTAAATTTAAATTCTATTTTGATGTGTTCAATATTATTTGTTGCTTTCTCTTTGAAGAAGTCAGTATTATTTTGATATATTTTGTATCTACTTTTCGTTTGGCCTAATGTGCCAAAATTTGGGACGAAATTGACGAATACCTTGAAATATCATAAAGATATTAAACTTTAGCTTAAATTTTTGAATTAATGATTCTAATCTTTCTTATAGCAAACCTATGTGCTTGTGGATTTTTCTATGTTTCTAAATACGACCATTCTAATGGTGTCAATGTAACATGGATTTCTTTCTAGAAAATAGAAAATGCAGACTTCTACACTCAATATATTTACTCTATCTATTTTGAATTTATCACTATGACAACTATAGGTTATGGAGATATCTACCCTTGCTCTAAAAATGAAAAATTGTATGTAATTTTTATGACTTTAGTATCAGTTGCAGTGTTTGGGTATTCTTTAAATGCTATAGGTGAAATAATAAGAGAAGTAAGCTAAAAGCTCTCTTCTTTTAAGTAATTCTAATTTCAAATAATTTTGATATGTTTTAATTATTTTAAATGTAAATAAATAGATAAACAAAATACGACATATCTAAATATCTAAAAAGTAGAAATATCACTAAGAAAGTTTAATTAAAAATTTATAAATATCTTGAGTATTTAAACCGTCAGGAAATAGAAGGACACTTTTTTATGAAAGGAGAAAAAATATTAAACAGAGTTTCTTAGAATCTAAGAGAAGAAGTCTATAGAGAATATTATGGAAAAATCATCTCCTAGATTTCGTTTTTCACAAAAAATTTTTCTAAAGGATTTTTGAATGAGCTGTCTCTGAATATGAAAGAACTTAACCTAGCCCCAGGAGATTATTTGTTTAAACAAGGCTCCTAAGACTGTACATTATTCTTCCTTTCAAAAGGAGTTGTTGAATTAAGTATAGCTCTATAAAATTATAAATCTGATAAATCTAATGAAAAAATTTTGCACAGATATAAAGTAAATTTTATTTTTGTAGAAATTATTTTTAATATTTTATTTTTATTTTTATATTTTAAGGGAGGTGACTTAATTGGCCATCAAGAATTCATGACTGATTAAGAACGAATGTTTTCAGTGAGAAGTTTGGGCATAAGTCACTTTGTATATATTAGAAAGATAGATTTTCTAGCTATTCTTTTGAAGTATCCACTGGATTATGTAATTATTTTATATGAAAAGTAATTCTTTTATTCAAATAAATACATACATTATTTAAATAAAGGAGTACTTCGCTTAAATGAAAGATGATTTGATATTTAAAAATTAAGACAGATTTTAAATTTGCGAAAGCTGCAAACAAGCTGGTCATAATATATTGAAATGCAAGTTATTATTTGCTAATTATAATAAATTACAACTAGTTAAGAAGTAAAATTATTCAGAGGATCATAAAGAGAGGATTAAAGTGTTAGAAGGTCCAAAAGAAAATTATTTAGAATACTCTTATTTTTTTGATAGAAACATATTTTAGGATATTTAAAATAAAGATAAATGTGAGATTGTCAGAAAAAATTAAAAAAAGAAAAGATGGGACAGGGTTACAGTTAAAGAGTTGCTTAAAAAATTCCGTAAAAAATTCATATCAGATGCCGTGAAATTAAATAAAAGGTTAAAAAACTTCAATGATAATAGTGGAAATTAAGATTATCTTTGCGAAGAGATTAACAGTGACAATGATAGCTAATCTAAATTGTCTGACCTAGCAGATTATTCCAACCATGCAATAATTAATACTCAGGCAAATTTAATAAATGCATCTTTAGGAATGAATACCCACATAAAGACTTCTACTTATTAGGCTGCAGACTCTATGACATTTAAAAGTTATTAAAAAACAGCTAATAATTCAGATTATAGTGTTAACGAGAGTGATCGCATATTTTATAAAAAGTACCCTAAAATCAAATATGAGGATGGGCAATACTTGATTTTAAGCTCTTCCTAGCATTCAAGTAGTGAAGTAGAAGAAGAGGGAGATGATGACGATGAGTTTGAAGATCCACTTGCGTTTGGGGATTATAATGATAGGTATAGGACAGATGATGAGTACATTATGCAAGATGCTAGGAAGCAAACAATTAATGAATAGCAATTAAGAAATCAGATAATTAAGAGAAATACCCAAATAAGACCAGGAACAGGAGTTTTACCAAATATTCCTTCTCCTAATAGCAGAATAGCGAGTGTAACAAACATGGACACTTCGATTTAAATTAATGGCCTTGTGTTAGAAAGTCCCAATCCAACTTTTTTAAATAACAGAATTCTTACTAATTAATCAACTAATACTAATTCATCGAGCATGAATTCAGTGCCTTTGTCTTCATTAAGTGCAGTTTATTAACAACAATATGTACAGTAAACTTCCACTAATCAGTCAAGTTCACCTCTAAATGGACCTATTGGATCAAATTCAAATATAAATTTACCAACCTCTTCAAGTTAGCTACCTCCACCTACTAACAACAATCCAACACAACCACCTACTCTAAATATTAATCAACAAATACTAAAATTAAATTATTTTGATTCTCAAGATTTTTTAGAGGAGAGTAGTCAACAGTAAACCTAATAATAATTACCTCCACCAAATAATTAGGAGTTTAAGAAGCTAACACTTATTTTACCTGCAGTTGATGAGGTATCAGAAATAAATGAAGCGTCTTCGTTTGATATGACTAATTCATACTCAAATTAACTCTCTTCTAGTCCATTAGTTAGAAAGGGCTAAAGGGAATCCTCAAAGCGTCATTAGTCAAGAAAACTCTCCCAAAATACTCTTCCAAGATAAGATTCTCTTAATACGAGCTAAGAATACACCTTAAGAAGAAAATCAAGTAGAAATGACTCTGCAACTGCTAAAATAATGAGGGACTCTTTGAATTCTAAAATGAGAAAAGTTACATACTCAGATACAGCTTTCAGAGATTAGCTTATTAGCAATTTTTCAGGAAGTAACTTACAAAATACCCTATCTAAATCTCACTCAAGAAGTAGCCGACACATACCAACTTACTAATTTGAAAGATCTAGAAGTAGACAGAGTTAAGGAACTTTCCTAAATAATCAAGCATTGTTTATTTACACATTTGATACTATGAAGGAATACAAATATTATTATCCTCACAATAATGCATCTTCAATCATAAAACAAAAGATTAAAAATTTGAAGCGTAAAAAAATTTAAAGAGGAAAGAAATTAAATTTCTAAAATACCAATGTAGGAATCTTAAAATCAGCTGCCTTGAATAATAGTATTCATATGAACAATAATAATAACATATCTAATAAGCTTAGACCAACAAGCTTTTCTGTATAAAACCAATAAATTTGAGAAAAATATACTAATTTATATAGAAAATGTGTTTAAATTAAGTAGGATTGATTGATTCAGTTTGTCAATTTGTAATAGAAAATAATAATTAAAATTTTTCAATAAACTTAAAAATAAAGGAAATAAATAAATAAATTTGTTGTGTATATAATTTGTATTAAATTATCTAAGTGTGAAAGTTATGAAATAGAATGTAAAAAATTTACTCAATACATTTAGCTTAGAAAATTCAACAATAAATTCATTTAAATAATTTATATGAGTTTTTTATATCATAAAGTAAAAATAAATATGTTATTAAAAAATAATAAAATATTATAAAAAATGAAATTTTTTCAAGAACTTTTTCAGTTTAAAATCATAAAAATAATCGAAACTTTAGTATTTCATTCTAAAAAACTTTCTCAATTTGAATTTGAATCTCATAAAATTCTAGAAATAAATAAAAAGTAAGAAAAAATGTAAATTAAAGTTAGACTTGCTTAAATTTTTAATCATAAAACAAAATATATTTTTTTGAATACAATTCATAAAGCATTTATTACCAGAATTTCAATTTAAAAATATTCTTGATATAAATTTGAAGTAAGAAAAATATGTTAAAAAATTAAGATTTAATTTGAGAAAATAAATATTATAAATAATAATAGAAAAAAAATAGTAAAGGATAATAAAATGTAATAAATATCAAAGTCTAATTTCATGCAAAAAAAGTACTTTTAAATAAAGTAAATTAAATTAAATTTGACTTGCAAAATTAAAATTAGAAATTGTTTCTTAATTTGAATATTTTTTTTGATTAAATCAATAAAAACTACTCCAAATTATTTTTTGTATCTTTTTCAAGCAAAATTTTAATTACATATTGAATACAAACAAATAAATGTATTAATAAATTTTCAAGTTTAAAAACAAAATCAAAATAATTAAAATAATTAATTAGTTTTATGAAAAATATTTTCTTTTGCAATCATTTTTGTGATAAATGATAAACATCTGAATAAGCATTTAACTTAGAATTAATAATTCAATAGAAAGTATGATATTTTTTATAAAAGATTTGCAGGTATAAGTTCTATTAAATCAAAAGGAATATTACTAAAATAATTTATCTTGAACGATTATAATACAAAATTCTTAAATTCCTGACGCATTTGATTTTTGATTATACAAATTGATTATTGTGTCAAGAATTACAAAATTATTTAAGAGATACATGCACTATCATAATAAATTAAAATTAAAAAATATGCTTTTACTTAGTAAACAGTTAGTATTGAAATTAAATAAATTATTGCGTAAATATAGTATTTTATATTAATTATGTTATCTAATTAATATTCTTTTATAAATTGCAAAATTAAGTAAATGGAAAATTTAATTAATGTCTCAAATTATATGAAAAAATATTAGATTAATAGGGTCATAAAAGATAAAATTATACTTTACTGTTATATGATAACTTGTTTTATTTTTATTAAAATTATTTGTTTAAATTTAATGAATAGAATTTTGTAGATATTTTCTCATTTATTATCAAAAACAGACAAAGATATTTTGAGGCTTAGCAAAATTTAATTTTCAATTAATAATTTGAAAACTTAATTCGAAAGCACAGACACATAGGTTCTATCTAGAATGAATAAAAGGTATTAATAAAGATTATTATTGTTCATAGTAAATTTTTAGTAATCACGTTAAATATTTTTGATGCGTAATAATTGATCTTTTTCCTCAAATTACTATTTCATAATTATTCTTTTACAGCTTAACTAAAGTTTTAAAAATAAGATTAACAATTTTTTAATATATAAGAAATAAGAAGTCTAGCTTATATAAAATATAATAAAACCTAACAGGATAAGCGAAATAGATATAATTAAAAATATCTCACATAATTCCTAAATCAATCAATAAAAAAATAAAAATGTTTGTAAAAAAAGCTCTTCAAAGTCTCCTCAACAATGCTGTTAGATTCCAGGTAACCTATGATTAACTTACAATACTCTTTTAACTTCTTAAATATTTAATTAGAATAAACAGCAAATGAGGATGAGCCAGCAATAAGTCTTCAGAAAGCATTTTGAAAATGACAGAGTTGAAGGTAATTGTAAGTTTATATTGTCAAAGAATATATTTTTTTTCATACCACGTTAATATATCCATCTAGTATATTATGCAGATTGCTAGCATGCTCGATCTTCTGCAATAAGATATCATAATTATTAAAAATAAACTTTAAAATAAGATGTAGACATTTATTTTTTACATTTTTTTTCTTAAAATCAAATAGAATTATTCATCATCACTAAAGACTATGTTGGAAGTTTAAGCAATGTCCTTGAAGTCTTCAAGTCCCATAGAATAAATTTGACTTTCATAGAACCTAAGCTTCTAAATAAAAAGGGAAAGTAAGTAAATTTAAAGTTACAAGATTTTATTTTACCATTTTTCAATTTATAAAGTAACTAAAATGTCATGTTTATATGCACCTTTGAAGGAAAGAGAGAAAATAAAAACGTATAAGAAGCATTTAAAGATTTACAATCTAGATTCGATAATGTTAAATTCTCCGATGATGTTAGCGTAGTTCCATGGTATCCAAGAGATAGCTCTGATCTTGAACACAGTAAAATGAAAAATCAAACTTCAAAAATAAAATTTTTATTAATAAATAAATAAATTAAGTTGGTGAAGAATTGATGAATGTAGTAGAAGAAAACTCTGCAGACTTCTTATAATTCACAGTAAATATTTATTTACATAAAATAATATATAATATCAATACAATAAATAAATATATAAATAAAAAAATAAATAAATGCTTATATTAATTTGGCTAATAGTTTAAAACAAAAGTAGAAATATTTTATTTATCATATGATGAATGTGGAGATAAAATAACCTTTAATTAAATCTTTATTTTATTAATTAATTTTTTACATGTTAATATAAAATAAACAAATAAATAAAAGGATCCTGAATACAGAAAAAGAAGAGACTACATTGCTCAGGTTTCAAAAAGCCATATCTTAGGTTAACCCATTCCCATTTTAGAATATACAGATTAGGAATAGTAAACATGGAGAAGTATTTATAACAAATTAAGTGTATATCATAAAGATGTGTGCACTGATAAATACTTATACCACAAATCAAAGTTAGAAAAGGAATTAGGAGTTGATAAAAAAATCCCATAATTAAGAGATTTAGATGATTATCTTAGATCTAAAACTAACTTCAGAATCAAAGCTGCTCATGGTATTCTTACTTAAAGAGAATTTTTAAATGCTTTGGCTCATCGTGTATTCTTCTCCACTTAGTATATTCGTCATCATAAGGTTCCAGAGTACACTCCTGAACCCGATATTGTTCACGAAGGTATTTATAAATAAATAAATTTAATTTTTTTACCACAAGATCTAATGATTTGTTAAAAAACTAGTTGTTGGACACATTCCTATGTTTGCTGATCCTGTTGTAGCAGACATAAGTTAAGAAATTGGTTTATTGAGCATGGGTGCAAATGATGAATAGTTAAGAAGACTTGGTAATCTTTATTGGTTCACTATTGAATTCGGGGCTTGTAAAGAAAATGGAAAGATGAAGGGTTATGGAGCTGGTATTGCTAGTTCTATTGGTGAATGCGAAGTAAAAACAATTTAGTTTAAAGTTTTTATTAAAAATTAAAAAATATAAATAGCATTTCTTAAGCAAGGACTCAAGATTCGAGTACTTGGATCCCTTCAAAGACTGCGACCGTGAGTATCCTATTTAGAAGGTATAACCTGTTTACTTGTATACTAACTCTTTTGAAGAATGCTTGGAAAGATTGATTAAATTTGGAGACTAAATTAAAAAACCCATGAAAACTTGGTACGATTTCAACACACAAACAGTAAAAATAAATTATATCTTTAAGCTATCTCAATTAAAAATTGAAAAATAATTTTAATAAAATTAATAGATTGAATGCGATAGAAGAATCATTGCTACTGAAAAGTAACAAGAAACTAAAAAATGATAAAAAAATTCATTTTAATCTAAAAAAAACTAATTTATTGTATTTATAACTCAAAAACGCTACTCAATATCAAATTTTATTACATAGTTTCTATTTTTCTTCATTTATTTTTGTCTGTTTTAGAAAATAAAGCTTTTTAAAATTGATAAATAATTTCTTAATTAAAATTTATTCTTTTTTTTATGTTTCAATTTTTTAAAGTAATTAATCCTAAAAAAATTTGTGAGTTTCCTCTATTAATTAACAAACATTCTATCCACCTCAAATATTTATATGCTGAAGAATATTCCTTTAATTTAACAGGTTGATATTATTTGACTGAAGCCCTTTGGCCTAATTTTAATTTTAATTTTGAATTTCATAAGATGAACTTTTTACATTATTAAAATGTATATATGTATATATGTAAGTATTTATGTACAAAGAAAGGAAAGTAATATTTATAAAATGCTTTTGTAAAGGATATAGTAAATATATTTATTTCTGTGAATTTTTATATAAAAGTTAACTAAAAATAAATAATAGTATAATATAAACCTAATTAGTATGAAAATGAAAGTAAATATTATAAATTCAATTATACTCACTTTACCAAATAAAAAATTTTATATCATTATCATAATTATAAAATAATAATAAATATAATTGGTGTTTGATTTTGATTGATTTTGATAAATATTGCTATTTATTTCTAATTTCTTTTTAAAAATTAAAGTAGAAGAAACAATCAAAAGTAATTGATTATTGAGAGTATATCTAATTATTAGAACATTAGTTATAATTTTTCATAGCTTTAAAAAATTTGTATTATATGAATAAAGAATATAATACTATTGAAAATTGGATTACATAGAGTAGCCAAGATATAAAAGGTAGATTAAATGTTTATCCTTCGGATTCTAAAAAAAATTAAACTCTCTAATAATTTGATGTTGGCTAACCAAGAAATTCTCTATACTTAATATCTCCATAAATCTCAAAAGAATTTTAATAATAAGATAATGAAGAAAATTATGTCAGCGCTAGAAATTTACAAGATAAATCAGAGTATGAGGAAGCTAATTAATATTTAAGTAAAAGCTAATAAGATTTGTTTCTTTAGAATACTGAAAGAAGTAATCTAAATGGTATTCAACCACTTAATTCTACTATCTATCCAAAGATTAATCTTTATGGAAAATAAGAAGAAAATTCAAAAATAGAATATTCAAATGAAGAGTACAATATTAGTAATAGATAGTAATTTTTTCATGCTTCTTAATAAGACTAGTTAAATTCCTTTAGATTTTAATTAGATCATAAAAATGAAAATTATTCTTAAAATTTTGATGATCTTAGTAGAAATAAGTCAAATAAGAATGTGAATTTTTAGAGTATTAATGAGAAAAGAAGAAGTAGCAAGATGCAATCAGAGTTATTTTAATAGTCTTTGCAAAAGATAATTTAATAATAAAATATTTAAAATATAGTAAATACTGAAATAACACCAAAAGAGCAGCAAAACGATATTAATAAGTCTTAAAAGTTAGCCTAATAAATTGCGTAATAAAAGAGCTTAGAGCAAACTTAAATTGATGACTTTTAATAGAACAAATTAAATATTTAAAAGCTCAAAAAAAAAGGAGAAAAAATGGCTAACACTTTTGTAATAAGAGTGAAACGCTTTTAAAGGTTTTTAAAAAATATGAAAGACTTATCTCAATCCTACAAATTTAAAACTATGAATCTTGAATAAAAATAAAAATTTAATGATTTATCGTTTTTTTAATCAAGAAAAAAATAGATCTCAGTGGCTATTGATAGCTAAAAAATAATTTCTAAACTGTTCAATAAATTTATTTCTAAATTAACTAACTCCATTCCTGTTTTTGATCCTTTGAATTTTGCTATAATAGCTTTTGAGATTGTTATTTTAATAGTTTTAATCACTTAAATGCTCATTTTACCATTAGCTGACTCATTCAATATTGACTTCTTTAAGATAGGAATCTGTAAAATATTTTTCTATTCTCTTCCTGCTCTAATACTTTTGATTGCTATATTTATAAAATTAAACACAGGTTTTTTCAAAGAAAACATAGTTGTGAGCAATAGAAAAAAAATTTTTCTTCATTACCATTATAGTGGAGGGCTTGTCATAGATTTAATAACTGTCTTTTCAATAGTAGTGACTTAATTTACTTAAAACTCTTATGTCTATTTATTTTTCATCCTAAGACTTTATTAAATATAGAAAGTCATTACTAAAATAGATACTAAGTTTTCATTATCTTAAAGAGTCCCATTTAGCTTTTAAATAACTAAACTCATATTTCTTGTTTTGATGTTGGCGCATATGAACGGTGTGTATTTTTATTTCCTTTAAACAATATTTTTTGTTCTTAATCATGATAGTTTAATTTAAAAAAAGGCTCTTTTTAATTAAATTTATATCTTATTTATTTATTTATTTATTTATTTATTTATTTATTTATTTAAAGGTTGCATTTTTAATTACGTTGCTAAAGGTTTAGATGAAAGTTGGCTTACAAAAAATAATTTATAGCATACTGAATGGCAAGTGAGATATATTAATAGTGTATATTTTTCATTTATAACTATGGTAACTGTTGGATATGGAGACATAACTCCTATTTCTCTTGAAGAGAAAGTCTTTGTAATCTTTATGGTAGCTTACAGTTGTGGAGTTTTTGGTTATATTGTAAGCAGCATAGGTAATATTTTCACTGAGAGAGCACAGATAAAAGCAAAATATAAGTATGTATTTATTTTTTTATCAATTACTAAAATTATAATTTTATTTTAATTGAAGGAGATAATTAGTTGATATTATTCACTATATGAGAACGAGGAATATTGATTAGGCAATCTAAACCTAAGTATTTTAATATTTGAATTACTTAGAATAAATGGATCACTATAATCATTAAAAGGGTGAGTATATTGTATAAAAACTTTCTCCATATCTTCAATAATAAATTAATATGAATTCTTACTATCCATTTCTAAATAAGACTACTATTTTTAAACTAAATTTTAAAGACTCTGTTTTAGTAAATGCATCACTTAAAATGAAAGAATTAACTTTTGGACCAGGTTAAATAATATTCAATTAAAATGACTGCGATAACAGATTATTTTACATCCTGAAAGGAGAAGTACAACTAATACACAATAGCCACAACATTTGCACTAAAGATGTAAAAATTTAGGTTAATAATACTTTTAAAGGCTTAATAATTTATCTTTTAAATTAGGAAAATGATAACTGTTTTGGAATAAGTGAGTTCTTTAGTGGTGAGGCAAGAAATCTATGTGCTAGAAGTAAAACTGTGTCCTAAATTTTATACCTTGAGCTTAGCTAGTTCAAATAAATTCTAAAAGAAGATCCCTATGAATATGTAATTAATCTTTTTTAATCCAAAAAAAAATATTTAAAATAACTTAACTTCTCAACTATATATAATCTGTCAGTATCCTTTTAAGAAAAAAGTTTTTTGGAATCGAAGTCTTTATTTGAAATTTATGTTATATACTGATTGTAATAAATGAGAGGTTACAATATAAAAATAGTAAAAACCACTCTTTTGATTTCCATTTATTTTATTGTAAACTACGATTTTTGAATACTTAATTAAAAATAATAAAACTTTAAAAAATATTTTTTACTTTTAAAAAGAAAATTAATTAAATAATATATTAATTTAAAAAGGAGAAATTTTGCTGTTTGAAGGATTAAATTATTCAAAGTAGAATCGTAGTTGATTAAGCTTGTTTTTTTTGTAAAAGATATGACCACGAATATATTGAATGCCCTTACTATACTGTAAAACACTAGAAGTAATTAATAATTGAAAAGAGTAAGGTAAGTATAAATTAGATTAGAAAGCAATCAGAGAGAAAATTGAAACAAAAATTTAGTAGTTTATTGGAGAATAATGAAGTTAGACTAAACTTAAAAGCGGTGAGAATAAACTATGTTAACAATTTAATTATAGATAAAGAGCAAATGATTTAACTTATCCTTAATACTTGTGAAATGGAAACAGATATAGATTTTTATAGAAAATATGATTCATTTTATTTAAAATAAAATAATGATAATCAAGAATTTACTGCTGTACTTATACCTAATGATAAAATTGCTGAAGAGTTTTACTCTCAAGATGAAGAAGAAGAAGAGAGCGATGAAGATGAATAAGAAGCGTTAGATACCCTAAATCCTGTATCAAATATGCATAAGAAGGTTAGTAGAAGTTCTATTTTAGCAATTGATAGTAATTTGGAAGAATAAAAAATTTCATCACAAACGTCACTAGTTTCTTCAAGAAATTAGTAGAGAAAAAACACTTCATAATAAGGATAGACACCAAACTAGAATACTCCGAATCCTATTTCGAGTATTATAATGAATGATAAATTATCTATGTTTAAAGAAAATAATAATCAAATTGGTAATAAAAAAACATTTATGTAAAGGTAGCAGTCTACTAAGAGACTTTCCAACATATCTCACTACTAAAAGCAAAATACAATAAAAGATCCTCAAAAGACTATCGAAGAGAATTTACTTAAGTATATAGTCAGCTTAATAGCACAAAATCAAACTAAGCACAAAGCAAGTACTTAATTAGAAGTAGATTCTCACATCTAAGCAAATGAATTTTTTACAATAAATGATTTTGATTAAATGCAAGAATTCATTCGCTATTTCCCAAAAAGCAACTATCTTTGTGTTTTAGAGTAAAGCAATAAATTATCTTAAAAAAGATAGAGAGTGATTATTAAAAGGAGAAAAAAGACTTTTAGAAAAAATACAGTTTTATAATCTCCTACAGCTATCAGAAGAAGTAGAATGAATACAAGATTCACTGCTTATACAAATAAAATCGAAAATACATCAATAAACTAAAATATTGCTAATGATTAAATACAGGTTTCTTAAAATAAAAATATAGATAAATCTATTGATAATTAAGAATCACCTTTAAGTGAAAATAATAAATCTTAATTTTATAAATCACCTGAAATTCCTAAATCTAGTTTCTTCAAAAAATTACAATGAAAAATGATGTTTTGCTCTAAGATAAATTAATTATTTACTTGTTGCAATATTATTTATTTATATAAATATCACTTATTTTAGTAATAAGAAAAAAGAAAAACTTCAATTGTTCAAAATTTATATAAAAGAAATGAAAATTGATTTCTTAAGGAAATTTGAGATTTGAGAAATAAAAATAATGACGTAAGAGGAAAAATAAGTGATATCATAATAGTTTAAAAATAAATATAAATCTCCAGTTCCAGTTCAGTAAAATTAACAAATTAATTTTTTAATTAATTTTATTAATGTTTTTTCTTTATCAGTTACTTCATAAATTTAATAATTTAAAGCAATATTTGTCATAATTACATCACTATAATAGTAACGTGACTTTAATGCAAAAAAAATATTGTTTTTTTGGTTTTTTTTGTTAAAAAAGTAATAATTCTTTATATTTATATGAACTTTTTCTAGAAAATAATTTACTGTCTACTCAATTTACAGAAATTATAAGTTTTGATCGTCTAAATTTTTATTTAAATGACAAAGTTAAAATATTATAATTCATTTGTTTTGCATTCTTTTTATCATTAGAGGCAAATTTTAGTAAAAAATAAGAATAAAATCATTTACTTGAAAATGAAAAGTTTTTAAATTTAACAAGTATATTTTTTATTATGAAATAAAAATAATAATTCAACATAAAATTTATTAATTAAGACTATCAAAAAAACTTCTTTGTAATGCTTGTAATTTATAAAATTAGGTTTCCCTCAAATAATATTTAAGTAAATATCTACAATTATAGACATTCATTCTAGCTTAATTGCTTAAAATATTAAAATATTTTCATATTTGTATTATTTTATTCTATTTTTCATACAAAATTTTTAGGCCGTGTTTTATCCTCTTTTTTTAATTTTTTGAGACATTAACAAAAATTTGCTGGCTTATATTTTAATTTATATCAAAGATAATAAACATAGTAATTAATACACTAAATAACTATAATATGAATCTAAAAATTTAATGTTTATCTTTTCTTTTTATGTGTTTTTTATGATTAAATTGAATTTAAATGTTTAATACAATTTAATTATCTTAATCTAATTAAACATAATAAAAAAAATAACAAAAATTTTTAAATAAAAAACACAATTTACGAATTCTTAACTAAAATTAAGCAAAAATACGCACTCATTTTTTATTGTTATTTTATTCAAGTAATAGATAAAATGAACTAAAACTAGATTAAATAGGGTCAAAATTCATAAAATTTAGAGGGTTTGAATAAAATAATGTGTCTATATTAATTAAACTAAGGAGCAAATGCATATCTGCATAGTTAATAATTTGATACTAACCTACTCAATCATACATTAAATACATCTCCTACAAAAAACTAAATGGAATATTAAAGTTAAGAAAATGAAGAAAATTATGTAAGCGTAAGGGATTTCGCTGAAGTTAATAGCACAAGCTAATGCATGAATAAAAGCTAATTAGAATATCTTCTCATAAGAACTGAAAGACAAAAACAAAATGGTCTTCAACCATTAAATTCTACCATTCACCCAAAAATTAATTTATGTGAGAAGTAGCAAGAAAATGCAAGAATGGAAAACTTTATTAGATAACCCAGCCGTAATTTATCAAAATAACAAAGAAAAATCTCTTATGTAAAAACAAGACCAGCTAAAATTTCAATTTGTGAAAGTCTAGAGCCTAAAGAGAGTGAAGGTGCAATCTAAGGTTCACCATTTTATAAACAAAATACATTTAATAAAAATTTAAATTAAAGAAGAAGAAGTAGCAGGATGCAAGTAGAACAATTTTAAAATACTTTAATAAAAATTATTTAAAATAAAACTAATAACTAACAATAATAAAAGCAGAAATTGCTTGATATTCCTGATTAAAATGAGGCCTTATAAACTTAAGAATAAGAAAAAATCCAAATTTAAAATTAATTAGGAGAAGACTAGTGTAAATTAGGTACATTTTAAAAGTTAAAAAAGAAAGATGAAAAGCTAAAAAATGCACTTGTATCTCGTTTGGGTATATTCTCAAGATTTATAAGAAATATAAAGAATTTGTCTCAGCTTTATAAATTTAGAATTATGAAAACAGAATAAAAATTAAGATTTAATGATAAATCTTTCTACTAACAAAAAAAGTAAGAAATGGGAAATGAAAACTTTAGTAAAAAAATACTCTTTAGAATATTTTCTAAAATTTTTTAAAAGTTAGCAAAATAAATACCAGTATTTGATCCACTACATTTTGCTGTACTTAGTTTAGATTTCATTGTTTTGATAACTTTAACAGCTCAACTATTTACTCTTCCATTGGCTGACTCATTTGAAGTTAATTATTTAAAATAAGGATGGTGTAAAGTGGTATTTTATTATATTCCAGCTATCGCTCTAATAGCTTCTATATTTACGAAACTAAATACTGGATTTTTTAAAGAAAATATAGCTGTCAATGATAGGAAAAAAATTTTTCTGAACTATTACTATAGCGGAGGACTTGTGATAGATTTTATTACTGTTCTTTCTTTTTTAGTAACATAAGACATTTATGACTATGTATTTTTACTACTCAAGATTTATTAAATTCAGAACTCAATAGTAAAGGTAGATACAAAATTTTCATTATCTTAGAGATTTCCATTAAGTTTTCAAATATTTAAGCTTATTTTTCTTGTAATGTTCCTTGCCCATTTAAATGGTAATTGATATTTTTTTTGAAATTCTTAATAAATATTTTGCCAAATAAATAACTATTAGGTTGCATTTTTTACTAAGTAGCTAAAAATGTTGATGAAAGCTGGATAACAAAAAATAATTTAATGACTGCAGACTGGTATGCTAAATATATAAATAGTGTATACTTTTCTTTCATTACTATGGTAACTGTTGGATATGGAGATATAACACCAGTTTCTCTCTAAGAGAAAGTTTTTGTTATTTTCATGGTTGTTTATAGCTGTGGGTTTTTCGGCTACATTGTAAGCAGTATAGGTAATATTTTTACTTAGAGAGCTTAAATACAAGCAAACTACAAGTAATTAATTATTGGTTAATTTATATTTAAATATATTTATTTTTAGATAATATTATTTATTTTCTAGTAAGTAAGAAGTAAATCAATTTAAAATATATTATCTTTAATTATTTGAAATTTTGAATTTAAAATATTTTATTTCTTAAAAAGGAGATAATTAGTCGATATGATTTAATATATGAGAACAAGAAATATTAGTTAGATGATCTAGTAATAAGTATTTTAATATTTACATTACTTAGAGTAGATGGATTATTACAACCATTAAAAAGGAGAAGAAATAGTCAAAAAGCTTTCACCTTACCTCTAATAACAAATTAATATAAATTCCTATTATCCTTTTCTTAAAAGCTCGAATTATTTTAAACTAAATTTCAAAGACTCTATCTTAATAAATGCCTCTCTCAAAATGAAAGAACTTACTTTTGGTCCTGGCTAAATAATATTTAAATAAAACGATTAAGATAATAGATTATTTTACATTCTAAAAGGAGAAGTGTAGCTAAGTAGCAACAATCATCAAATTTGCATCAAAAATGTAAAGCAGTAAAATTTAAATTTTCTAATAAACGTTCTAAATAAAAAATAGGAGAAAGATAATTGCTTTGGGATAAACGAATTTTTTACAGGAGAGTGTAGAAACTTAGAAGCTAAAAGCTTAACTGTTTCTTAAATTTTATATTTAGAGTTGAATGAATTCAAGCAAGTATTGAAAGAAGATCCTTTGGAATACGTAAATTAAAATATTTTCAAATATAACTTCAAAAAATTAAAAAAAATTGAATAAATATTTTTAAATAATAAATTAGGAAAAATTTTGTTCACTTAAAGATTAAGTTATCTTCAGTAAGATATCAATTGATTAGCCATGCTTTTTTTGCAATAAATTTAGTCATAGGTACGACTAATGCCCTTTTTACACATTGAAAAATTAAAGATTATTAATGATTGAAAGAAGTAATAGAAGCATTAGCTAAGAAAGAAAATACTTTGAGAGATATGATCGCTTTAAGTTTAATAGTTTATTTGAAAATGCAGAAGTCAAGTTAAATTTAAGAGCTATTAGGTTAAATTACATAAATAATTTGGCTATCGATAAGAATGAAATGATACAGCTTGCACAAAATACTATTGAAATTGAGAATGATGTAGATTTTTATAGGTACAATGATGCCTTTTAATTAAAATAAAACAACGAAGGATAAGATTTTAATATCATTTTAATAAGTTCTGATAAAATAGCTGACGAGTTTTTTTTAGAAGAAGAAAAGTTAGAAAATGGTGAAGAAGGTAATGAAAGATTAAACCCAATAATTAATTCTTAAAAGAAAATAGCCACAAGCTCAATAGTAGCAACAGAAATTCTGATAGAAGAAAATAAAAATTAACATTAGTCTACACTTCAAAACTCTCAAAATCTGTTTAAGAAATCAAATTCTTTTTTGCAAAACGCATTTCATACCTAAAATAGTAGTAATTTAAATATGTAAAATTATGAGAAACTTCACCCTATAAAGGAGCAATTTTCAACAACAAACTATAAAATTCAAAACCACACTAGATAATAATCTTGGAGAAAAAATTCAGATACTTCTATATCAAGTTATCAAAATAAAAGTGTTGAAGCATCTTCTTCAAGAATATAAGACTAAAATCTGCTAAAGCAAATAATAAGCTATATTGAGCTTACTCAAATCAAATAAGAAGTTGAAAATTAGCAGGAAGTTTCATATAATATTTAAAAAGATGAATTTTTTTGCATAAATGAATTTGATTAATTATAAGAATTTACTAGGTATTTTCCAAAAAGCAATTTTAGTTAGGTTTTAGGATAAATAAATAAAGCAAATTTAAAAAAGCAAAAAGTTCCTTTGAAAAAGGCAAAAAAAAACTAAAATAGACCAAATAATACAGTTTTTAAAAGTTAAGCTATTAAGAAAAAAAATACTTTATCAAATATAAATACTTAATGTACTCAAGCTAATATGCATAAAAAATCATAAGAAACACCTCTTGCTATTGCAAAATCATCAAGTTATAACTAATCCAATTCTGAGAGTTTGAGTAACGTTCTATCATGTAGAACTTAAGAAATACAAGACTTTAACATAGATCAAAAAAGTGAAAATAAACTTTTATAAAGTTAACAAGGAGATAATATAAGATCACACTTTTTAAAACCCTTGTAGTGAAAACTAAAAATAAAACGATGTCCTAAAAAATAATTTTTAGTGTTTTCAAATAAGTAAAAAGAATTAAAACTGAATTAACTTTAATAACCATTAAAATTAATAATAAAAAAAACTACTTTGTTTATTAATTAAAGAGTAAAGACAATTTATATATTAAAAACTATGAAATATTATTAATTTTGCTTTAGTGTGTTTTTATACAATAAAAACTATTTCTTCAGTTTACTATTTCAAATAATTATATTTTTTTTAAATTATAAAAATTAATTAAAATTTAACATTAAAATAAAATATTGATAAAAATAATTTTGATAAATTCAAATTTAAATAAATAATTTTTCAAAACATAAATATAATGAATTCGTATGTTGTTTTAAGAAATTTAAATTAATTAATAGCTAAGAATTTCCTTTTATTGAAAATAAATCTTAATTTTATAAATCACTTGAAATTCTTCAATCTAGTTTTTAAAAAAAAATAACAATGAAAAATCATAAAATTTAAGATGTTACTTTTCAGATTAATTTTTTGTTTACTTGCGGGTATTTAATTTTTACGTCACTGATTTAACATTTTTAAAAATAATAGTAGTTCTGGTTGAAAATTCTTATAAAAGAAAGGAAATTTGAAAAATAAAAATAGTGATTGAAAAGGAAAAAAAGTAAATGATAATATAATAAATTTTCTTAAAAAATATACTGATAACCAGTTGTAAAATAAAAAGCTTCTTAATTAATATAAAATTTGATTAATATTTTTGATTAATTATTTATTTGATAAATTTAGAACTAAAAGATAACATCTCATATTTTTAATATCATTATTTACATTACTTATTTTTATTATTAAAACAATAAGTCTTGAGATTTATCTAAGCTTTTTCTCTCATTAATTGCCTTCTCATTTTACGGAAAAAAAGATTTAATTAATTTTTCCTTTGTTTTAAGAAAATTTAATATCGTTTTTACTATTTAGTTTTTATCTAAAAATATTTGCTTATTCGAAAAGCTGTAAATATTTTTTTAAGAATAAAATAAAACTTTTTAATAATTATAAATATGACAACTATTATTCTAAATTTAAAATAAAGGAGATAAAATTTTATAAATAAAACTATGATTTGTTTTTGTTTGAACTTCTTTCCTATGAGCTTTAAAAAAAAATAAATTATTTTATTTTTATTAAAAATGTTTACTTTAAGTTACTAAATAAAAATACCTTTTTTAGATTAAATTTATATCATTCAAGAAAAATATTATTTTAAACAAAGAATAAAATGATTGATTAAAAATAAATGAACAGTTTCTTCATAATAATTCTTCTCCTTGAAATTTATGAATATATAAAGCTATTAAATTTATGAATTATGCATATTAATATTAGAATGAAATAAAAAAATAAATAAAATTAAAATTCAATAAGATTATCACGTTTTTTATTTGCCTAGCTTATAATTTATAAAATAAGGTTTTCTTCAAATAATACTTAAAACTCTTGAAATTTATTCTATCATTATTGTTTATAATATTGAAATATATTCTTATGTGTTTTTTATTTTTGTATTTTTAAAACAAACTTTTTTTATCTTCCTTTTAAACATTACAGAAATTTGTTAGCTATTATCTTAATTTATATAAAATAAATAATAAAATTAATTATTACAATAAAAAGAATATACAATCAATATTGGCATTTTAGGGCCAATAGGGTCAAAATTAAACTTTATGCTAATAATATGTCTTCTTTTACTTTTTTTTTGATGAAAAATCTTTTTTATATTTATGAATTGTTGTGTGTATGTATATATACATATACTTGTAAGCAATCAATTAACTTAGAATAACAATCAAATCATTTAATGTCTATATTTTTCTTTTATAAGTTCTTTAAAATGTACTTGAATTCAAGAATTAAAGGAACTTAATTATCTAGATTAAATAAACATTGTAAACAAAAATAAAATTTTGAAAAATAAAAAGCATTATTCACAAATTTTTAATTAAAGTTAAGTAAAAATACCATTATATTTTTTATTGTTTTTTTTATTCAAGCAATTGATAAAATGAAATAAGGCTAGATGATATAAGGATAAAATCAATAAAATTTAGATAGTTAGAACAAAGTTATGAATTTAAATTAATAAAACTAAGAAGTAAATACATTTCTACATCTTTAATAATTTGACATTAATCTACTCAAGCAAACTTTAAATGCATCTTCTATAAAAAACAAAATGGAATATTAATGGTAAGAAAATGAAGAAAATTATGCAAGTGCAAGGGATTTCACTGAAGTTAATTGCACAAACTAGTGCATGAATATAAGCTAATTAGATTATATTCTCTTAAAAAATGAAAGACACAAACAAAGTAGCCTTCAACCATTAAATTCTACCATTCTCCCAAAAATTAATTTATGTGAGAAGTAGAAAGAAAATACAAGTATGGAAAGCATTATAAGATAACCCAATCTAAATTTATCAAAATAGATAAGCAGAACCTCTCTTCTTTAAAAAAGACCTAGTAAAGCGTTAAATGTCACAAATCTAGAGCCTAAAGAAAACGAAGGCACAATATAAGGTTCAGGACTTTGTAAATAAAATACAATTAATAAAACTATAAATCAATGCAGAAGAAGCAGCAGGATGCAAGTAGAACAATTTTAAAATACTTTATTAAAAATGATTTAAGATAAAACTAGCAACTAACAAGAATAAAAGCAGAAAATGCTTGATATTCCTGATTAAAATGAGACGCTATAAACATAAGAATTAGAAAAAAGCCAAATTAAAAATTAAATAGGAGAAGAATAGACATGTAAATTAGATAAATTTTAAAAGTTAAAAAAGTAAGATGAAAAGTTTAAAAATGCATTTGTTTCTCGCTTGGGTATTTTCTAAAGATTTGTAAGTAATATAAAGAATTTGTCTCAGTCTTATAAATTTAGAATTATGAAAGCAGAATAAAAAGTAAGATTTAATGATTTATCTTTCTACTAACAAAAAATAAAAGAAATGGGAAATTAAAACTTTAGTAAAAAAATACTTTTTAGAATATTTTCTAAAATTTTTTAAAAGTTAGCAAACTAAATACCAGTATTTGATCCTTTAAATTTAGCGGTAATTTGTTTAGAATTAGTTGTTTTAATAACTTTTATAGCTCAACTATTTATTCTTCCATTGGCTGACTCGTTTGATGTTAGTTATTTAAAATAAGGAGGGTGTTTAGTGGCGTTTTATTATGTTCCAGCTATCACTTTCACAGTTTCTATGATTGCCAAACTAAATACTGGTTTTTTTAAAGAAAATATAGCTGTCCATGATAGGAAAAAAATTTTTTTGAATTATTACAAAAGTGGAGGACTTGTTATTGATTTTTTTACTGTTCTTTCTTTTTTAGCAACATAAAACTTTTATCACTATGCTTTTTTACTACTCAAGATTTATTAAATTTAGAATTCAATTATAAAAGTAGATACAAAATTTTCATTATCTTAGAGGTTTCCTTTAAGTTTTTAAATTTTTAAGCTTATTTTTCTAGTAATGGTACTTGCGCATTTGAATGGTAATTCATATTAGCTTGAAATTTATTCTTTTAAAATTATTTTTATATAATAAATAATTATTAGGTTGCATTTTTCACTAAGTTGCTAAAAATGTTGATGAAAGCTGGGTAACAAAAAATAATTTAAAGACTGCTGACTGGTATGAGCTATATATTAATAGCGTATATTTTTCTTTCATCACTATGGTAACTGTTGGATACGGAGATATTACACCAGTTTCTATTTAAGAGAAAGTTTTTGTTATTTTTATGGTTGTTTACAGCTGCGGATTTTTTGGGTATATTGTAAGCAGCATAGGCAATATTTTTACTTAGAGAGCTCAAATATAAGCAAATTACAAGTAATTATTGGCTTATTTATATTTAAATAAATTAATCTTTAATTATTTGAAATTTAAAATTAAAAAAATTTAACAACTATAAAAAGGAGATAATTAGTCGATATGATTTAATATATGAGAACAAGAAATATTAATTAGGTGATCTAATAGTAAGTCTTTCAATATTTACATTACTTAGAGTAGATGGATTATTACAACCATTAAAAAGGAGAAGAAATAGTCAAAAAGCTTTCACCTTACCTCTAATAACAAATTAATATAAACTCATATTATCCTTTTCTTAAAAGCTCTAATTACTTTAAACTGAACTTCAAGGACTCTACTTTAATAAATGCTTCTCTCAAAATGAAAGAACTTACTTTTGGTCCTGGATAAATAATATATAAGCAAAATGATTAAGACAACAGATTATTTTATATTATAAAAGGAGAAGTGCAGTTAATTAGCAACAACCATCAAATTTGCATCAAAGATGTAAAAGCAATAAAATTTAAATATTCTAATAAAATTTTTAAATATAAAATAGGAGAGTGACAATTGCTTTGGGGTAAATGAATTTTTTACAGGAGAGTGTCAAAATTTAGAAGCTAAAAGCTTAACTGTTTCTTAAATTTTATATTTAGAGTTAAATGAGTTCAAATAAGTCTTAAAAGAAGACCCTTTGGAATATGTAAATTAAAACAATTTCAAATAAAGCTTACAGATATTTTTTAAAATATTGAACAATCAATTAAATAATATCATAAAAACATTTAATTAAAAGTCCTATAATATCAATAAATAAATAATCCAACAATATCATATTTTCTTAATATTTTTATCAAAAATACAATAAAATTATTATTTTTGAAAAATAAATTAGGAAAAATTTTGTTCACTTAAAGATTAAGTTACCTTCAGTAAGATCTCGGTTGATTAGCCATGCTTTTTTTGCGATAAATTTAGTCATAGATACGGCTAATGCCCTTTTTTCACTTTGAAAAATAAAAGATTATTAGTTATTGAAAGAAGTAATAGAAGCGTTAGCTAAGAAAGAAAATAATTTGTGAGACATGACCGTTTTAAGTTTAGCAGCATTTTGGAAAATGCAGAAGTTAAATTAAATTTAAGAGCTGTAAGGCTAAATTATATCAATAAATTAGCTATCGATAAAAATGATATGATTCAGCTTGCGCAAGATACTATTCAAATTGAAAATGATGTAGATTTTTATAGGTACAATGATGCTTTCTAATTAAAATAAAGCAAAGAAGGATAAGACTTTAATATAATTTTAGTTAGTTCTGATAAAATAGCAGATGAGTTTTTTTTAGAAGAAGAAAAGTTAGAAAATAGCGAAGATGGTTAAGAAACATTAAGCCCTCTAATTAATTCTTAAAAGAAAGTAGCAACAAGCTAAACAATAGCAACAGAAAGTTTGATAGAAGAAAATAAAAATCAACTTTAGCCTACATTTTAAAACTCTCAAAATCAGCATAGGAAATCAAATCTTTTTTTACAAAATGCATTTTATACCACAAGCAGTAGTAATTTAAATATATAAAATAATGAGAAACTCCACCCATATATAAAGGAGTAATCTTCAATGATAAATCATAGAATTTAAAACCACACTAGAAAATAATCTTTAAGAAAAAATTCAGATGTTTCTATATCCAACTATTAAATTAAAAATGTAGAGGAATCTTCTTCAGGAGCATAAGATTAAAGTTTGTTAAAACAAATAATAAAATTTATTGAGCTTACTCAAATCAAATAAGAAGCTGAAAATAAGCAGAAAGTTTCATATAATATTTTAAAAGATGAATTTTTTTGCATTAATGATTTTGATTAATTATAAGAATTTACTAGATACTTTCCAAAAAGCAATTTTAGTTAGGTTTTAGGATAAATAAGTAAAATAAATTTAAAAAAGCAAAAAGCATCTTTAAAAAAGGCAAAGAGAAGCTCAAATAAAACATGGAATAAAGCCTTTAAAAATTTAGATCTTAAGAAAAGAAGTGTTTTATCAAAGATAAATACATACAAGACTATGTCTAATATGCGTAAAATATCATAAGACAAAATTCTTGCTATTACTAAATCATAAAATGATAATTAGTCCAATACTGATAGTTTGAGTAATGTTCTGTCTTATAGATCTTAAGAAATGCAAGACTTTAATATTGATCAAAAAAGTTAAAATAATTTTTTGCAAAGTTAATAATTAATTAATGTAAGATCAAGCTTCTTAAAACCTTTGCAGTGAAAAATAAAATCCAAACCAACTTTTATAAAAAGAATAATTTTTTTGCTCTTTTAAATAAAAAGACAAGCAAAACTGAATTAATTTTAATTATCATTAAAATATATGATTAAAAAAGCAAATTAATTTATTAATTGAAGAATAAAAATAATTTAAACATAAAAAACTGAGAAATAATAAAATAATTTATATTAAAAATGCATTTGTATTTACAAAAATTTTTAATAAAATATTAAAAATTTAAAAACAATCTCTAAAATAAATTCAATTTGTAACATTTATATAAAATATATATTAAAATAACTTTAATTAATTCAAATTTAAATAGAAAATTTTCAAAATAAAATAAAAAGAATTTGTAAGAAATTAAATAATTTCTTACAAATAAATAATCATTAACGTTTTAACTTTAATTATTTAATTTTTTGTCTTGTTTTAACAAGTAAAAAATAAATTTAAAGATAGATACAAAATACATAAAACAAGCCAAATCTATGGATATTTTATTGTATTGCTTATTATAACTATTATCGGATAATTATTTCTTGAGTAAGAATTATACATTTAGTAGAATTAAATATATTATTTAATAAAATAAATAAAAAATTTAAAGAAAAAAATAAAAATTTTTTGAAGCAGTTTTCATACCTGATAGCAGAATTAGAGAACAAAGATAAATATTTTGAAAAATTAGATGAAGAAGAATCTATGCAAACCAAGTTTTAAGAAGAGTAACAATAATCAAATTTGAGCCTTTTATCAATAATTATAATAATATAAATTTGATGAGGAGTCCCTCTTTAATAATTTTGTTACTATGTTAGGAATTTTTTAAAGGTTTTTACGACTAGATTTTTATATAATTATAAGAAAATAGGAGTTGAAATATGCTTTCACATACATAAATAATATAAAACTTATTAGTAGAAAAAATTATAAAATGCTAATGAAATAATAAACATATAAAGATTTTTTTTGTAAAAGTTATGATTATGAATATGTCGAATGCCCTTACTTTACTGAAAAGAGTAAAGTATATATAAATTAGATTAGAAAGCAATTAAATAGAAATTTGAAACACAAATTTAATAATTTGTTGGATAATGAAGAAGTTAAGCAAGACTCAAGAACAGTGAAAATATATATACTATGTTAAAGATTTTAGATGAAGAGCTAATTATTTAATTATCCTTAATACTCATAAAATGGAAATGAATATCGATTTTTATAGAAAATATTATTGGTTTTATATAAAATAATATCATGATCATGTAGCTAATAATAATATTGCTGTAGTGTTTTGCTCTCAAGATTAATAAGAAGAAAGAGATAATAGTGAATTACAAGCACTAGTACCTTAAATCATGTATCAAATATACATAAGAAAGTTAGTAGAAGTTCTATTTAAGCTCTTAATAGTTATTAAGAAGAATAAAAAAAGTCATCAAAGACATCAATAGTTTCTTCAAAAGTAGAGAAAGAATTCGATAATGAGGTTAGATAACAAACTAGAATCCTCCTAATCCTATTTCGAGTTATATAATGAATGATAAATTTTCTATGTTAAATGAAAATAATAATAAAAATTAGTAATAAAAGCCTTTTTTTTAAATTATCTATCTGAAAAGAGATGTCCAATCTATCTCACAACTAATAGCAAAGGATTCTCAAAAAAATAATCGAATAAATTTAAATAAACAGTCAGCTTAATAACACAAACTCAAATTAAACACAAAGCAAATTCTTAAATAGAGGTAGATTCTCATATATAAGCTGATGAATTTTTACAATAACTGATATTAATACAATTTAAAAGAACATTCATTCGCTTTTTTCCAAAAAGCAGCTATGATTGTTGTGTTTTAAAGTAAAGTTATAAATTATCTAAAAAAACAAAGAATTATTATTAAATGAAAAAAAAAGACTTTTAGAAAAAATACAGTTTACATACAATCTCTAAAAAATGATAAAATGTTGCCAATAATTAAATTCAGGTTTCTTAAAATAAAAATATTGATAAATTTATTGATTGTTAGTTATGAATCTCCTTTAAGTAAAAATAAATCTTAATTTTATATTATTAATCACCTGCAAAACCTAAATCTAGTTTCTTCAAAAATAACAATGAAAAATCATAAAATTTAGGATGTTTAGTTTTTCAGATAAATTATTTATTTATTTATTTACTTACTTATGCTAATGTAATTTTTTATAAATGGATTAGTGTTTATGAAAAAGTAATACTTGCTCTAATTCAAAATTTATAACAAGAAAAAAAATTTGAGAAATAAAAATTGTAAGAAAAAAGGAAAAACAATCGATTGAAATGATAATAACATAAAATTTCTTTAAAAATATATGTTAATTTCCAGTTCAGTAAAATTAAAAACTGTCTTAATTAATATAAAATTAATTGTTGTTTTTTCTTAATTATTTTCTAAAAAATTTAGAATTAAAAGCAAATTATGTAATAATTATTCATCTAGTTATGTATGTATGGTTTTAATACAAACAAATATAGTTTTTTTTGGCTTTTGCTTAATTTCTAAAACAATAAGTCTTTATCATTATTTAACTGAATTTTTTACCATAAACTAATTTCACTTTACAAAAATTATTAGTTTTAATTACTCCTTCCTTAGATTTAAGAAAATTTTCATTATTATTTTATATCTAAAAATATTTACTTATCCAAAAAACTGAAATTATTTCTTAAGAAAAAAATAATCATGATAGTAGCTATCTATACAATAACTTCATTCCTAAATTTAAAATGTAACAGATTAAATTTAAAAGATAGAACTATGATATATTTATTTTAGTTTGCATTTTCTAAGAGCTTTAAAAAAATAATTTATTTTTTTTTTTTAAATTTAGATTTTACAAAATTAAAATATTTTATTTCATTGTTTAGCTTTAATTTTTAACTTTTGAGACAAATTTTATTACAAAATGATTTGATTAAATATGGAAAGCGTTTTTTAATAGAAATTCTTCACTTCTAAATTTATGAAAATAGTACAGCTATTAAATTTATTAATTATCTTAACATTAGAATAAATTTATAAATTAAGATCATCTAATTTATTTTAAACATTTCAATAGTTTATAGGTTTTCCTCAAATAATATTTAAGTAAATATTTAAAAATCTTGATATTCATTCTAGCTTGATTGCTTAAAGCATTGAAATTTATTCCTATGTGTTTTTTATATTTGTATTTTTTATACAATATTTATTAGAGTGTTTCTTTATTAATTATTTAAAAATTAAGAAAAAATTGCTGGCTATTATTTTAATTTATATCATAAAAATACTAATTATTACTCTAAATAAATAAAAAATGAATCAAAAAATTTAATGTTTATCTATATTTTCCTTTTATTTTTTTTCTGATGTAATTTAATTCAAGAGTTAAATACAAATTAAATGTCTTAATAAAAAATAATAAAGTTTGATAAAAAATACAATTTTCAATTTTTAATTAAGATTAAGATTAAGTAAAAATACCCACTCATTTTTATTCTTTTCATTCTAATAATAGATAAAGTGAACTAAAGAAATCTATTATAGATGTCATAAAGTGAATATCCATAAAATTTAGAGGGTTTGAATAAAATAATGTATTTATATTAAATAAACTAAGAAGCAAATCAATATCTACATCTTTAATAGTTTGACATTAATCTACCCAAGCAGATTTTAAATACATCTTCTACAAATAACTAAATGGATTATTAAAGCTAAGAAAATGAAGAAAATTATGTTAGCGTAAGGGATTTCACTGAAATTAATAGCACAAGTTAAAGCGTGAATAAAAGCTAATTAGAAAATCTTCTCTTTAAAACTGAACGGCACAAACAATGTGGCCTTTAACCATTAAATTCTACCATTCTCCCAAAAATTAATTTATGTGAAAAGCAGCAAGAAAATGCAAGTAAAGAAAGCATTATAAGATAACCCAATCGTAATTTATCAAAATAGATAAGAAAAACCTCTTATGTATAAATAAGACCCACTAAAACATCAATTGGTGCAAATCTAGAGCCTAAAGAGAGAGAAGGCTCAATATAAGATTCATTCTTATGTAATTAGAATACAATTAATAAAGCAATAAATCAAAGAAGAAGAAGTAGCAGGATGCAAGTAGAACAATTTTAAAATACTTTATTAAAAATGATTTAAGATAAAACTAGCAACTAACAAGAATAAAAGCAGAAAATGCTTGATATTCCTGATTAAAATGAGACATTATAAACTTAAGAGTAAGAAAAAAGCCAAATTCAAAATTAGGTAGGAGAAGAGTAATCATGTAAATTAGATACAATTTAAAAGTTAAAAAAGAAAGATGATAAGCTTAAAAATTCATTTGTATCTCGTTTAGGTATTTTCTAAAGATTTATTAGAAACATAAAGAATTTATCTTAGTCTTATAAATTTAGAATTATGAAAGCAGAATAAAAATTAAGATTTAATGATTTATCTTTTTATTAACAAAAAAATAAAGAAATGGGAAATTAAAGTTTTAGTTAAAAAATACTCTTTAGAATATTTTCTAAAGTTTTTTAAAAGTTAGCAAACTAAATACCAGTATTTGAACCACTACATTTATGGGTAATATGTTTAGAATTAATTGTTTTAATAACTTTAACAGCTCAACTCTTTACTCTTCCATTAGCTGATTCATTTGACGTTAATTATCTAAAATAAGGAGGGTGTAAAGTAGTATTTTATTATATCCCTGCTATCGCTCTCATAATTTCTATATTTTCCAAACTAAATACTGGCTTTTTTAAAGAAAATATAGCTGTCCATGATAGGAAAAAAATTTTTCTGAATTATTACTATAGCGGAGAACTGATGATTGATTTAATAACTGTTCTTTCTTTTTTTGCAACATAAGACATTTATGATTATGTGTTTTTACTACTCAAAATATATTAAATTTAGAACTCAATAGTAAAAGTAGATACAAAATTTTCATTATCTTAGAGGTTTCCATTAAGTTTTTAAATTTTTAAGCTCATTTTTATTGTGATGATACTTGCTCATTTGAATGGTAGCTCATATTTGTTGAAATGAATTCTTTTATAATTATTTTTGTATATAAAAAATTATTAGGTTGCATTTTTCACTAAGTAGCTAAGAATGTCGATGAAAGCTGGATAACCAAAAATAATTTAAAAACTGCTAACTGGTATGAGTAATATATTAATAGTGTATACTTTTCTTTCATCACTATGGTAACTGTTGGATATGGAGATATTACACCAGTATCTCTCTAAGAGAAAGTTTTTGTTATTTTCATGGTCGTTTATAGTTGTGGATTTTTTGGCTACATCGTAAGCAGTATAGGAAATATTTTTACTTAGAGAGCTTAAATACAAGCAAATTACAAGTAATAATTATCTTATTTATGGTTAAATATATCTATTTATCTTTAATTATTTGTAATTTATAATTTAAAATATTTTATATGTTAAAAAGGAGACAATTAGTCGATATGATTTAATATATGAAAACAAGAAATATTAGTTAGGTGATCTAATAATAAGTATTTTAATATCTACATTACTTAGAGTAGATGGATTATTACAACCATTAAAAAGGTGAAGAAATAGTCAAAAAGCTTTCACCTTACCTCTAATAGCAAATTAATATAAACTCTTATTATCCTTTTCTTAAAAGCTCTAATTACTTTAAATTAAATTTTAAAGATACTATTTTAATTAATGCTTCTCTCAAAATGAAAGAACTTACATTTGGTCCTGGTTAAATAATATTTAAACAAAATGATTAAGATAATAGGTTATTTTACATTTTAAAAGGAGAAGTGTAGCTAAGTAGTAACAATCATCAAATTTGTATCAAAGATGTAAAGCAGTAAAATTTAAATATTCTAATTAACTTTTTATAAATAAAATAGGAGAATGATAATTGCTTTGGAATAAATGAATTTTTTACAGGAGAGTGTAGAAATTTAGAAGCTAAAAGCTTAACTGTTTCTTAAATTTTATATCTAGAGTTAAACGAATTCAAGCAAGTCTTAAAAGAAGATCCTTTGGAATACGTAAATTAAAATATTTTAAATAAAGTGTTGGAAAATAAAAAAATATGAACAAAAATTAAATATTATAATTATAAAAATATTTAATTAAAGTGTTTTATTAATAAATAATTCAAAAATTATTAAAATTCAATATTTATTTTATTTATTTTTAACACGTTTCATACTATCAAAAATACTACAAAATAAATATTTTTAAATAATAAATTAGGAAAAATTTTGTTCACTTAAAGATTAAGTTATCTTCAGTAAGATCTCTATTGATTAACCATGCTTTTTTTGCAATAAATTTAGTCATAGGTATGATCAATGCCCTTTTTACACTTTGAAAAATTAAAGATTATTAGTGATTGAAAAAAGTAATAGAAGCATTAGCTAAGAAAGAAAATAATTTGAGAGATATGATCGCTTTAAGTTTAACAGTGTTTTAGAAAATGCCGAAGTCAAGTTAAATTTAAGAGCTATTAGGTTAAATTACATAAATAATTTAGCTATCGATAAGAATGAAATGATTCAGCTTGCGCAAGATACTATTCAAATTGAAAACGATGTAGATTTTTATAGGTACAACGATGCATTTTAATTAAAGTAAAACAGCGAAGGATAAGATTTTAATATAATTTTAGTAAGTTCTGATAAAATAGCTGATGAGTTTTTTTTAGAGGAAGAAAAGCTAGAATATGGCGAAGAGGGTAATGATTAATTAAACCCTATTATTAATTCTTAAAAGAAAGTAGCAACAAGCTAAACAATAGCTACAGAAAGTTTGATAGAAGAAAATAAAAATCAACTTTAACCTGCACTTTAAAACTCTCAAAATCAGCATAGGAAATCAATTTCTTTTTTACAAAACGCATTTCATACCTAAAACAGTAGTAATTTAAACACTTACAATTATGAGAAACTTCAAACTATAAAAGAGCAATTTTCAACGACAAACCATAGAATCCAAAACCACACTAGATAACAATCTTCAAGAAAAAATTCAGATATTTCTATATCCAGCTATTAAAATAAAAATGCTGAACCCTCTCCCTCTAAAGTATAAGAATAAAACCTGCTTAAGCAAATACTAAACTTAATTGAGCTTACTCAAATCAAGTAAGAAGTTGAAAATAAGCATGAAGTTTCATTTTTTATTTAAAAAGATGAATTTTTTTGCATAAATGATTTTGATTAATTATAAGAATTTACTAGATATTTTCCAAAAAGCAATTTTAGTTAAGTTTTAGGATAAATAAGTAAAACAAATTTAAAAAAGCAAAAAGTTCCTTTGAAAAAGGCAAAAAAAAACTAAAATAAACCAAGGAATACAGTTTTTAAAAATTTAGCTATTAAGAAAAAAAATATTTTATCAAAGATAAATACATGCAGGGCTCTTGCTAATAAGCATAAAAAATCACAAGACACACCTCTTGTTATTGCAAAATCATCAAGTTATAACCAGTCCAATACTGAGAGTTTGAGTAATGCTCTATCATGTAGAACCTAAGAAATGCAAGACTTTAATATTGATCAAAAAAGTGAAAACAAACTTTTGCAAAGTTAACAATTTGATAATGTAAGATCAAACTTTTTAAAACCTTAGCAGTGAAAATTAAAAAAATCAAATTAACTTTTAGAAAATAATTTTTTGGGTTTTAAAATATATAATAAGATAATTAAAACTGAATTAACTTTAATAATCAATAATATTTTTAAAAAAACTAATTTATTATCTAAACAAATAATTTAAATATAAAAACTAAGATATACTAAATTAATTTTATTTTAGTATATATTTTATACAATAAAAACCATTTAGTCTATTATTTATAAATTAATTAATTAATTCATTTATTTTTAAATAATTTTCATTCAAAATTTAAAATAATTCTAAAATTAATTAATTAAAATTTAACATTTAAATAAAATATTAATAAAAATAATTTTGTTAAATAAATTAAAATTTAAATAAAAATTTTTCAAAATAAAAATATAATGAATTGTTATATTTAAAGAAATTAAAGAATACCTGATAAAAAATAATAATTAACTTTTTTAACTTTAATTAATTAATGGTAGTATAGAATTTTTTCACTATCAATAAGTTAAAAGTAGGTTTAAAGGTAGGTATAAAATTTATGAAATAAACCAGATACATGCATATTTTATTTTATTTTTTATTGCGATTGTTAAAAGCTATTTGATTTGCCAACAAAGCTTTGGTTGAAGCAAAAATTGATGCCTATCAAATTTTTAATAAATTAATATAAAATACAATAATTAGCAAAATAAGTTAGTAAGTAAGGGCTAAGTTATTAATCTATTATTATCCTAGTAGAACTAACAAAGAAAATGTAAGAAAACTAAAAAACAGAAGAAAATTAGATATATAATTAAAATGGCAAAGTTAATAAATAGAATTAAGATTTGCCAAAAGTCATACACATTGAGAAATTTGATTTACACTATCACAACATTGCTTCAAATATAACTTCTACTTAAAAAAAAATAGAAATTAAATAATTGGAGGGTGAGGAAAATTATGAAAGTGGCAGAGATTTTAATGAAAAATTAGATTTTAATAGCATAAGCTAATAGATGAGTGCAAGTCAATAAGAATTAATGATGTTATAAACTGAAAGATAAAATCAAAATAGCCTTTTACCATTAAATTCCACTATTAATCCTAAAATTAATCTCTATGAGAAATAACTTGAAAACACAAAGATGGAAACTTATTATGAGAAGCGAAATAGTAATTTACTTAAATAGCAAGTTAAGTTTGCTTTTGAGTAGTCAAGAGTACGTTAAAATTCTGAGATTAAGCCAGATATTATAGTAGAAGATTCTAATAAAATTGTAGAAGATTACAAGCAAAAAAAAATGGGTAATACAGTAAATTAAAAAAGAAATAGCAGCAAAATGTAGGCTGAATAATTTTAAATTAACTTGCAGAAAGTTATCTAAATAAAAAATAATTAGTATAAAGAACACAAAGATAAATATTTTGATAATTTTGACAAAGAAGAATCTATGCAAACTTAAGAATTAGAGACGAGTTACAATAACCAAATTTAAGACCCTTATCAATAAGATTAATAATAGAAATTTGATAAAATTCAAAAATTAATTAAAAAGGAGGGGTAGCTCTCTAATAGTTTTGTTGCTAGGTTAGGAATTTTTTAAAGGTTTTTAAGAAATATAAAGAATTTATCATAAGCCTATAAATTTAAGAATATGAATTTTGAGTAAAAATAAAGATTTAATGACTTATCGTTCTTTTAATCTAAAAAGAAATAAGCTTCAAATGTAAGCAGTACTCATAAAATTTTAATAAGAGTATTCTAAAAACTTTTTAATAGGTTAATAATCTAAATACCAGTTTTTAACCCTTTTAATTTTGCAGTTATTGGCCTAGAATTAACAGTATTAATCACTTTAATTATCTCAATATTCATATTACCACTAGCTGATTCATTTGATATTCATTTTATTTAAGAAGGAAATTGTAGAATTTTTTTTTATTCTATTCCAATTTTTGTATTTACAACTGCCATATTATTTAAGTTAAACACTGGATTTTCTAAAGAGAGTCTAATTGTTAGCGATCGAAAAAAAATATTTCTAAATTATTTCCAAAGTTGGGGACTTTTAGTTGATTTAATTACTGTTGTTTCTTATTTAGTGGCTGAAAATTATTACATTTATGCATTCTTACTAGTCAAGCTTTATTAAATATAAAATTCAATAATTAAATTAGATGCAATATTTTTATTATCTTAGAGATTTCCTTTCTGCTTTTAAATTACTAAGCTTATTTTTCTTGTTTTCTTGCTTGCGCACATCAACGGTACATTTTTTCAATAAATTTTAACAATTTATTTATTTTTGTTATTAAAAATTTTATATTTATAATAAAGGCTGCATTTTTAATTAAGTTGCTAAAAATTTAGATGAAAGCTGGCTAACAAAAAATAATATTAATAATGCTGATTGGTACGTAAGATATATTAATAGTGTATACTTTTCTTTTATTTCAATGGTTACTGTTGGATACGGAGATATTACTCCTATTTCTCTCCAAGAGAAAATCTTTGTTATTTTCATGGTAGCTTACAGCTGTGGAGTATTTGGATATATTGTTAGCAGTATCGGTAACATTTTTACAGAGAGGGCATAAGTAAAAGCTAAATTTAAGTATTTTATTTTTTTACTCACATTTAATTTTAGATATTCTAATTAAATAAAAGGAGTTAATTAGTCGACATAATTTAATATATGAGGACAAGGAACATCGACTAGATAATCTAATCATAAGTTTACAAATATTTAGATTATTTAGAAAAAATGGATCATTACAATCATTAAAAAGGAGAATTTACAGTTTAAAAGCTATCTCCATACCTCTAAAAACAAATTAAAATAAACTCTTATTATCCCTTTCTTAAAAAAATAAATTATTTCAAGCTAAACTTTAAAGACTCCATTTTAGTTAGCGCTTCTCTAAAAATAAAGGAAATTACTTTTGGACCCGGCTAAATAATATTCAACCAGAATGATTATGATAATAGATTATATTTTATTCTCAAAGGTGAAGTCCAGCTTAGCAATAATAACCACAAAATTTGCATTAAAGATGTAAACAAATTATAAATTTATTTTTTATAAAAATTTGAATAAAATTCTAGGAAAATGATAATTGCTTTGGGATAAATGAGTTTTTTACTGGAGAAGCCCGAAATCTATAAGCTAAAAGCTTAACAGTTTCTTAAATTTTATATTTAGAGTTGAGTGATTTTAAAGAAATCTTAAAAGAAGATCCATTGGAATATGTAATAAAAAGCTATTTTAATAATATTAAAAAATATTTCAAAATAAATTAGGAAAAATTTAGCTCTCTCAAAGACTAAGCAATTTTTAGTAAAGTTTCAATAGACTAATCCTGCTATTTTTGCAACAAGTTTAGCCACATGCATGATTTATGTCCATTTTATACTATAAAAAACTAAAGATTGCTAATTATTGAAAGAAGTAAGAGAAATATTGATTAACTAAGGTAAAAGTTTGAGAGACCCTATCTTTAAAAGTTCAATAGTTTATTAAAAAATTAAATTGTTAGGCTGAACTTAAAAGCTGTTAGATTAAACTATATCAATAACTTAGCAGTCGATAAATATGAAATTATATAGCTTGTTTAAAACAATACCAATATTGAAAACGATTTAGACTTTTATAGATAGAATGATGCCTTTGAGTATAGAAAAAGCTTAGATGCAGAAGGAGAAGAAGCAATGGATTTAAAATAGAATATTGTTTTGATCAGCTCTGATAAAATAGCAGAAGAGTTTTTCTAAGATGAAGAAATACTTGAAAAATCATAAGAAACTTAAGAATCAAATTTTTTCTTTAATTCTAGCAAAAAAATAGCAAGAAGTTCAATTCTAGCTGTAGAAAATTTTATAGATGAGCAAAAAAATATTTAACAATTTCCTTTTATTAGTTCTAACAATCACCAAGCTAAAAGAAATTCATATTTAAAAAGCTGCATATTTCACTAAAATAATAATGCTTTTGAGAGGCTTACTTCAATTAAAGAGCATATTTCATAAAAAAATATTAACATTTAAAATTCTTAGGATTTGTCATAAAAGAAAATACCTGAATAATCTGAAAATCTAAATTAAAATATGAATAATAATCAGCATTTACTCAATCAGATATTTAATTTTATAGAGTAAAAAAAAGGAAAGTACAATTCTGATAATTGTGTTGACATTCAAAATATTAATAAATCGGATGATTTTTTTATTGTTTGCAACTTTGATTTAATGCAAGAATTTACTAGGTATTTTCCAAAAAATAATCTACATATTGTATTGCAAAAATATAACAAATTATGCTAAAAATAGCTAAAATTAAAAACTAAAAAATCTAAAAAACTGATTAACAGAAGTAAGAATACTTTGAAATAAAGTAAGATTTAATAAGCTTTATACAAATACCAAGCTATTAATATATTGTAATAAAGAAATTCTAATCTAAACTAAATAAGATAAAGTTCTGTAAATATAAATGATAATCTAAAATTGGAATTAGAAGAAGGGACATAAAATCTAAATTCAGATTCACAAAGCGAATATTAACTAACTCATATGAAACAAGTAGATACAATAAAATCCAATTTTTCAAATTCATAACAGTGATATTAAAAAATATTTTATTGCATAATTTATATTTTTGTTTTGAGTAACCATAGTTAAATACTTTTCATTATTGCATTTCCTTCCTTACTATTTTATAATTTTTAAATTTATCTTTATAAATTTTTTATAGTAAAAATAGAAATGTTTTTGATGAATAGCTAGTTGTAAAATAATTTAAGTATTTTAATTCCTTGTATATTAATCCAATTGAAGTAATCAATCAGTCATCGCAGAATTTAAATACTCTAAAAATTCTAAATTCTATGCATTTTCAAAATTCTAAATTCTAAAAATTTTCAAAATTCTGAAATAAATTTTACTTTTTTTATTTGATTTACACTTCAATAAAAATAAACTAAAAATATAATATTTTTTAAATAAACAAAACTATTTTAAAAAATAAATAATTTAATTTAAAATTTAAAATTAGATTTTTAAAATAATAAAAAAATGGTTAAATGCCTAAATTCATCAAATTATTATTTATTTTATTAATATAATCGATGAAATTGCTGTAATTAAAATTTATTTTTAAAATGAAATTTTACTTTTTCAAAAACTAGATTTTTTTTAAAAATAAATAATACATTTATAAGAACCATAGTCTTTCTATTTTACAATTAAAGAAGTAAATAGCTATTACATCAACAAATAAAGATACAAATGACTTTAATTAAAATTATGATCTGAAACTTTATTTTCCTCTCCTTTTGAATATAAAATTAATTGGTTTGAATAATAAAAATCTAAACATGTATTTACATGAAATTAACTTTATTCTATTTATTTTGTTAGAAGTTTATTGCCCTATTTGCTTCTATTAATGTTTTTACAATAAATAATACATTATTGTTAAGTAATATAGCATCTTTGTTTTACAATTAAAGAAGTAAATAGCTATTACATCATCAAATAAAGAAACAAACAAATGGTTTTAATTAAAATTATGATCTGTTAACTTTATTTTCCTTTCCTTTTTAATAAAAAATAATTGGTTTGAATAATAAAAATCTAAACATGAATTTAAATGAAATTGAATTTATTCAATTTATTTTGTTAGAAGTTTATTGCCCTATTTGCTTCTATTACTTGTAGTAATACTTTTTAATTTTTGATTAATACATCTCTTTAAATTAAGAATAAGTAAAAAAAGAAAAAAGTAGACTAAATCTTCAATTAATATTTTATTTTATAATTTTAAAAAGTAATAAAATGCTTTAATATCTCTAAGCATAGCAGGAGGCTAAAGATGACTCAAAAATTAAAAACGATATAAAATCTAAAACAATTTAATAGCAATTTAATTAGAAAAAAAATAAAAATTTACATTTTCAATAGTTTGATATTGATCCATTTGTATTTGAGGTAACTCCTACTAGAATATATTAAGATTTGATTCACTAAGAAAATGAAGAAAACTATGTTAGCGGTAGAGATTTAAATGATACTTGCTTAGAAATCAGTAGAAACTAAAAAGGTCATCATGCTACTAAAACTGATTGTAATAACATGAACGAAGTATAGCCACTAAACTCTACTATTTTTCCTAAAATTAATCTTTTCGAAAAATAAAAAGAGAATCAAAAGATGGAATATGTTCAAGAACAATACAATAATAATTTTTAAAAAAAGTAAATCTAATCTTCATCAGAATAAGATATATGCGATTAAGAGTTATTAGACAAGTACAGTGAGAGTAAGGATTAAAATGATTTATTTAACCCAAATTATATTGATAGCAAATAAAATAATAAAATTAAGACAATCGTTTAAAGAAGGAGAAGTAGCAAACTCTAAATTGAAAAACTATAAAATACCTTGTCTTAAATGATTTAAGCCAAGAATAAAATATAAATATATAATCAAGAACCAGAGATTACGGAACAAATTGATCTAGAAGATATTTTAAAATCGTCACAAGATTAAGTAGTTTATAAAAGTTCATACTTATAACCTATTGAAGGTGAGTTGTAAACCAAAGTAGATACAAAAAAATAATTAAAAAAAAAAGAAGAAAAGCTAACAAATGTTTTTGTTGCAAGGTTGTGGATTTTTTAAAGGTTTTTAAGGAATATGAAGAATTTATCTCAGGCTTTCAAGTTTAGAAACATGTCAGAAGAATAGATATTAAAAGTGAATGATGTTTCATATTATTATTCTAGAAATAAATAAATTACTGAAGGTCAAAATAAATACATAGCACTCCTCTTTAAAGTATTTACAAAATCTTTTTCCAAATTAAATATCCAAATACCAGTCTTTAATCCTTTGAATTACACAACTATATGTTTAGAAATAACTATATTAACAACGTTGATTATTTAAATTTTTATTGTTCCTTTATCTTCCTCATTTGATATTAACAACTTAAAAGAAGGAATTTATTAAATAATATTTTATTTTATTCCTGCTTTTTTAGTGTTTATGAATATGCTAGTTAAGCTGAATACTGGATATTTTAAAGGATATATTCTGGTTAACGATAGAAAATAAATCATTGCCAATTATTGCTTAAATGGCGATTTTGTTTTGGATTTGATCACACTATCATCTTTTTTAGTTACATAGGATTTTTGTATTTATCTATTTTTGCTTGTCAAGCTTTATTAAGCTTCAAATTCAATTCAAAAAATAGATACAAAATTCACATTATCTTAGAGATTTCCCTTTAGCTTTTAAATCAGTTAACTTATCTTTTTGATTTTAATGCTCGCTCATATCAATGGTAATTAATTAATTAATTTATTTTAATTGGTGGTAAATTTTAATTTAAAAAAATTAATTAATTAATTGATAATAAAGGTTGCATTTTTAATTTTGTTGCAAAGGGTTAAGATAATAGTTGGCTAACTAAAAATAATTTGCTGAATACTGATTGGTATGAGCGTTATATAAATAGTGTTTATTTTTCTTTCATCACAATGGTCACTGTAGGATACGGAGATATTACACCCATTTCCCTTGCAGAGAAGGTCTTTGTAATTTTCATGGTTGTGTACAGCTGTGGAGTATTTGGTTATGTCGTCAGTAGTATTGGAAATATATTTACAGAAAGAGCTCAAATACAAGCAAATTATAAGTATTCAATTTAATTTTTTATCATTTTAACATACTTAAAATTAAACAAAAGGAGATAATTGGTTGATATTTTACACTATATGAGGACTAGGAATATAGATTAAATGATCTAATCATAAATATTTTAATATTTGCATTATTTAGATTAGATGGATCACTACAATCACTAAAAGGGAGAGTAAATACTTTTAAAGCTATCTCCTCATCTCTAAAAATAAATAAATATCAGTTCTTATTATCCTTTTCTGAAAAAAACAATTTATTTCAAACTAAATTTTAAAGACTCTATATTAGTTAATGCTTCTTTAAAGATGAAGGAACTTACATTTGGTCCTGGATAAATTATATTTAACTAGAATGACTGTGATAATAGATTATTTTATATTCTCAAAGGGTAAGTGTAACTCAGCAGTAATGGTCATAATATTTGTATAAAAGATGTAAAGTTATTTATAAATAAATATATAATATATTTTTATTATATTATTTTTTCATAGGAAAAAGATAACTGCTTTGGCATCACTGAATTTTTTACAGGAGAGGCTAGAAACTTACAGGCAAAAAGCTTAACTGTTACTTAAATTATATATTTGGAAGCATCTAAGTTCAGTGAAGTATTAAAAGAAGATCATTTAGAATATGTAAAATATTTTATTAATTTTTCTTTTTAAAAAGCAAAAAATCTACATTTAATTTATGCTTATTTGATGACATTTATATGAGTTCATAATGCGATTTTTTTTCTAGTAGCCTATATATTTATTTATTTATTTATAAATAAAATAAATACATATTATTAATTTTTTAATGAATATTGAAATGCTAAACATATAAAATATAAATTGATTTTTTGTTAACATTAACTTCTTGATTTCATAATTAATACTTAACATATAACACATTTTTATTTATATATTGAATAAACAAAATGAGTGGTTATTAAAGAAATATAAAATGCTCCTATTAACTCATATAGAATGACATAGCCTTTTAATTCTACACTGACTGATTTTGTAAATGAAATACTTCGATTTAAAAATATTTTTCAAGTATTTCATAAAACTATTATAAAATCTTTATTTAAAATATGATTTTATCATCGAAAATTATTAATATTAATTTTTTATTTAATTAATAGGAGAAGTTTTGTTCTCTTAGAGACTAAATTATCTATAGCAAGATTTCAGTAGATTAACCATGCTATTTTTGCAACAAATTTAGTCATGTGTATGAATAATGCCCATAATATACTATAAAAAATTAAAAACTACTAATTATAGAAAAAAATAAGAAAAGTGATAATTAAACTAGGTAAAAATTTGAGAGGTTTATTCGTTAAAAATTTAATAGTATTGAAGAAAATGAAGATGTAAGATTAAATCTGAAGGCTGTTAGATTGAATTATTTAAATAATTTAAATTTTAATAAAAATGAAATAATAAAGCTGATTGAAAATAACAATTAAATTGAAGAAGATATAGATTTTTATAGATTTAATGATGCTTTTTAGTTAAAATCAAATGAAGAAGGATAGAGCTTAGACATTCAACTTATCAGCACTGATCTAATAGCTGAAGAATTTTTCCTCGATGAAGAATTTGAAGAAGAAGAATATAAAGATTCGGTACAGAATATTATGCCATTCAACGAATCATATAGGATAATTAAAAGAACTTCTATCCAAACAAGTAACAGTATAACTGAAGAGTAAAAAGATTCTTATCATGCTCCTTTAATCTACTCTAGCAATTAATTATAAAAATAAACTTCAATTTTGCAAAACTAAAATTTGGAGTAAAATAACAGTAATTAATAAAATTTTTAAAATGATCTAAATGACAGATATCATTAAAAGAATAATAAGATTTAACACCTTTATAGATAAAAATCGAGATAAAAAACAATTATTCCCTCAAATTTTTAAAACTAAAACATTAATGAATCTTAGCCTTAGCAATAAACTTAAAACTAATAATTATTATTCGATTAAATGCTTTGTTTATTTGAGAGAATGAATGAAAAGCAATAAACAGAAAACTAAACAGATGTTGTTACTCATGTTTAAAAGGAAGAGTTTTTTGGAATAAGGAATTTTGATTAAATGCAAGAATTTACAAGATATTTTCCTAAAAGTAACTATAATTAAATTTTAGGAAAATTAAGTAGGATAAGCTAAAAAAAGCAAATGGCATCATTAAAAAAAGCAAAGAAGCCATAGCTTAAATGCAAAAGTGCAATTTGCAAGTCACCTTCATCAGCTAAAAGTAAAATTATGTCTACTTTAAAAGCTGTAAAATGCATTGCTAAATTATAGAAAAGATCTTTATTTTAGAATGAAAGCTAATTAAATTTTAGTCATTAAAATGTTACTCTTACTGATAGATCCACAGGAGCTTAAAATATTACTATGGATTAAAAAAGTGAAAATGTTTTATTAAATAATAAGCAAAATTGTGTTGTTAAATCTAAATTTTTAAGTCCTTTTGTATGAAAAATATAAATAAAATTAAACAAATTTTTTTAATCAAGCTATTTTTATTTCAAATTAATAAATTAATGTATAACTTTGAATATAATAAATGTTTAAATTTAACTATTTCATTTTAATTTAAAACATCTATTTTATTTATAAAGGGAAAATTTAGACTATTTATTTTTTTTTAATTTTTAAAATCAAAATAAATCCCAAAAATTTAGCTGGGTTTTTTCTGGTAATTATTTGTTTAATTAAAAAAATTATTCTTTTATTGATTAAATTCTTATTTATGGATAATATTTTAAGAATTTTATTCACTATCAATTTGTTTTCTCATAAATTATGTATTTAGAAAATAGTTTGAAATAGTTGTAATAATTAGATTTTTTATTCTAAAAATATAAATTAATAGGGTTTATGTTTATCTTTCTATTAAAAAAATAGATTTTTGTTGAAAATACCTATTAATCTTTAAGTATTTTTTTCGATTAAGCTATATTTTGATCGATTTACTTATTTAGATGAAATGTAGAAAGTATTTTTGTATAAAAGTCATTAATATATTTCAAAATTAGCGAAAAATGTGAATGAAAATCTTATATTATAAACCAATTTATTTTTAGAGGTTTTTATACGAATTAACTACTTAAATTTATTGGTCTAACTAATCTTAAAAATAAAATATAATTTATTTCACAAAAAAAAATTTTGATTGATTAGGATAATTAACAAAAATGAAAGAAAATTATACCTAGAATGATGTAATTTAAAAATATGATAATATAAATGTAAATAAATAATTATAAGAACTCAATTCAGGCTTGCAAACTTAATAGCCTATGTTTAGTCTGAGAAACCATACTTCAAGTTTTTCTTCTAGTAGAGCTTTTAAGGATTATTAAAAGTAAGAAAGTGAAGAAAATTATGTTAGTAGAGGGGATTTTAATGATAATTCTGATACAATAATAGAGCGTAAGTAGATAAGCAGAAGTTAGTTAGAAATTTTACTTTAATAATCATAGAGATAAAAGTTAAATTGTATTTAACCTTTAAATTCTACTATTTATCCAAAAATTAATCTTCATGAGAAATAACAAGAAAATAGTAATATGGAATTCAATCAAGATTAATATGACAGTAATTTGTTATAAAAGCTTTATTCAAAATAAAAAAGTACTATAAAAAGTTCTTAAGACACTGATTCAGATTGTGCTAAGCAAGATTCAGAATAAAATATATTCTATAATAAACAACATAATTTCAAGAAAGAACTTCCTTACTAAAGAAATAGTGATGAACATTAATCTAAGAAGTTCTAAAATTAATACAAAAAAGAGATTGTAAATGAAAATAAAAAACATTCGCAAAATCAATAAGCTTAGAAAGGAGGGCAATGTGAACTTTTTAATAGTAAAAAAGTATAAAATTCAGAAGAAATTAATTTAAGCTAACTGCTACTGCAGTAGAGAAGAGAATAACTATGTAAAGAAACAAAATAAATTATAAAAAAGAAAGATGAAAAATTATGGAATGTTTTTGTAGTTAGGCTGGGTATTTTTTAAAGGTTTTTAAGAAATTTAAAAAACTTATCCGAGTCATACAAATTTAGAATGATGAATGCAGACTAAAAATAGAAATTTAATGATTTATCTTTCTTTCAATCAAAATAAAAAAAGTTTAATAATTCAGCTAGTTTCCAAAAAATACTTTTAAAAATATTTTCTAAATTTTTTTAAAAAATAGCAAGTAAAATAAAAATATTTAATCCGCTCAATTTTGCAGTAATTTGCTTAGAATTGGTGATGCTAGTGATTTTAATTGCACAAATATTCATTTTACCACTTGCCGATTCATTTGATATTAGCTATTTGAAAGATGGAATATTCTATCTTATAATTTACACTTTCCCTGTAATTATGTTTTCAATCACTATTCTAGTTAAATTAAACACTGGGTTTTTTAAAGAAAATATTGTAGTTAGTGATAGAAAGTAAATTTTCCTCAATTATTACTAAAGGGGTGATTTATTTCTTGATTTTATTATTGTTGTTTCTTTTTTGTGGACAAACGGTTTTTATAATTATTTATTTTTGCTCTTAAAACTTTTCTAAATTCAGAATTCAATAGTAAAAATCGATATAAAATTTTCGCTCTCTTAAAGATTTGCATTTAGCTTTTAAATCTCAAAACTCATCTTACTTGTTTTGATGCTCGCACATTTAAATGGTAATTAATTTATTTTAAATATTTTTCTTCCATTTAATGTAAATTAAACAAAAAATAATTAATAGGGTGTATTTTTAATTAAATTGCAAAGAATTTAGAAGAAAGCTGGTTGACTAAAAATAATTTATAAAACACGGATTGGTATGAGAGATATATAGATAGTTTATATTTTTCATTTATCACTATGGCTACAGTTGGGTATGGAGATATAATACCTATTTCTCTTTAGGAGAGAGTATTTGTAATTTTTATGGTTGTTTACAGTTGTGGTGTTTTTGGTTATATCCTCAGCAGCATAGGAAATATTTTTTAAGAGAGAGCATAAATTAAAGCAAATTATAAGTATTTTATTTTATTTTATTTTTTTATTTTTACAATGAATTTTTAATCAAATAAGGAGGTAACTAATTGATATCATTCATTATATGAGGATAAGGAATATTGATCAGATACTCTAATAAAAAATTTTTTAATATCTGCACTATTTAGAGAAAATGGAAGATTATAACCACTAAAAGGGACAGCAAATAGTTGAAAAGCTTTCTCCTGACCTTCAATAATAAATCAACATAAATTCTTACTATCCTTTTCTTAAAAACTCTAATTACTTTAAACTCAACTTTAAAGATTCCATTTTAATTAACGCTTCTCTTAAAATGAAGGAACTCACATTTGGCCCTGGTCAAATAATATTTAACCAGAATGATTTAGATAGCAAAATTTATTTTATATTGAAAGGAAAAGTTCAACTTTCTATTAATAACCACAATATTTGTACAAAAGATGTAAGAATAAACTAATTAAATAATTATTTCTTTAAATAAATAAATTTAATTTTTGAACTAGGAAGACGACAGGTGCTTTGGGATAAGCGAGTTTTTTACAGGTGAATCAAGGAGCTTATAAGCAAAAAGCATCTCTGTCTCTTAAATATTATATTTAGAATTAAGTAATTTCTAAGAAGTTTTAAAAGAAGATCTTTTAGAATATGTAATTAATTTATTTTTTAAAAATGAATGTTTAAAATTTAATTTAAAAATGAATTAGGAGAAGTTTTGTTCTCTGAGAGATTAGATTATTTTTAGTAAGATTTCGGTAGACTAATCATGCTATTTCTGCAATAAATATAGTCACATCTATGACTAATGTCCCTTTTATACTTTAAAAAATTAAAGGCTTCTAATGATTGAAAAAAGTAAAAGAAATATAAATTAGCTTAGATAAAAAATTGAGAGACGCTTTCCCTTTAAATCTAATTGCCTTTAAGATATTGAAAAAATAAAGCTGAATTTAAAAGCAGTTAGATTAAACTATATAAACAAACTTGCATTTGATAAAAATGAAATGATTTAACACATATAAGATAATATTTTGATTCAAAACGATATAGAATTTTATAGGAATAACAACGCTTTCTAATATAAGTATAATGAAGAAGAATAAACATTTAGTATTCTTTTATTAAATTCTAATGAAGTATGTGATGAATTTATGTCAGAGGAGGATGAATAAATTGAAAATAGTGATTCTGTTGAAACTTTTGACTAAATTTAAAATAATAACAATAAGAAAATTGGTAGAAGTTCAATAATAGGAGGTGATATCTATACTGAAGAACAGTAATTTCCATCATCTTCTATTTTTTAAAACTAACATAACCAACTTAAAAAAAGAAACTCTATTTTACCAAACCCTATTTAAATGCAAAGTAATAATAATATAAATTCTCATAATAGTTATACAGGAGATAGACTTCATTAATAATCAAACACAAAAATTCAAAATTTGTATCGATAAGCATCATAGAGTTCCTAAAAATCTTCAAGGAGGTAGTCCAATTAGTCATACAAGCGAAATCCAACTTCTGATGGTTCTGCTAAAAAAATTCAAGATTAACTTTTATTTAATTAAATTGTTGAAATTTTAACATAAGTACAGGCAAAATAAGAAGCTGATAAATCAGATATGCAAAGTATTTTTTTAAAAAATTAATTTTTTGATATTAATAATTTTGATTAAATGAAGAACTTCACTCGCTATTTTCCTAAAAGCAATTTTATAAATATTATAACAAAGTATAATAACCTAAATTTAAAAAAACAAAGAGCTTAACTTAAAAAAGATGGAAAAAGTAACAAAATAAGGCAGGCATTAATTTACTCCTCTGCTTTTAAGAAAAGTAATAGACCTCATACTTCATAATAAATCTAAAATACCATTAAACTAGATGCTAAAGATAAAATCAAATCAAATTTTTAAATACATTCATCTCAAGAAATAAAAGATGCCAAATTTAATTTTAATATTGAAAAATAATAAAATATAACAAATGGTTTTAGATGATTTTTTTGTTACTCAAAAATTAAATCAATGTTCTTATATAGTTAATGTATAATTAAGTTATTTAAAAGTTTTAATATTATTTCATAAATTCATTCTATCTATAAAGTTTATTTTTTTTAAATATACCGTAAATACTCTTATTTAAGCCTACCAAAAATTCTATTATCAATAAATTTAGTCAGCTTATAGTGTGCTCATATTAGAACACCATCTTAAATTAGGATCAGCTTAAGATAGAGTATTTACGGTACAACTTTTATTTCTATTAAAAAAGTAAAATCTCCTTAATGATATTGTATATTTTCTAAGCTTTTTTTAATTTTTTTAGTCTCTAAAATAATTAAGTACGTATTATAATAATTTTTTAATTATAAGTGCTCTAATCTAAATTAAGTAATATTTATAGATGAATTATAATTATGTTCTAATGTTTATTGGCAAATTAATCTTTGCTTATTTTTTTTAAATTTTCACATAAAAGGGGAACATTAACAGATATTAACAAAAACGCTGCATAAATATAAATAGCAAACAAATTTTTACTTACTCTTTTTTTAAATTTAAATCTTTTACAAAATAAAAAATAGATACATGATTTATTAATTGTTTGTAATAATTAACATTAACTAAGTTCCTTTCTAAGTTTTATGTTGTTTTATTTTCAAATATAAATATGTAAACTTAAAAGTAAAAAAAATAAATAGTTTATTTAATTATTTTACAAACAAAATAGATAGTTTATTTAATATTTTCCAAACAAATTAAATAATATTTAGATATATTTCTAGTAGATTTTATATCTAATTGAAAGTTATTTCTAGATTTCACATATGAAGATAAATAAATACATAGATAGATAGATAGATAGATAGATAGATAGATAGATAGATAGATAGATAGATAGATAATAAATACGCTTAAATTTTTTAATTAATTCAGAAATTAAAATGAAATTTTAATAGAAAGTAATAACAAACAAACTTATAATAATCTTAACCCATTTCAAATAGATTATAAGCTTCATTAATTATTTATCTATAATTTATTGATTAACAATTTATACTAAAATTAATTAAAAAAAGATCTACTTATCAAAATAGGTATTAACATCATGAGTGCTAAGAAAATAGCAGTAATTATTAAGTCTAACAAATTCATAAATAAAATATATCATTTATAAAATTAACCAGAGGGATCTCATTTTTTCAGGTATTTAGCCAACAGGAAAGCTTCATTTAGGAAATTATTTGGGTGCCATTTAAAACTGGGTAAAACTACAAGAAAAATATCATGAAAAATCAGATATTTTCTTTTGTATAGTTGATTAGCATGCACTAACCGATAAATTTAAAATAGGTAAAATCAACTTTATAATTATAGATAAATACATTCTTTATTGAATGCATTAAACAAAATATTTTCTAAATTTAAATTATTTTTTTAAGTATAAATTGGATTTGAGACTAATCACTATTTTTTAATGAAAAAATAAAATAGATCATTAGATCTACTTTGAAGATACAACTAAAGATAACACTATTATAATGGCAGCTGCTTTATTAGCATCTGGAATAGATCCCAAAAAATCTAACATTTTCGTTTAATCAGCTGTAATTTCAAAATTTAATTTTATGTGTTTTTTATTTGCATGTAACAAACCTAATTATTTGTATAAATATTATTATTATAAAGGTTCCTTATCATGCAGAGCTTTAATGGATGTTAGGATGTATTGCTCCTCAAAATTGGTTAAATACAATGACTTAATATAAAGATAAAAAATCAAAAAACTCTAGTTTGGGTTTATATTCTTACCCTGTTCTCATGGCAGCTGATATTTTACTTTACAAGTAATTAGTTAATGATTTATTTATTTATTTACTTATTTAGCCAAATCTTTTTGTTAATAATAATATCTTTCTAGAAATATTAATAATTAATTATTTTCGTAAACAAATTCTAATTTTTTAAATAGTGCTACTCATGTTCCTGTTGGAAGCGATTAAAAGCAGCATTTAGAGTTAACTAGAGACTATGCTACAAGGTTCAATACATTATTTAAAAATGATAAAACATAGGGTATTTCAATGCCTTAATACATAGAATGTAATTCAATAAAATTCCATGAAATAGTTAATTTAATATAAATTTTTTAAATAATACAAGCTGAATTTCCTAGAGTAATGAGTCTTAAAGATGGTACTAAAAAAATGTCTAAATCAGATCCTAGTGATTTTTCTAGAATTAACTTGACTGATACTCCTGAAGTAGTTTATGACAAGATCAAAAAAGCTAAAACTGACTCAATCCCTATTGTATTTAAAAGCAATATTTAAAAATCTTCTTATTCATTTTTTATTAATAAAGGTTAAATTAGATCCAAACAGACCTGAAGTAACTAATCTTATTAGAATATATAGCTCTTTATCTGGTTAGAGTATCAAAGAAATTGAAGCTACTTTTTCATCAAGCTCTATGAAAGATTTTAAAGACAAACTCTCTGAGCTTATTATTACAAAGTAAATAAAATTAATTTTTTAATTAGCATTAATTAAATAATATTTTTATTATTCATTTATTTAACTAATAATAAATAATTCTTTATTTTTTAATTAGAGTTTGCCCAATTGGTTTAAGAATAGAAGATCTATTATCAAACTAAGACTACGTTTACGAGTCTTTAAAGCAAGGTAACGAAAGAGCTTACGATAGAGCCAAAGAAAATATTCAAAGAATAAAAAAAGAGATGGGAATGTATGTTATGTGATGGATAAATATTTATAAAATAACTATTTATATTTGATTAGTTGATTAAAAATTAATTTTTTAAATAAAATTTTGTCAATTCAATGAAAAAACTTTATCTACAAAGTGTTATTTTATAATTTTAAAAACTTATTCAATAAATTAGGCATAAATATAAACAAAATATAAAAATTTATGCAATTTTTAAGAATAACAATATATTTAAACCATAAAAGTTACACTTTAATTTTTTAGAAGGATCTGCAAATAATTATTTTTATTGATAGTAAATAATTATTTTTATTACTCATTAGCAACTAATTACCAGATTACAACAGAAGATTTCAAATAAAATAATACTTGCATTTTTGAGGGTTGATAAGTATTGATTAAATTTGATAAAAAATATGATAGCGTGGGTAACTTGAATTGAAGCATTTGTATCTTTATTAAAGAAAGATTAGCTATTCTATTGGAATAATTTGATTAAAAAAAATATATTTTTCAAATAAAAAAGTAGAGTTAGAATAAAATTAGTTATTAGAAATGGAGCTAGTACTTTTATTATTCTTATTAGGATACGTAATTTAAGATGCAGGCTGCGTAATTTTACTTCTAAGAATATTGAAGCAAAGGTCTGTTGATGGTTTATCTCTTTAATCCCAAGTTATGTACGGATTAGGAACATTAATGAGAGTAATCTACACTTTCGATACAAGACTAAGCAATTACACAATTGTATTTGTTGAAATGATGGTTGCTGTTTTACTCCACATAGGCATACTTTATGGTTTCTTCAAGTACAGATACACTCAAACTTCAGATATTTAATCTCCTTTAATTAGCTGGAAAACAATAATACCCGTATGTTCAGTTTTAGCTTACTTTTTCCATCCAGGTGAATAGTATGAATATCTACAAATTTTAGTATCTCTATCCATGTTTATTGAAGCAGTAGGTCTCCTACCATAAATTTATGTAAATCGCAAGCAAGGACGTGTAGAATATGAATTAGGAAAATATCTCATTTTTATGGTTGCAAGCAGAATAGCAAGATTAGCATTTTGGTTTGTAATGTATAGAATGGGTGATTAAAATATTGAATTGATGGTTGCTGATATTGTTCATACAGTTCTTCTTGCAGATTTTGCAATTCTTTTTATTAAAAACAAAGGCAAAGAAGTTATCTTAGTAATTTGAATTATGTAAGTAAGATATGTTAAAAAATAAAATAGTTAAATTCATTTTTTTCGTTCATAATATTTGTACAAACGTGTTAGTTAATTGATTTAATCACAAAAAAGATACATCAAAAACGAAATTTATTAACTTATTTATTTAGTTATTTATTTATTTTGTGTTTATTATAAAAATCAAATAGATTATAATCTATATTCTCATTTATGTATTTATTTAGTTATTTACTTTCTGTTTTTCCAATCAAAATAGCAAAAGTAAATTCTTTATAATTACCTCTTTTATGTATTTATTCTATTTTAATTATTATCTCTTAAGCTTATCATATATTTTTAAGATAGAATTATATTTAATTTTAACAATTTTCTATAATGATTATGTTGAGTTATATTTTAAAACGAATTTTTAATAAAATTATAAAAGAAGATATTTGAAACATTTTTCTTACATATTATTAATATAAATAAATACATTTTAATCAAACAAAATCGTATTATTCTTTGAAAACAGTATAAAAGGGACTTATTTTGCTAACTACTGTAATTTCAGCTACTTGTGGCAAGACGTATCCTCTAATTGAAAAAACTTGGTTTAAAGTTAAGTTTGCATCTATTTTTTTATATCCTTAGGCTGAAGGCCAAGTTTTTAAATCTGTTGGTTAATATAAAGGCTTTGTTTAGTTGAATTCAATATAAACTTCTATATTTTCCATAGTGTATTAATGTTTATGATCCCATGGTAATGGATCCTTGAAGATAGCAGCCAAATGATCTTTGAGCACATCTTTCTCTCTTGTGTCATCAATGTAATCCATCTAAGAAAATTCGGGGTAGTGAACGAAAATAGGAATATGCAAAATTTTCTCATCATCTAAATAAACACATTTCTATATTTGAAAAAAAAGTCAGCATACATTATGATGTAAAATTTAAATTATAATTAATAATAATTACTTTGCATGAGTCAGGGAAATCCATCATTTGGTTACCCAAGTAGATTTTTCTCTTTTTTAGCTCTGTATGCAAGATCAAAGTTTGTGTATTTTTATGTTCTTAAATTTTTTCCCTTCTTTTTCTTTCATTTTCTATTTGTTTTTCACTTTCTTTTTTAATATCTAACAATTCCTTATTATTTGGCTCATGCTATAAACCTGTCAAACAAGTTAACAAACTTTCATCATATCTTCTTAATAAACTTTCAATTTGAGCTTTTCTAAAGTAAGCCTTAATAAACTTTTCATCGTATTTAATAGCCATTTTACAGTCATCAATAGCCTTACCATAATTTTCTATTTTTAATAAGTAAAAAATGAAAAATCTATTGAAATAAATAATCGTTATAATCAATAATATCAAATCTAAATGGAAGTTTTAGAAGCTATTTTATATTTATGTATAACCTATTGTAAAATAAATTGTAAGTATTTACTTAATTTCATGTTCATTAAAGCTCTATTATTATGTAACTATGCATTTACATCCTTTTCGCTACTTTTAGCATCAATACCTTCAGTATAAGCGTTTAATGCTTATCTAATAAAATATCTTTTACCTTCTCCTTTTTTGTAATGCTCATTTCCTTATCTCTAAAAAAATAATTTAAAATTGATTAATACTTTTCAAACTATAAACTAAAAGTAGGGATTTCTAATTACTTCAAAAACTAAAAGCTATTTAAAAACTATTTTATTTTACTAAGTAAATAAAATCCCTCTTTTTTTATTATGTAAAAAAAATACTTCGATATAAACTCTAAAAATACTAACCTTGAAATTTTAAGCAAGATTTTCTGGAGTATCATCATACATTAAATTTTAAAGAGCAAGCAATTCAGGATAATCTTCTATATTCTTAGGAATTTCCTTCATAAAGAGGGGATGCTTCTTTAAATAATTTGTTGTTTCTTCTAACTCTTCAGGAGTCATTCTAGTCTTAGACTCCCAATCATCAGGCATATCATCAAATAATCCAGCCATTTAATACAATACGCTAATTTAGAATATCCTACTTTTTTAGAAATCTATTTATTTATCTTTACTCTACTTAACCAATATAAATAATTACTTTAGTTTAATAATTATTAATTTAGCTTAAATATATCTTCCTAATATATATAAATATAATAAGTAATATTTCTTTCTATCTTTCTTTTAGATACTTTTGATTTATATCAATATTTTATAATAAATTCTTTCGTTAAACATTTCAAAAGTTAATCATTTTACAATTAAAAGCTAATGCTTTCATTATTCGTTATTGTAGAAATAACTCATTTAAAATATTTAATTTTTTTTATTTACCAGAATTCATAAATAACTTGATCTATTTTTATTTACATTTAATTTTCAATATATTTAATTTTATTTTAAAAATTTAATTCATTTATGTTTAAATCAATCTATTAATAATATATTTTTAATACTAAATATTAGTCTTATTATAAAAACCACAGTTTCTAAGGTAATATCCTTTTACGTTATCGACACTACAATCATAATCAAACCTCTGCTAATTATCTGTTGTAACATCATAAGTAAAGTAAGTTGATAATACTTTTATTTCTTTGTTTATGTAATCAATAACTTTCTAATAAGCACTTACAGATAAATAGAATGATAAATTAAATTAGCTATCTGAATTTGGTTTTTGAAATTGTCAAAAAAACTTAAAAAAATTGAAAATATTATTTTTATATTTTTAAGATAGTTATTAAAAAATTAATAATATAATTAGTCCTTTAAAATTAATAAAAATTAATAGAGAGATTTTACAAAAAATTAATCTAAAATATATTTTTAAGATTCATATCATATAAACAGTGTATTTTGAGAAAATAATATTTTTTATGATGATAGTATTTGTGTTAATTAAATTTAGAAAAAGGATAAGGATTAGTTAGTAGAAATTCATTCCTATTTCTGATAATAATCTTAATATTTAGATCTAAATATCTAATAATTAAATTTTTGAAAGGCAAAAATCAATTGTTATAATTGTAAATAGAATCATAGTTTTTTTCATTTTGATTAAAAATAAAAAAAATAATTGATTATTTATTTTTATAAATGGACCTCAAAACAAGCATTTTTCTAACTTTTTTCGTGCCGATCACTCTTACTTCAACTATAATTTTGGTCTTAATTTACTATTTAATTAATGATTTTACTAATGATTACACTGATACTATGCAGAGAGATATAATTAATGATACAACATCAAATGTTAACTAAGTAATTAATGCAATGTAATTTAAATTGCAATAAGATTATCAATCGATTGTTATTTATATTACTGCAATGAATTAACTTATTAATTAAATGGCAAAAAATCCAAAAATAATAAACCCAAATTATCTTGCCTAACCAATAGGCTAATTTAACTTTAATTAGTATAAATAATTTTTGCAGCAACATCCATCATACGACTTAAATAAGCTTGAGTATTTTACTAGTTCTTTTTATAATTCTAATGTAGCTGACTTTGATGAATTGACTGATAGTGATAAAGATTTTATTAATCTTAAAAAATAAATAGATATTTTAACTTATACTTTCATAAAGGATGGAGGTATTAACCTAATAAATCTTCTAAGTACTTATATAATATCTATAGACAGCGGAACAACTTATGACTACCCAAGTAATTAATTATTATTATTTTCTCAAATCACTTAAAGCAAGAAACTATTTACAAATAATAATATAATATACATAAATAAATAATACTATTCTTCAAATATATAAACATTAAAATTATTTTTATTAATAGATAATATAGGTTAATACTAATAATATATTTCATAGACCCCAAAAAAATTAAAAACCCATTTTACTAGTAGTAATTGTGATAGTTAAACAAATACATATCCATACAACTTCAAGTGTAGCTCTTGGTTTTAATAAGCAAATAGCATAAATAATAACAATATCACATTTACATAGCCTTATTTAGATAGTTTATCTAAAACTTTTATTAGCACTGTTTGTGTAAAAACATATGACATGAAATATATATTCTGTTTTGATTTTAATATTAAAAGCAATCCTTTTGGAAATAATAATAATGGTACAAGCAAAAGCTATTACTATTTAATATTTCCTGGAACAAGAGAACCAATAGTATATCCTAATCTGAATATAACTACAGTGAAAACTATAGATTACTATGAATTTGTTAACACAACCACTAATTCTTAAGATTAGAAAAGTTTTAAGGATAAAACTTCTATTTTCGATTAAACTTATACTTCTTTTAACAGTAGTGATACTTTAGGTTTGTATGAAAATTAGACACTAACAGTAAAATATATGAAGGATCTTCAAAATTATTACTTATTTATAAAGAATATATCGACATGTTAAAAGTTAATTGATTAATAGTATAAAACAAATCCCGGCAAATCTCTACCTTATTAAGATAGTTAGATAGATATCAGAGCTTATTTGGGTTATGTTTTAAAAGAAGATGCAATTTTATCTGATGTTCAGGATATCTAAGACTAAATTAGTTTTATTCTTGTTATGGATTAAATGATTCTAATTTTCATTGTATTTATTATGGTCTATTAAGTTTTTGCTTTCACTTTTACTTTCTCTAATCAGATTATTGAACCTGTTGATCATCTTATAGCATGTCTTAAAAAAATATAGGCTGATGAATTGGAAAAAGTTTATGAATTTCTCTCTAAAAATTTAGTTGACGATGAAATTTAATAAAAGAAAAAGAAACGTAAAAAATAACTTAACAATAATTAAACTTAAAATATTAATGGCCTATATAGTCCTGATTATTTGCTGTAAAATACTTCATCAGATAGCAGTTCTTCATCCTCCTCCTCCTCTTCCCTTTCCAGCTCTGACGATTCTATGGATGAATAAATCACACTTTAACAAAAAAAAGAAAAGAATAGATAAAAGATATTAAAAAAGAAAATCAGAGATGAATCAATAAAAATTAAAAAGTAGAAAGAGTAAGAACAACAAAATCAGATATCTGCTGATTTAATGTAAAATATTATTTTAATTTTAAAAATTTTGAATAATATTTTTATTGGTAATATAGGTAACTTTACAGGGTATTATATGAGATTGTTCATGTAATAAAAGTAGCTAACATTAATTTTCTTCAAGGAAATGCAGAGTAAGCTCTAATAACTTATGCTAAATCAGTAAATTTCTTTACAGCTCTTTAAAACGAGGTTAAAACTTAATATAATTTAATAATCATTTTTAATTGTTAACTAATTTATTTTATTAACAGAATGCAGTATCAATATGTTTAAATAATATGGGAAATGTGTATATGAAGCAGCAAAAGTATATTTAAGCATCTTAGAAGTACCAAGAGTCTCTGCAATTCGTACAAACTCAAAGAGAGAAATTAATTGAAATTTGTAAAAAAAAGAATTAAGATTAGGTAAAATTAAAAATAAAAAATATGTATTCGCAATAATTTTTTACTTGCTTATTTAGCCCAACTTTATTAAAGAATTTAAAATTGTATAAATTAAATTCATAATTATTTGATAAAGTTTTAATAATGAATAAACTTTTTTCTATTCTATTCATGGAATTTTTATAAAAATCAATACATTTTTTAAATTCATTTTCAATCTTATTAAAATTTTATAAGGATTTATACCAAGATGAACAGTTTAGGTATTTTACATCTCTGTTTATTACTAGATCTTTCCATTTAGCAGAATCACTTATAGAGGCAATTTAGTAAAAATAATATGATGCAATGAAGTTTTTAGGTTTGTTCTCAAAGGAAGATTGCTATCTTGAGATTAAAAAGAAATACGAGGTTATTAGATAAAATCTAAGAACATTTAATAGTGACAGAAGTTTGTTTGATCCAATGATAGCTCATGTTCTTTTGTAATTAGCATTATGTTCTATTGAGTTAGGAAAAAAGAGTGAGGCAATAATGTTTCTTGAAGAGGCAGAAGATGAAATTAAAAAGGATGTCAATCCTTTATATCCTTTTCATTTAGATGTTCCTAAAGAAATTTTAGCTTAAAGAATTTTATATTTACAAGGATATTTTAATATTAAAATAAATTAACTTTATATTGGCGCTATATTTTTAACTAAATCTATTGAGTATGGTAAAATATATTGCCCTAAATATAGATTGAAGGCTCTTTTACTACTCAAAAATCTCTTCGATATGATTGAAGAAAATAAATAGCTATCTTCGTTTTCTGGAATTAACTATCTGCTAGAGAAATATAGGCCATTGATCAAAGATGTTCTTTTTCTCTCGAATATTTCTAGTTCCATGGGTTGTCGTGAAAAGATTCTGTTCTCAAGCTAAATTATATATACAATTTTCTAAAAATATATTGGAAAGAAATTTGACAGAATTGGGTAATAAATTAATATTAATTTAGCAATAAAATGTAGGAAAAAAAATTTCTTAATAATTTATTTAAACTAACAAATAGGTATTATTTATTTAACGAGAGTGTGAAAGAAGTATTTGGCTTATAGAGAGCTGATAAAAATTGGTGCTTCTTAGAAAATATGCTGTAAAACATGCCAACTGTGTCTGGGAAAGCATCAATATCTAATGCTCTAAACGAAGCATTTAAAATATATGATAAAAATTAATATTATGCTCATACTTTGCACATGAAAAAAGTTGATTTAAATTATAAAAAGTTTGTTATTTTATTTACTGATGAAGCAGATATTCTCCAAGAAGGAAAGTAAATCAAGAAACAATGGTAAAAGATTAAAGAAAATTTCAGATTTTCAAATATTATCCTAGTTATCTTCGCTTTCACAGATAATCACGAAGTTATGAAAATATTTAAAGAGCTTGTTGATTATTGCTAAGATGGTTTTGTAATTCACTATAAAGAAGAAAAAACTATTCATTCTTATTTTTAAAATATGACAGAAACATTAATGCAAGAATCTTATGAAATAGAATACATTTCATGAAATAATTTATTAATTTATAATTTTGTTGAAATTTTGAAAATCTTATAACTAAAAATATCCTATTATGTTTATGAATAACCAAAAAAAATAATTATAAGATAAAATTCCTTCAATATATTCTTTTATCTTAACAAAAAGTTTGTAATTAGAGTTATACCAACCAATATATCTAACATTTATTTTATATTCTTAAAATATTGATATTTATTGATAATTTTTTTTCTCTCAAATAATTAAGTAAATAATATCCAAAATTTAGATTATTTCCATCCTCAAAAGAGTTTATAAATATAGGATTTATTTGATTGATATAAAAAATAAACTATTGAACAATTCTATTTGTAACTTATTACATATTGTTTTATATTTAAATTGTTTGTTGAATCTATAAATATTTTCCGTAAATCCTCATTAATTCTCACCAACCCTCCCCCCAAACTCCAGGAGTACTATATGGTGATTTATAAATATTCAGAAAATATGGTGAAAATTTATGCTGGTGAGAATATATGAGGATTTAAGGTAATAAGTTTTAAATTACTAAATAAAATGAAATATCAATATTTTTATATGATTTAATTAGAAAAGATTTAATCAGATAGATTATAAATCTTTCTATAATAATTGGATTATTTTTGATATTAATAATGTAATTCAGTTTGTTATTCTATTTGCGTTGTTAATATTTAACAGTGTTTATAATTCTTATTTGTGATTATAATTATTTAACATAGATAAATCTTTAAAAAAAACAAAAGTTATTAAAGCTATTCATTTTATATCACATAGAAATAAATTTAAGAAATGGAAGAAATTTTAAGCAATATTCTTGAAAGCAAGAAGACAAAAACACTTAGAGAGTATGAAGAAATAGTTTAAAAATCTGGAATGATTTGGAAGAAATCATTTGAGTATAATACTCCAATTACAGGATAGGTCAATTTTGATGATTTCTTTAAAATTGCTGGAAAAAATGTACAGAAAGTATGCAAATTTATCGTCAAATGCATAGACAGAGTAATTTTCTTTCTTAATTTTTAAAACTAATTTATATATTAAACCAATTATAAAGGGAGACAGTATAGAATATGTAAGGTCAGTATAGTTCTTTTATAAAACTGTTAGTGGTGAAATAGTAGAAGGTTTTTAATAGATGCATCCTTAAGCTCCAAGCAAAGGAAAATTTGCAGAAAAAATATTTGAATTGGAAGACGATGAATATATAATAAAGATGATTGGAAGAACTGGTCTATTTCTGGATGCATTCGGCTTTGAAACAACCAAAGGTACTAGCTAATAAATTATTTCATTTAAATATTTATTTATAAGAAATTAAATGATATGATTAGGTAGATAATACGTATTTGGAGGTAATGGTGGAGGCGAGAGAGAGTTAAAGGCTCCAGATGGTTTACATTTTTCAAATTTTGGGTCAATTCATTGCGATGGTGGTGTCTTTAGTGTTTTATGTGATTCTTTGATTATACCAAACAAGGAAGAAGATAAAAATAAATAGCCTGTTGATTTCGAATAACTAGGAACTGCTGTCAAATACATCATTGATTGCTTGGGAATAAAAGATATATTTACTTTATTCAAATTGAATAGATATTTTGCATCATGGAGATATTCAGCAATATTCCTTAATAAGCTATCAAAGAGAATTATTTATAGTTGCAATATTTAAACAAGATAATACATAGAAGAAATCATGAAAAATGCCAATACAAGCTATCGTTCGATATAGCAGATTTAAAAACTTTTAAATGTAACTAAAAATTAGATTTCTAATCCGTTTGGAGATTAGGACTTTAATGGATTTACAGTTACTAAAAACGGAGGAAATGGAGTAATTGTCATTCATTCGAATATGCAAAACTATAGAAATTCTGCATTTTAGACTTCTTTTGCATACGGAGAACTCATGTTCGAAGCTAAGTTATCTGATTTGTTTGATGAAGAATTTATGTAAATGCTGATATCTAGAAATGCATGTATTGTAGCTGGGTGCTATATGAAATAACCTGGATTTGGTGCAGAAGTAATTTTAATATAATTCAAACAATCTATGAGATAATCAAAAAATAAATTAAATAGGGGTATGTTGAGTTATTCATAAGAGATGACAATGCTTAAAAAAATATTTTTCACTAGAAATTAAGTGATACTAAACTTACGAAGGATTGGAAGTAGCTATTTATTAAATATGAAAAAGATGAATTATCAAACGAAATGGCAAAATTTACACCTACTTCAATTAAATTATTAGTAGGAGGTAAAGATACTTGTTATTGGGGAGGACATTATGGTAATATTTTCTCAGGAATAACCTTAAGAGGAATTCCTTTTTATTCAAGAAAGGATAAAGCTTTTCTTTCAATATGAGAAATCAAAACATATTATATACTTTAAATCCATTATAATTCTCATTAAAATTAATTCTCAAAATTTAATAAATAAGTAAATATAAATATAATTTTAATAAAAAACAAATAAATTTTAGAAATCTATAAATATAAATTAAACAGTATTTAAATTTTTATAATATAATTTATTTTTTTCAGTTTCAATAGATTCTATTTGATTAGTTGTTTTTATTTTTAAATTTGACTCATGTAAATTATAAGATCATATTGTAATAAAATTAAATTAATGGAATAAATTGTTTGGTAATTTAGGTTAAAGCAAAAAAAAAATTATAAAATTTAAAAATCATTTAAATAATTTAATTTTATATTTTTAAAGAAAAACTTGATCTCAATTATTCATTTGTTAATTTAAATATTTTTATCCATGAATCGTATAGAATTAATTGCATTATTTCTTTAATAAATTACAAGAAAATTTTATTCTACTACTTAATTGATTTGGATATTTTAAAAGGATGAGTAATTAATTAATTAATTAATTTTGATTTAATCTAGCATATTTAATACATTTCAAACTATAAATGTTACATTAAACATGCAAAAATGCTTAAAGAAAGAATGTGTTTTAATAATTGAATATAGTAATTCCAAATTAATTTTGCTAACTTAATTAACAAAATATTATGATAAAAATACAGTAAACATTATACATTTGATTTAATTGATTAGGAGGTATTGTTTATAATATATTATTGTTTAGTATTAATTTAATTTTTAGAATTAGAAATTTATTTATTTATTTTTTGGAAGTGTTATTTACTTACTTACTCATTAATATTAGGAAAGAAAGAATTAGAGTTTTTTTTAATATAAATTCAAATGAGCTTTTTACCAGCAAAAAGAAGTACACTATTATCTCTCTAGAGATTTGTGTTCGAGATGCTGTTAGCGCTTGTTGTAATACCATTTACTATATTATTTTGGCTACTGATAGGATTAATTAACTTGTTACTATAATTTTTTGATATATATGAATTGTTACTTCCTTGATCATAGTTTTTATTATAATTAACTGGTTTGATATTTGTTAATATATTATCTTAAACAGATTTAATTAAATTTCTCTTATTTTCATTTATTGGTGGGAGAGTTGGAATTGTATCTTTGCTTTGCTAATAACGATGATTTCCTAATTAAAGATTTTATTAAGAACCTTTAGAACTCATAGGATGCTTCATTTATATTAAATTTTCAATACTTCTACTTCTGCTAGCTTTGCTGATGTGGGGATTGTGGCGCTGCTCATAAGCATCTAAATTCATTTCTGATTGAATTTAATTGATTGAGGGTATATTGCTAGAAGAAGGAATCATATGCTAAGAATATACTCCGTTGTAATGGCTACTCTTTTTTGGGATTACAGGAGAGATATTTTTTTAAGATGGTGGTTAGCTGAGCTTTCGTTATTCGTTGCGCCTAAGTGGGCTATTAAGTTAATTGTTAATTTAACTATCACTGATTTGTGTTGAAATTGGATTTTTTGAGTTAGCTTCATTGCTAAAAGAATTCATTTCTGAAGAAGCTGTTGACTCATATTAGGGCTCTGGCAATATGTTATTAAGTTATTTAAGATTCCTCCCTACCTTCAGAGTCTTTAGCAATTCCTACTTTACATCACAATTAAAAGGATTGTAGTCAACATTCAATTCTTAGGCTATGTTGAGTCTTCTTTAAATGTAAGGTGTTTCAAGTAATTCTGAAGTTGTTAATCTCATTTTTGGATTTACTTACAAGCACAAACTCAGAAAGTCAGTTAAATCTTATGAATACCAAGATGGGATAGGATCATATTACCCTTTTTGTACTTTCTTAAACAAGCCTTCCATATCTTGAGCCTTGAATGGTGGGTTTAAAGAAACCAATTCGTAGATTACACACCCAAGAGACCAGACATCTGATTTTGAATTATAAGGCTTATCTCTCCACACTTCAGGAGAAGCATAATAAGGAGTTCCAGTCTAAGTGTAAAGCATCCCTTTCTTAGCGACTTTTGAGACATTTAAATCTCCAAGCTTCAAATTTTTATGATCACGAGTGAGCATAATGTTGGCACACTTAAAATCCCTATGCAAGATATTTAAATCATGTAAACACTTTAAACCTTTAATCATCTAAATTATATACAGCCAAACTACCTTCTCATCAAGATACTGGTTCTTTTTCTTTAAATTGCGAATCTTGTTTAAGAGGTCACCGCCCGCACAATATTCCATTATTATATGTAAGAGTCCAGTCTTTTCATCATAAAATGCTTCTTTATATCCAATGATCTCTTATGAGCTCAAAGAGGCAAGGAACCTAACTTCGTTGATAGCGTTTTCTTGCTCTTTGGCAGAAAGACTTCCCATCTTAATATTTTTCATAGCATAATCTTAACCATTGCTGATTTTACGAACTTTAAAAACACTGGAATAGGCACCTTCACCTAATTTCCTAATTACATCAAAATCATTCAAAGACATCTTGCAAATTTACACAAAAACTGTTCTTCAAAATAATCTTAAGTCAAAGTAGCAGCTAACTTTTAAATTTAAACTTATTTGTTTGAACTTATTTATTTATGGTTTTAATATAGAAATCAAAAGCTCTTTTCTCTACTTAAACTTTTTTTAAAATGAATAAAAGTAAGATTAGCACATTTATTTAAAAAATATGAAATATTTGATTATAATTAAACAATAAATATCTACTTTAGTGCTAGCTATGGTCTTAAGTTAAAACAATATTTAAACAATTTATTATATACTCTCGTTATTTGTATTTTTTTTTACTTTTAATTTTTGCTTTTTTTACTTGTTTTTTTGTTTGTTTGTTATTTGTATATTTTTTTAAGAGTTAAAATGTTTAAATTCTTACTTTCTAAATTTAATTGTTTTGTAATTAAAATTAATATAAAATAATAACAACCTTTGAAGTCATTTTAAAAGTAATATTAAAATATAAGCATATTTCTTTTTTGATGAAAATAAATCCAGTTAGTTGCCTCATTTGCACTAACTCTTTTACCATTTCTTCTTTTATATCAAAGTTAATAATATTAAAAATCAACCTCTTAAATTGCTTATCTATTACCTTCTTCGCTTATCTCTATCTATATTTTAAGCAATCTTTACAATTTGTCTCATATGTTAAGACAGATATATAGATCTATCTTTTTATATTGAATCCATCATTCGATCGTTAAAATCTTGTTTGTATCTATATGACTTCCAATTTATTTATATATAAAACTAATTAATCTAAAAAATAAAAATAATCTTCTTTTAAAATAAATAACCATTAAATTATTACCACATAATTATTCAATAATAAAGACAAACAATAACAAAATTTTATATTTATTGAAAGACAGAAAATTATCATAAAATTAGCTAAATAATTCAAACTATGTAATTTATATTTCATTCATTTTTATTTATTTTTTCTATTTTTTCCTCAAGCATATGATTGAAGTTTTACTATCTTTTGTAAAAAATAAAACTTTTTTATGTTGAACTTGTGAGTTTAAGCACTAAAATAAAATACAAATTAATTTTGCTAATTATATTGATATATTTTATAATAGTTTTATTCTTTTATTTTAAATCGTTAATTTCAATAAGCTATTTAAATTTTTTATTAGTTTTTTAAAAATATTTGATTAAGTAAATATTACTTTATAATAACCTAATTGTTTACATTAAACAATAATTTAAAGAAAAATCATAAAATCATACAGGGAGATAGTTATTACTCTTTTATATCTTAATAAATAACTATAATTATTCTGAAATTCAAAGAAAAATAGTAGAAACACATTATTAATTTTATAAGGATGTATTATACTTTTCTATCATATTTTATAATTGATGAAATCAAGAAGTTCTTTTATATTGGTAGCGATTTAAATACAGTTATTATAAAAGATATTAATTTGCAAAAAGATATTTATTGAAACATATTTATTTATTATATTAATTCCTATGAAATAAAAAAAAATCTTTTAAAATTAAAATTCTCAAGTGATTATGAATTTAAATATTATTTTGATTTTAATAATAAATATGAAGATAGTTTTATTTTGATATTTTAAAGCATGTTTAATATAATTTTTTATATAAAAGTATCTAAGTAATAACCTTTAATGATATCTAAATATTGCATTTAAAATCAACAAAAATAGTTACACATACACTTAAAAAAAATGAGTAGATATTATCTTAAGACACCACTGTATTCTATTTTTTTATGTTTTTCATATCAGAAAGACGAAATAGCTTTATTTTTGTTGATATCAATAAAGATTTTCTATTATCTTTTTTATTTGATTAGAATGTGCTATTAAATATGATGTAATATAGTCCTTTCATATGTATGATTGATTGGCATTTTATATAGACCAAGGCTTTTTGAGAAATTAATTATTTTTTGTTGAGATAAGAAAATTTTAAATTAATAAAATAAAAAGATATTAAGTTTATAAAAGAAGAAGATAAGATATGATTCCCAAATACTCAATGAACCCCTGGCACTATGTGAATTATGGTCCAGAAGCACCTAGAATAGTAACATCAGTTATTGAAATTCCTTAAGGCTCCTAAGCAAAGTATGAGCTTGATAAGGAGTCAGGTATGCTCCGTTTAGATAGAGTTCTCTTTTCAGCTGTTCATTACCCCGCTAATTATGGTTTTATTCCCTAAACCTACTGCGATGATAAAGATCCTTTGGATATTTTAGTACTCTGCTCAATTAACGTCGAGCCTCTTTGCTTAATAGAATCTAAAGTTATTGGTGTTATGCATATGATTGATGGAGGAGAGACTGATGATAAAATTATTTCTGTAGCTGCTCATGATGCTTCAGTAAATCACTTTAATGACATCAGTGAGCTACCTCAACATATGTTAATGCAAATCAGAAGATTCTTTGAAGACTATAAGAAATTAGAAAAGAAACAAGTCATTGTTGAAGAATTTTAAGGTAAAGAAAAGGCTTATTAAGTAGTTGAAGATTCAATCAAAATGTACAAAGAACATTTCCCTCAACATGATGATCCTAAGTTGTGATTGAGTTATTATACAAATGCATTTTTTATTTTTTTTATATGTTAATATGTAGCCAATCTTATAAATTCGTTTTGAAGTACCTAAAGCTTCTATTATAACATTTTCAAATTGATATTTTAAATATTTAAGCTTATTCAAAGAATAAAATCATTATATTTTTAGATAATTTATCCTGAAAAAAAGTCGTATTTTACTATTTTAAGTTACTAATATTAATAAATCTTCTTGAGTAGAATATGTTTGCCTGATAATTAGTATTGAAAACAAAAAATATAAGCAATTGATTAACTTTTTTATTTTCTAAAATAAATTATATTTTGGTAATCATAAAGTTAATGAATGATCTAATAACAGTTGTAATAATGCAAAAAAAAAAACTAAATATTCAAGTAAACTAATATTTCATTTGAAAAGTAGATAACTTTATTAAAAATTGTAAATAATTTTTAAACAGCTGATACGAAAATTATTTTATTTCAAAAAAAATTATTTAGATAAAAATAAATTAGAAATAAAATTTATAGAAATGAGATTATTGAAGCCAAATTAATTTGTTAAAATTAATTAAATTTATTAATTTAAAATTTAAAAATATAAATTGAAATTTTTCTATTTTAAATTAAACTTTAAGAATCTTATTAAAAAATACAAATAAATAAATCCTTCTTGTTATTATATTATGGATAAACCTAATAAAAATTATTATTAACTTTTAGAAATACAATTTAATTTTATTACTAGAATAAAAAAATGTAATTTATTTAAATTTTAGATGTTAATCAAAATTAAATTTAATGAGCTTAATTTAAATTTCTATTGCTTATTACTATTTTTGAGATTAATAAATAAACATTATCTCTCATTATAATTTCAAAAAATTAAATTAGAATATATTTATTTATTGATTTGGTTTTTATTTTTCTTGCCTAAAATTAATATTTAAAAAGTAAACTTCTTTAAATTTAACTAAAAAAAATAAATCAAATATAAATTAATTTATCAAAAATAAACATTTTTTTAGAAGTTTATTTTTTGAAAAATGAATTAGCTAACATTTATTTATAAGTCCATCCAACTTCAAATATTTTTGTTTAAAAAAATCAAATAAAAACTTATTTTTTACAAATATTAGTGCAAAAAAGTGAAAAAATAAGTGTAAAAATAGATATATAAATAAATAGAAAATTCAATTGAATATTTTTGTTGGTTTTTAAATCTTTGAAAATGTAAATTAATGAGTATATTTATTTATTTTATTTAACTTTATAATTATAGGATAATAAATAAAAGAAATTGTTATTCAATGTAATTAATTTGAATATATTTTTTAGATAAAAGCAAAAGGTATGTATGCATGTATATTGGAATGCATAAAAGGATCATAAAAAATATTAATTTACACTAAAAGTTATATAAAATTAAATTAAGACACGTTTCCATAAGAATACCCACTCACAAAAGTGAAAATTAAATTCATCTATGAGCAACCCCACTCTGTTTATTTTAAATTATTATAAAAGATTTTTGATAAGCAGTATGCGATTTCTATTCGTTTAGTATATCATCGCAGGTAGAGTCAAATACTTACTTCCTTTTAAATTAAAGGAAAAATTGAAAAATTAAATGAAATTTTAAAGATCAAAGATGAAATTATAAAGGATTTTTAAAATTTGATACATGAAACTCAATATTAAGTGTTTTATAGAATTATTTATTAATATAGTTTTTTTAAGTATTTAATATAATAGTATTTATTTATTTATTTGTTATAAATTTAAACATTGATTTGCTTGTTGAGTCAATGTTTGCTTGCTTTAAAACCCTAGTTAGTTAGTTAGTTACAAGTTTTTTAAGTCACATTTTTAGAAATTAATTTTTATTATCAAAAATCAAAAGAAACATCTTTGATAGTATTTGTGAGGATGAATTAGTTAGTTTTATAATTATAATTTTTATAATTATTATAATTTTAATAATTTATAGCTTTTACTCAGTTTATATTTTATAATGAGCTTTAAGGATTATTTATCATTAAGTTGTTTATATGAATTTAATTTTTATATTGATTTTGGAATATTTAACAATTTACTACATATTAACCATCAATTTTTGTTTCTTTCTTTATCTTTTTTTTTCCGTTTTTTTATAATTTTTGAGAGGTTGTTGTTAATTACCTTAAGTTACTTTTAATATTAATGTTTTTTATTAGTTAGGAAACAAGAATTTTGTTTGAATAATTAACTTAACCCGATATAACTCAATCAATCAAAATTCTTTATAGATGATTAAGAGCAAGCGGAAGGAAGAATGTTGAACTCAGCTATTGAATTTTTTGACTAACTCTGGGTTTAATCACTATCCAATAAATTTAAGGAGTGCTCGATTATGTTAATACCTGAAAAGCTTTAAGTAATGACTCTATTATGTTTGGTAGTTTCATGAGGTGTGGAGGTAAGTGCTGTAGAAGAAATGCAAAAACTCTATTTTCTTGGATTTTTAAGCACTTTAAGCTTATCTAATTAGTCTGGTTAGCCTATGCATTTTTAGAAGTATTAGAGCATTATTAAATGGGAATCCTTATTTTCTACTTTTGAGTGAATGAATAACCAGTCTTAGGCATAATTTAACAACCAAAATTCAAAGACGGCACTGTAAGATTAATTCATCAATAAATCTTTTATTAATTTGTTATTGAACTTCTTCTTTTTTAAGTAAGCTGAGAATCTTTGTCTAAATTGCTCTAACTCTTTAGGCTCTTTCATTCTAAGTAGTTGAGTAACTTTGTCCTTATTTTCTGATTCGTTTAGGAATGACTTGAAAGCCTTTACAAAATTTTTTACTACATTTTTTTTCTCAGCCTTTGCAAGGTACTCCTTAGTAAAGTCGATATCTTGAATTATGTTTGAATAATCATTAAAATCTATTTCAGATTGATTGCTTTCTCCAAATGTGGAGTTAACTTTTACTTATTGAGTTTTATCTTATTAGCTACCTAAATTTTTACAAGGAGTTTAGATGATAAACTAGCTCTAAAGTGAATTATTTTCGTGTGAGGAGATTTCTGGTCTTTAAAGGAGCTCTATTGCTATTTAACCTTGGAGAATCGAGTAAAGATCTTGAGATAAAATCATAGATTATTAAGGAGAAAAAGAGAGTTTTTAGTCAGAGGCGTTCGAGTTATGCTAATAGCTGGAAAGAGATTCATCGATTATTAATTTATCACATTTAGGATTAATTTTTTAAATAATATTCTTATCAGCAACATTCTGAGTGGTTTGGTTTAGACGGGGATTTTCTTTATTAATAAATTACGATTAATTAGTGGATTCCTAATTTTGGTTAGGAGGGGTGATGTAATTATTATTATTTAGAAAAATATTACTTGTCTGATTAATTAATAGCTATTATTTATTATTATTATTAGTACTGAGTAATGATTTCTGTTCAGATAATTCTGATTTGCAATGATCAAAATTTAAAAATTTTTAATTCTTTAAACCTTAACTTTCAAATTAGTGGTTTATAGCTTAATCAAAAATGTATTTGTTGCAAGAGGGTTCATTAATCAATGTTATATCTGACAAGTCAGAGTTGCAGCTTCCTTTGCGCAGTTTAGCTCTGAGAATACTATCCTAAATCAAGCAAGAATCTTCAAATTCTAAGAGCTTTTAGCTAGTTAATTGTGATTATTATTGATTACAAGAAGAGCAAATTTACCCAGAAGAGATTTGATTGCAGTATTTTTCTTAATTTTAATTAAGAATATCAATATCAAAATTTATCGTTTATTTCTGATTACCATACTAGAAATCAATACTTAATTAAAGTTTTTCATCACAATGTTAGATTTTTGGTACAACTTCTATTGTTTCAATTCTATGTTTTTAGCTATCATTATTCATCTCCAAGTACTCTGAGCTAGTGTGAGCAGAAATTTACACTTTCAAATTTTTTTTAAGGTCAATTTGCTTTTAAAAAAGCTATCCGTTATAATATTTAGTACTCCCATTAGTCTTTTAAGGGTGGAGCTACCTGTTGACTTTTATCTGAGAAAATTATTAGGTGGCAGTTTAGTTTTTCTTGTCAGCTGCTTTTATGACCTCAGTCTGATGAAAGTTTACTTATTTAAAATTGCTTGATGACTATTTTATATTTTGAGTCATTCGTCAAAATACTAGAAACCTGTCTCAGAAATTCTGAATAGAAAAGCACCTGAGGAGTTTACAATAATGAAAAATTGTTTTAGTTAGTATTTGCTTATTAAAATTTTCTTTTTTTTTTTTTTTTGATAGAGAATATTGATTTTTATATTTATGAGAAAGAATACTATTTATTTATTTTTCAAATTTGGTGTTAAAATGAATTATTAAATTTTTAGTTTGTTTGTTTGTTTAGCTGGATATTCTTTTTATAATTAAAGCTGGTTTTTTAGTTAATATTTTTGCAGCTATTAGCTATTTGGGGTGTTTTAATCTTTTTCTTATTTACTTTTTCTTTTTGTTTTGAATTTTTATAAATGATTTATAATTTATTTGTAATTTCATAAAGAATAATTAATCTTCAAAACAAACTAAAAAAAGAAATAACAAAATGAATATTTTAAATTACTTTTTCATTTCATTTAATTTAATTTGTTTGGTTTTTTGACCATTAGGAAAAATAAATATTTTGTTTTTCTAAGTTGGTTTCTGCAAATTTGGATTAGAGTTGCTTATTAATAAGCAATATTTTTACAATTTTGTTAATATTCAAAGATTTAATTACCAATTTCTAATATAAAATTATAAATTCATAAATTTTTTCATACTTTGATTACTTTTTTTAATAATATAGACTAGCTTTTCACAAAGCCTTTTGCCATAATAATAAATCTATAGACGAAGAAATCGAATTTGATTTGTCATTAATAAAATAAATAAATTTGATTAAAAGTAATTTTCAAAATACTTTATGGACGAATAATTATTATAAACAATTCTTATTACAAATAATTTATAATTAAAAATTTTTTCAATCAATTGATTAACAAATAATAATTTAACATTTTTTAATATTTTTATATCTAAATTGTGCTTTTATTTTTATGCAAAACTTAAAGGAAGATATTAAGTGTATAGAATGAAATGAATAATTGCAATAAATTAATTTTTAGATCAACTCAATCAAAAAAATTTTAAGAAAATTTAATTCAATCTTAACTTTAAATTTAAATTAAAAAAGAATGTTATCATCTATTTTTGATTTATTGATTAGTCAATTGCCTTCTAGCCTATTTACATTTAATAAAAGAATTAGACAGTTTAAATACTTGTGATCTTTACTTGAGAAACGAAGATTGTTTAATACAGCACTTATATTATTTGATTGACATTTAACTAAAGAAATACTTACTAAAAATCTAATAAATAGGGCACAATATACTGAAATATAGAGTGAGTCTTTCATACTTTCATTCAAATACTAAAAAATATTCCTCTTTCGAATTATTTTATTTATATTAGTGGGGGTTGCTGCTTACTATAAAATAACAATATTATTTGGGAAACACTTAAGTAGACCCCCCTTTTATTTTAATAAATTGAGCTTTTAAATGGGACAAATGAGATACTAATAGAGAATAGCTAGCTATCATGCTGATAAAAAATATCTAACCTTTTCTTAAAAATTTTTAATTCAGATTAGTAGTGTTAAAGATTTACATCAAACTAAAATTAATTATAAAAATAAATATTAAAATAAAGCAAAAACATTCACTCATAAACTCATACTTAGTATTTACTAAAAATTTGTTCAGTATGATTTTGAATCTGATTAATCTACTATAAATTTAATAATTTTAATAGAATTGCTTATATTTTTTCATTCATTTATCCATAAAATTATTTTTAAACTAGTTCAAAAAAATATTTCTTCAAAGCTTCAAAATCAAATAGAATTTGTTTAATTTGAAGTGAATTTTTAGATTAAAAAACATTTATAAAACCTTTTAACTAAATGTAAAGAAGCTTAAAAATATTCTTTTATTAAATAATAAAGAAATTTAAATAAAAAATAAAAGACATAGTTAAATATTTTGTATTAAATTAAGTCTTTAAATTTTTGTTTGTTAAATCAAATATTTAAAATTTAATCATTTAAATTATAAAAAAAATAGCTATGATAAAGATTAGGATAAACAATACAAATAAATTTCACTTTCTTACCTTTGAATTAACTCATTTTTAACGAAGATTTAAAAAAGCATTTTTAAAAATTTTTTTAACTTAATTCAAAACTTAAATTTGATGTTCATATTTATTATTTTTTATTTATGAGGTATAATTGAAGTTAAGTATATCTTGTTAAGCCCTAATTTTATTTTGAAAATATATTTTAAGCCATATATTTTGACTAACTGACATTTTCTCTAAAATTAATTCTAATCAGCTTATCTTCTTTTTAATGTTTTTAAAAATCCGATAAAACATGTTTATAAAGTTATTTAACTCCCAATTAAAAGTGTTAATAATAATAATTAAGAACATTTTAAAACAATATTATATTATAATTAATTATACATGTCTAAAGTAGTAAATAAGAAAGGAAGAACTAAAATACTTTATCTTTATATCATGTTTATTTATTTCTATAGGTAGAAAAGAGATTATAAAGACAAACTCCTTTATTTAATTTGATTTGATTAGCAAGAAGAAGATAGAATCACTAAAATTATACGAAATTGATACATCCAACATATGAACAAAAAAAGAGTAGTGAAGTGACTCAAAATTAATTTACTTTTCTTCATCATTTTATTATCAAATTCAATTAATAATGATGATGTTTTTTAATCAGTAGAGACGTCATCTAGTTTTAGCCATTCGCTTTATCAATTAAAAACTTTTAATATTCCTTCTATTGATAGTAATTATATTCAAAGGTATTTGAAACTATAAAAATAATAATAATATATTATAAAATGTGTATTTTTTTCTTTGAGATTCATTTTCCTTCATATTTTAGCATCATAATAAAATTTTAATGGAGTTTTAGGTAAAAGTTTTATTTTATAGAAAGTGGCTTTATATTGAAATTAAGTAAATTATAGATTACGTAATCGTATTTTTACGTGCTTATATATGTAAGACAACTTTCATCAAATTTGTATTTCTAAAGAAATACATTAACCTTAATAATTAAATTATTACATAATTAAGCAATCAATCAATAATTAATTAAATTATTTGCAAAAATTCTTAATAATTGGATTGAGTTTTCTCAATAGAAAATAAATATACTATTAAAACTTTATCCATATTTTGTTTCCATTAATTCAGTAAATATTACATCTTTTTCACCTAAAGACCGAAATGATTTAAATACTTCAATTAAATAAATAAAAATTGTAAATGCTTCTAAATTAAGCAAACTCTTTCTAATTAATAATAAAATTTTTATTATGATTAAAAATTCCTGATAATTAATTTATGTTAAACAAAAACATAGTTTATTATAACTTTCTATTACTTAAACCTTTAAAATTCATAATACAAAACAAATGAATCATTCTACACAAACAATCTAGGAAATTTTTTATTTCTTTTATAATTTATTATCAGTACTAAAAATGTATTTTTATGAATTACTTTATTAAATATTAATAGACTTATTTATTGATATTGTTGAATTAATTTTTTATTAGTTTCAACCATTTATTTATTTAGAATGTTTTATATTATAAAATTATTTAATATTTAAAAAAAAATAAATATCAATAAATTAAATATTTTTATTTATTTTCATAAAATAAAATTTTATTTAAAATAAATATAATGAATTAAATAATAATATTTTTTAATAACTATGATTTACTGTTAAAAATAAATTTAATTTCAAATATTCTACAGATAGCTTAGTAAACAATTCACAGCCCATAAAATAAATAAAAAAAAAGAGATTATGATTAATATTTAATGGATTATGCCGCTTTTTAATTTATATTTTGAATTTGAAAACCTAAATATATTTGTTTAGCTAAAAGATTTGAGTTAAAAAATAAATTTCAATAAATATTAGGTTGAAAAACAAATTTAAAATATCAAAAAAAATATAAATAAGTTAAAAATTAATAAAAAAATACTTATTAGAAATGCCTGAAGAATTATATATAGCAGGAGGAGTCTTTATTATTATAGTAGGAATATTAGCTTATTTAGGTTATTATGGAGTTCTTAGTCCTGTCACTGTTTATAATAAGAAATAATATTTTGGTCCTCGCCAATACCTTTATTTCAATCAAAGAATAAACTATATCAAAAGTAGTGAAATCTGGAATAAAGTTTGTGAAGCTATGAATAAACATTTCAAATTTGCAGTGCCAGCTGGTTTATACTATGATCCTATTGAAATTGTTGAAGATTAAGATAATTGCAGAATAACATTTGGTATTTTGGTAAACCCTGGAGAAGTTAAAAAGATTGAAGCATTTTTAGCAGAATATCCTGAGTACAGCTAAACTACTCTTCCTAGCGTCGACGTTATTTATGCAAATTTTCCTTACAGAAGCGTTATGAGTTTCATGTTTGGAGTCAAAAAAGTATATCCTAATTTAAAGAAATATATTGAAAAGCATAACATTGAAGTCACATCCTTCATGGAATTGTATGACTTAACATTTGGAAAAACCATTCAATTTTATGCTTTTTATGGAGATAAATCTAATGCCTACTTCTTAACAGAAGACGAAGCTCCTAAATACAAAAAGTTATCATGAAATTAATGTTTAAAAAAAAATATTTTTTGTTACAATTTTGAGTTTTTTTGTTAAAAAGTATTTTCTTTTTATTTTTTGAAATTATAATTTATGTTTTTCATATTATTTATGCAAGAGTCACCAAATCTTTCAATTTTTAATAAATAATTTAAAACTAGTTTGTTTTTTAGGTTAGTAATAAAATTTGTTTTCTATCTTTTAATTTATCTAAATAATTATCAGAAATACAATGACAGAGAAATAAGAAATCTTATAAAGAGAAAATTTAATGTCTGTTTGCTTGTTTATTTTTATTTATTTATTTAATTATTTAAAGCTTACCTTGAGTATAAAAATTTCTCTGGTTTGTGTTTTATAAATATTGGATATTAATAATCAATAATAACTTTTAGTATTCTACTTGAATTATTATAAAAATTCTTTGGTTTATTCATACTAAATAAGATCTGCAATATATTTTTGAAGTAAGACTAAAAATTTTGAAAAAAAGAAAATGATAAATTCTGTTAAAATAACAAAAATCATATTCCTGCTGAGCTTAGTATAAATTTTAGGGACATCATCTAAACGCGAGCTCGAAATGGTACAAGTTTTATTTAGACATGGTGCTAGATACACCATGCATGGTAATCTACTAAATTAAGATCCAGAATAAGAAATGCTCATGGATAATAAGGGCTAATTAACAGAAGTTGGAATGAGGCAATTGTATTTATTAGGTAAAAAAATTAGAAAAAATTATATTATTGATCAAAACTTAATACACCAATAATACAATAAGTAACAAATTCATGTGTAATCGTCAAATGTTAATAGAACTCTTTAGTCTGCCCAAAGCTTTATGCTTGGTTTATATCCTATTGGAACTGGTTTTTAAATTCCTACTGGAGTCAAAAGCGAATTATTGAGTCCACCTTCATTTACTTCATCAGAATCTGACAAAGAATTATTGAATGAGAGTTTTATTAATAATTAAGCTTTACCAAGCGGCTTTTATCCTTATCCCATTCATAGTTTGGGGAACCATGATCATATTTTGAACCCTCCTTGCCCTGCTGAAGATGAAATTGAAGAAAAATAATATCAAAAATCAGAAAAATTGATTTAAGAAGAAATTAACAAATACACCTAAGAAATTCATACCATCACAAAAAAACTAAATATTAAAGGAAATTTTGTAGCTAAAAATATAACTAAAATTCAAGATATTATTAATACATAGAAATATAGAGGTATTGATTATGGAATAACTGAAGATGAATATTAGTTAGTCATGTATTTAAAAGCTTATGTCAAGATTTTATAGTAATTTACATTTGATTACAGCAGATTGATTTCGGCACCTCTTTTTAACTTTATATTTGGTCATTTTGACAACAAGGTATAATCTTATTTTATTATTATATCATTACTTACATCATCTCTTATTTAAAAATTGAGAAATATTTCTTAAACGAATAAAATTTATATTTTTAACAAATAAGTAAACAACATATTGTTAATATTAAAAGAATTTTTTTTTATAATAATAAATAGATAAATGACGAAACTAGCTTGAAAATGATAATAGAAAGTACACATGATAGCTAAATAATGCCAATGCTAGTAATGCTTTAATTAATTAATGCTGAGTGCTTAAAGGCAGACTATGACAATGAAACAAACTATTGTTAGAAATTCCCTCCTTTTGCTTCAAATTTTATTTTTGAACTTTACAGTGTAAGTAAAGATGAATATGAAATTTAAATTAAGTATAATGGAAATTATATAAAAGTCTGTGGAGATAAAATATTTTGTAATTACAAAGAATTTAAGAATTAAATATTAAAAAAGATAGTAAGTATGGAAGACTATCCAAATTAATGTGGATTAACAGCAGAAAGCAACTTTGGAAAATAAGATAAAAAGAGTTATATTCCTGTATGGATAGTTGTATTCATCGTGATTTTGATTTTAGTAATCATTGGTTTAGTTATTTACATCAAAAAGATTTAAAATGATTTTAACATTCATTATGACAGATTTAAAAATGTTGTCAGTATCTGATAAATAAATCAAAAGTGAGCCTTTTATACTTATTATTTACATGTTGTGCTATTCCAGTTTATAATTTGAGAAAACTCTTAAATGAAATCTTAATTTTTATGTCATACTTTTTAATTTGATAGATCTTAATTAGAAACAAATTATTTATAATTAATGGTAAAATTTAATATTGTTATAACTTAAAATTAAAAGGTACTTTTTATAATAAATTTTTATTGAAAAAAAATATATAATTTAATCAATTTTTTATATTTAATTTATTTATTGCTCACATTAGTGGAGATAAATTGTGAGAAAGAAAGAAAGAAAGAAAGAAATAAATAAATACAACATATGTTCTAAATCAAAATTTGAAATTTATAATAATAATTAAAATTTCAAAAAGTAAAAAAAAAACTCACACACAAAAGAAAAACAGAATATTAGATAAAGTTCTTTCCATCTATAAAAAATTTGGAGAGAAAATGGTTAAAAAGAAAGGAAAAAAAGGAAAAAAGAAAGGAAAGAAGAAATAGAAAAAGGTCAAGGAATACGATCCTCCCAAATATGAATTACCAGAATACGAAGACCCAGATATTGTGACACCAAAAGTGGAATTGACTATTAAGTTAGCAAATCCTGTTAATGAAGTACTAACTCTAAAATTATCTGATATTCCAATTACAACTAGAGTCGAATACATAAGATAAAAAATAGCAGCTATGCACCAAGGAGCAGTAAGTGAGATCATGATTTGTAGAGATAGATTCAACCCTGAAGAAGCATTTGACCCTACTAAAACTCTTGAAAAATGTGGAATAATTTCAGAAGGCGAAGTCAAATTGTTTTATGATTTCAAACCTGTAACAAACCCACTTTTAGTTTGATAAAGCAGCTATTTAATACTTTATAATAATCTAAAAAGCATAATTAAATTACTAATAATTCTCCATTTCATATAAAGTACATATATTTTCTTAATATATTACATGTTTGTTTCTTATAAGTCTTCATTAGCAATTACAACAACTTTAAAAAGTCCAACCAAATCACTAAAAAAAAAATAAAATAAATAATTTCTTATTTTTATTACCAAACAATAGAATAACTTTACATAAATAAACAACTTCCACAATTTAAGATAAAATAAGTAAAATATATTTTGAAATACACATTTAGTTAAAAAATATTTAGTTTAATCTTTAAAAATTTCAAGGAGATATTTATTGCTAAAATCTTATTGGAAATTAAATAAAATTAATTTGATGAGTTTTCATATAAATTTACATAATAAAAAAATTTTAATTTATTTGTTTATTTTCTTATACTTAAATTTATGAAATTATTTTAGTTGAGATTTAAAATTTTAATTTTTTATGATTATCTATTATCTATCTATCTATCTGATAGTAGGTTTAATATATGTATATGCGATATAAATTTTGTATAATTTTTGTACTATATAGATATTAATTAATATTTGGTTGATTATTATTTAAAATCAGTCTTTAATTTTTAGTTTAGCAAGAAAAGAAACAAAGAAGTTATTTAGTAATTTAAAATGTCTAACAAAAAGAAAGCTATTTAGGTTTACTTAGATTTTATGGTTGGCAGCAAACCTTTAGGTAGAGTAGTCTTTGAGCTGTTTACAGACTTAACCCCTAAAACTGCTGAAAATTTTAGAGGGTTATGCACTGGTGATTATGGATAATCTGGCCTTAGTGGAAGAAACGCTAAATTATGGTATGAGAATAGCAAAATTCATAGAATCGTAGATAATTTTTGCATTTAAGGTGGAGATATAACAAATGGTGATGGAACAGGAGTAATTAAATTATTTACTCTATTAATCAAGAGAATAAAATTTGTATTTTATAATTATATTAGGGGTTCTCTATTTATGGTAGACACTTCGCAGATGAGGATCTATCAAGACGCCACACTTGTGCAGGTTTGCTATCTATGGCTAACTCAGGAAGAAATACTAATAGCTCATAATTTTTTATCACTCTTAAAGCAGCTCCTCATCTTGATGGGTATTATTGAATTAATTTATTAAAAGGTAAATTAGAATTATAAATATAAAAAATAGAAAGCATGTTGTATTTGGTTAAGTTATTGATGGCATGGATATAGTAAGATAAATAGCTAAAGTACCAGTTGATTTAAATGATAGACCAAAAATACCTGTTATTATTAGATAATGTGGTGAAGTAGGTGACAAAAGAGCATTTTTGAGGGTAACTTAAATAAATTTATATTTAATAATTTTAATTGATTTTTATTTTTATAGGATGATCCTTTCTCAAAACAAAGTTATGAAGAAATCTAACAAAGAAAAACTCAAGCAGAAGAACTAAGAAGATAGGGTATTGATCCTGAAGAGTATTTTAAGAAATTAGACGAAAAAGAGGAAAAATTAAACGAAATCGACGAGAGCTTAAAAGTTTTGTAGCAATTAGAGGAAAAGATTAATGAAGTTAAAGAGAAACCGATCACTGAAATGAATGAGAGTACAATAAAGGAAGACGTTATTGCGAGTGATAAAAGCAAATTAAATGAAAAATAAAAAGATAGACTGCGTGAAATTCGCTTGAAATTAAATGAAGCTAAGAAGCTAAATAGTTTAGCCGTCTTAGAAGAGGAAAAGAGAGCTGTAGATCCATATTATGAAAAGAATAAAAAGAAAGAGATCATCAAAGATAAGGCATAAAAAAAGCAAGAAGAGCTCATTAAGAAAGGCTTTGAAAAAAATTAATAATACATGGAATAGTCAGCTATTAAGCAAGAAATATTTTAGGGAAAAGAAAAGAAAAATACCACAGATAACTTTGGATGGAATGGTAAGTTTCTTTTTTTTCATCTTTCATATATTTTTAATATATTTTATTTTCCATCACAAATAAATTATATTACAAAAAAAATACAATTTCTATTAAACATTAAATTAATTTATTTAGTATTCAATTCTGATACTTTATATGGAGCCTATGAGAAGAGATGCAAAAATCTAGTATTTAATGAAGAGCAATATAAATAGTAAGTTGAAAATCCTCACCAAGAATTCCAACCCACAGAAGAATCCTTACATAGATTATAGCAAGATATGGATTAATAGTAATTTTTTAATATTAATTTAGATTTTTAAAAAAAGCTAATTTTTCTAAAATAAAACAGAAAAGCAAAGAAAAAAGAATTCAGCAGAAGAAGAGGATTCGACGAACAAAATATAGATTTCATTGATGAAAGAAACAGAGTTTTTAACAATAAAATTAAAAGACATTTTTCAGAATATACCAAAGAAATAAAAGCTAATTTAGAAAGAGGAACAGCTCTTTGAAAATATTTCAATAAAATTTTACAACTACTTTAATAGATGTATTCAATTTTCGTTTTATAAGAATTTGTAAAAATAATTTTAAAATATAGATTAAAATTAATCAATTTAAACAATAATGAAATAAAAAATAAGAAAATTGTATCATTATTAAAATTTTGGAATTTACTAATCATTAAAAATCTCTAAAACTTTTTAAATTTTAAAATCTAAAATATTTAAATGAATTATAAAGAATAAGTTCACTTTAAGCTTCTTATCAAAAAAAATAATTATTGTAAAATGATTTATTTATGATTTAGTAATTTTAGAAAAATAAAAAACTATAAAGATATCAGATAAGAAATTATTTGCAGTTGTATTTGATATTTATATAATGTTTTTGTGGTAATTTTTTATATCAGCAATTCAAAAAATAAATAGACTTTCTTTAATTAAATAATAAATATTGAATTCTTAGCATTATTATTACTCCTTTATTTTATGAATATTTTACGATAATTTTACAAAATCAATTAATTATACTTAATATCAGAAAGGTGTTTGCTTTAAAATAAAAATTTGTGATAAAATTTATATTAACTATTTATTTAATTAGTAAGAATAATAATCATTAAGTTAAGGAAGAAGATATCTGTAAATTTATTATGATGAACATAAATAAATTTTTCAATATCCAAATGACAAATCTAAAATTCGGCCATTAAACTTAATTATTTTTACATTTTTTCTATTTTTTATTAAAAAAAATAAATTTAAACTCTTTCTTAATTATATTAAAGATTTATTAAAATATTAACAATTCACTTAATATTTCCAATTATCTAAATGATCAGACTATTAGTCAATTTAGCTGAAGCAGGAATAATATCATAATTTAAGTAAAATATTCTTTACTATGTAGAGAACATCCGATGATTTATGACTTTTTTCAAAATAGTTTCTCATATTTACATTCAGTTTGCCCTATTACCTTACTAGTTACTTTCATTTAAAAATATTAGCAATTTAATGTAAAAAAGTAAAAAATTAATGGTTTTTAGGTAAAGATTGATAGTAATAACTTGTGGTAAGCTAAAATATAATTTTTAATTGAAATACTAAAGCGCATATGTTACTTAATACATACTGCTATCTTATATTATTAAAAATTTGGGTTGATTTTTCGGTAATATGACAGATATAATAAATAATAAATTAAATAAAAATTGTCAAAATAATTAATTAATTAAGATTAATAAACAATAAATTAACTAATAACTATTAATGGTGTTCTCAAATTTTGATTTGTTTTCATCTACTTTCCAATTTAACGTTGGAAAGTAAAACTTGAAAAAAAGAACTTCTTTAGGAGGAATCTTATCACTTTTAGTTGTTTCAGCAACATTAATTTACTTCATCTATGAGCTTCTTTAGTACTTTAATAACAAAATTGATCCAAAATTTATTTCTTAAAGTTTCATTACAAGCGATCCTATTGATGTGGAATTGCATAATGACTTAATTGGATTTAGATACGAGTATATCTTAAATAAAGATTTAATGGATCTTTAAGAAAAAACAAATAAAACTTACTTAGTATTTATTCCTGTATTCGAGTATGTAGGTGACGATGGCATCGAAATCATTTAAGTGGATTATTCTAGATGCACTAATTCTTTAATCAGTGGTTTCATGTGCTTAGATTTCTCATAAATATAAAACTACACCTTAACATTGAGGTCTTTAAATGATATACATTCTAGAATTAACATATTAATATACAGATGTTAGGATATAGATGATATTAAAACAACTATACCAAATAATTGCGCTGATCCTTTAGAAATATAAAATATGGTAAACAGTCTTGCCTCTGCCTTCCACTTAAAGCTTTACACTTCACAATACAATACAACTTCTACTTAAATCTAAACAAATTATAGAAACTCATATATTAGTTTTTAAGGAGACTAATTTGTTTACAGTATCTTTAAGGCTTAAATTTAAAGGACAAAAGTTTAATAAGGACCCTTTTTTTAGTATACTGAATCATACTAATCTCCTATTTAATATGATTAAATTAACTCAGTTTATGACTATGAAAAATTTAAAATTAAAACTGGCTAAACAAACTTAGTATAAGTCTCAATATAAATGGATGAAATAGTTTAGTATATATAAATACAATATCATTCATTTCCTGAAGTGCTGGCTGTTTGCAATAGCACTTTAGCTCTATTAATGCTTTTTGGAGTTTTTGCAAGATATTTTGCTTCTTAACTCATCAAATAAGATTTTTTCCTTTTGTTTTTACAAAATATGTACTGTGGCACTTATGAAAACATTTTGAAATTAAACAGTATACTGGCCTAAAATGAGCCAATTAATTCTACAATCAAAGAAAATCTTTCATTATCCAAACAGTAAGATTAAAAGCTTGAAGAATTAGAAAATATAAAATCGATTATTGTTCCTAGTTTTTAAAGCACATTCATTGATCATTTACATTAAAAGTAACTCATATCATAGAAGTCATAACTTGAAAAATAGATAAGTAGTGAGTAAAAGGATAATATCTAAAAGGTTAGCAATTAATAAAGTTTTTAGACCACTTAGTTTTTATTTAAGGATAAATTTTAGTAACAAAAATAAAATTTTTAGATCAGTAAAACATAAAATTTTGAATCTACAACAAATCCTTTCATTAATAACAGTAATAATGAAGAAATCAATTCATTTTAACCTTAAAGAAAAACCCAAGGTAAAGATTCATTGGTTAACTCAAATAATTAACTCAATTTTGGACTAGATACAAACATGAGCCCTTACAAATTATAATTAAATTATCCTTAAAGTTAAAAGAAAAATTTTAATTTTCGAAATATCAGCAGCATTTTTAGCAATTCAGTGTTTTAAAAGATTCAAAAAATAATATTTAGTGTTAGGTAATATTTTTTAATTATTAAATTTATTTTCAATAAGAAAAAAACTTCATTTCTATTAATAAAATTTATTGAGTGAAGTATCTTTAAAAATTAAATATCTAAAGTAAAAATTTTGTAAGTTTAGCAGATTTTTAACCGAAAAAAATATAAATTGTTTATTTATTTAATTTACTGTAAGTTTTACAACACCTCTACTTATCCTCTCATATTTAAATTAATAAGAAATCAATAAAATAAACATAATATTTCTAATTTTATTTTCAAAACTTTTGATTTAAAAATTAAATTATTTACAATAGCTTATTAAAAAGATTATAAAAATAATGATTATTTATTTGAAATTTAAAATAGACTATGTAAGAAAAGTGAATATTTGAGCTCAAAAGGTCTAGATATCTAAATGAAAAAATAAATAGAAGATTAGGTAAATTAAAGCATAGATATATTATAGGTATATTAGGACATTATACTCTTAAAGAAAGCTATAATGATTTTGTTTAATGATGAGTAATTAGCAGCTTTAAAATTAGTAGGATTTTCTCCATCTAATTATGATTTTAGTAGCTAAAAATAAACATAAAATAATACCGAAGAAAGTAATTTTTGTAAGTTTAGATTTTAATAAATTTATTAATTTTATTTAAATTTGTAGAAAATGACCTAAATCACTTCCAGAATTAATACTCTATTTACAATTCAGAAGAAAAATGTATACAGTCAATTCAAAAATTTATATTGAGATGTTAAACTCAAGATATATTAAGTAAAATTGATAAAAGAATTTATTCTTCATTAAGCTTATCCTTGATAGATTGAGATAGTATTTAAGTTAAGATGCAAATAAATACCTATAAAATATTCTATAAAGAATTAATATTCTATTCTAACTATTTTAATATGAATGCCAAAATAGTGTATCTACTTAAACTTTTCTCCTAAATAAAAACTAAAAGTTTATAACTAATTAGTGTAATTAATTTAATTCATATCTGTTTTTTATGTATCATAGCTTGTAAATTATAAAAATGTTTTTTTATATTTTAATTAATCAATAAATTTTATAATTCAGATTTTACTTAATCCTTTTATAAAAGTAAAAGGGATTTATTTATTATTTTAAAAATAAATAAAAGCTATTTATTTCAAAATAATTATAAAAATTATTTTTACAACTAAATCAATTTATAAGAAATTCGATCAAGTTTATATAGCTTTTATAATAAATATCTAGTTAATTTAAAACAATTTTCAAAAATGAAATTAATAAGAATGATACTATTAATAAATTTTGAATATCAATTATTTAATAAATCTTTATAGTAAATACTAAAAGTTTATTTTTGAATTGATTAATATTTTTACTTATTTGCTAAATACTTTCAATAAGACTAATTTAAAAATTTCTAATTTTTATTAATGATAAGGTTTTAATATCATTTCAAAGTATGCATAAAAACTTTGATATAAATTTTATTAAATAAAATTATCTGTCTGATAAATGTTCATCAAATTTTATAGCAATAAAAAATAGAAATATTTTATTCATTTTTTTTTTAATAATAAAAGTAAATTTGTAAATTTATGAATTAATCAATAGAAATTCTGGTTTAAAATAATTTTGAAGTATTAATTAAATATTTTTTTCCCAATATAATCCTTTAAATTATTTTTTATTAGCTTAATTTGATAGATGATAGAATTAAATACATCTTTTTTTCTTCTTAAAGTTGTTTTAATAATCCAAATTAATGTTTTATTTAGTGTGAACTCTTTTAATTTCTTAAATATTTAAATATTTATTTATTCATTTTAAATAATAATCTAAAATTAAAATTTACATATTAAATTACAAAATCTTAGATTTTAAAATTGGATGAAAATAATTTTAATAGTAATAAATTTTAAAACTTAAAATATAAAATATTTTTTTATTACAAATATTAATTCAAAATTTTGGTTTTAGGCTTTTAATGCTCTATCCTATGAAATATAATAATAATTTAGCCAATGAATAAATATATTTTTTTTAATATCAATAAAATTGTAATTAATAAATAATTTTCTGATAAAAAAAGAACTAATTACTAATATCATTTTTTAGTGAACAAATATTTACTAAGCAATTACTTTTTGAATAATTTTTTATCTTCTTTTACTAACATTCAACTTTAAAAACGAATAAAAATCTTACTAATTTTATATTTAGTTTTTTTAACTAAAACGGTAAATAAAATGAATGTTTCAAATTTGTATTTCTGTAATAATGCTGCTTTTTTAATCATAATATCATTTTAATTTGAATAATGCAAAACATATAGTATAAAGATTTTTAAAAATTTGCATATCAATCTTTATTATTTTAGTATTAGTAACAATTTGTGTTTCAATAATCTTCATCACAAACATATAATATTGGGTGGCAAGATGTACCCTAGCAGCAAAAATCAAATAATTCTTCAACATCACAATGATCTCCTAACTAAAGACATTAAGGCTATTAAGGTTCATGACTAAATCTTAATTTCTTTCCTAAAGTTGCGCTCATCAACAAAGAAAGTATTAATAAAACAAAGATGTGAAATTTCATTCTATTTATTTATTATTTTTTAGCGTTTTTTATAGTTAATGTTTTATCTTTCAAATAATTATGATTATAATTTTTTTAAATGTATTTATCCTAATATACCCTTCTATTTTTGAATATATTTTTTTGATTTAGTAGCTAATATAAATTTTCAACACTTAATTAAGAAGTTTATATTTATTTATTTAAATAAAAAAAATATTTTATCATAAATTATTAAATATTTAGTTAATCCTTGTTAACTACTTATTATATAAAAGCTAACAATATGTTAGAAACAAATTATTTATATTTTTTATATGATTTGGGATAAAATTTTAGTATTTAAGCAAATTCACTAAATTATTCAATAATGAATTGGCAATCTAAGCAAATTTATTATAAATTCTATTTTAAAATTTAAAAAATTAATAATTTAATATAGTTCATTAAATCTAATATTTTATAATTTTTATAAATTGGCAGTTTTAATATTTTATCTATTGATAAAAAAAATGAATTTTATAATAAAAAAGACTTATTTTTAAGAAGTTTTTAAAGAAGTTATAAAAGGTAGTATCATTTCATTTTCCCTTTATTTAATACAAAAATTTATTTTTAGAAATAATTTTTAAATTTTAAATATTTTTTAATAGAAAATAAATTTTAGTTAACTATTTTTTTAATTTTGTTATGATAAATCTAAATTAATAACAAATAATTAAGAAGAAAGGGTTATTTCATTTTATTATTTGATTTTTTTTACTAAATCTAGCTAATAAAAAAAGACTAAGGATTATTCATACTTTTTAATAAATGCTTAATTCAATCTAAATTTTATAATGGGTGCATTAAATAAAAAAATAGAATGACTACAAATTTCAATTAAATAATAAATTATTTAAATTTAATTGTATTATAATTATTATAACAATTAATGAAAAAGAATAGTTTATTCGACTCATTGTTTATTTTTTTGGTTAATTTATTTATTTACAATTTATAAAAATAATAAATTAATGATTATTTAATAATATTAATAGTTGTTTAAATATTCTTTCAGTTTATTAAGTTAAAAGTTCTACTGCTAAATATACTAACTATCATGAATCTAATTACAAGGATAAAACAATTAGATCTTTTCTCTTCAAATTTTCAATTCAATATGGAATCAAATTAACTAAAAAAGAGAACATTGTTCGGTGCAATATTGTCTTTATTAGTTCTTGGTGTTGCATTTTGCTATTTTATATACCAAATGTATTTGTATGTTGATAATTAAATATAGCCAACATTCAGAGCTTAAAGTTTTATTTAGGAAGACACTAGTGTAGATTTAAATAATAATCTTGTTGGATTTAGATACTTGTATAACTTTAATACAAGCTTAGATTAAGTTTAATCTTCTACTAATACTACCTATTTAGTGTTTGTTCCTTAATTTTAGTTTTTAAATTATGATGACTACGAATTAATTCCACTTGATATTATTGAATGTTAAGATCCTTAACTTGATGGATTTCACTGTTTAGATTTTTCTAAAATTTAGAATTACACTCTCATCTCAGCTTAAAATAATAAAATTTGGTCAAGTATTATAATCTATGCTTACACATGTTAGGATGCAAAAGTAAAGAATATTTAAGTATCAAATAATTGCGCCAGCGAGAATGATATAGATACTATGATTAACAGTGGTGGAAGTGCTTTTTAAATAAAGCTACAAACTTCTTAATACAACATCACTAAAAAGCAAATCTAAACCAACTACAGGAACTAATATATTGATTTTTATTTGAATGAGTTTATAATATCTGACTTCAAAACATAAAAATAAATAACCTAGGTGAAATAAGGACCATTTATATAGGAGGAAACTACATTTTCATCTCCTATTTAGTATTCGATGACAACTCAGTCGTTTGATAGAGCAAACTAAATTTAGCAACTCAACAATACAGCTTTACTTTAAGTTTTTATTGAGATGGATGAAATTGCTTAGTTTTTTTTTATTTCTTATCCAACATTCCCTCAAGTGCTAGCTGTTTGCAATAGCATTCTTGCTCTATTTATGTGTGTAGGTGTTTTGGGTAGAAGTATTTCCTAACAATTGATAAAATAAGATATTTTCTTACTTATCTTACAAAACATACATTAAGGAAAATACCTTGAACTGCTAAAGAAAAATAAACTTATAGCATAAGAAAATTAGAATTAACAATAAGAAAGCTATTAAAAGGATATTCATGAATAAGATTTTATGTAATCCGAAACTTAAGAACCTATAAAAATTCCAGCATTTTTAACTAAATCTAGATAATCTGTAGACTAAAATGCATTAAGTCCTCATCTTCTTCCCTCTATCAATAATTTTGAAAACTCTCAATAAGATGAAATAATTGAAAGTAAAATATAAGAATCTACAATTTAGAGCAATTCAAGATAGCTAAATTCTATAGATTAAAGAGATTAATTTCCTGTACTTGGAAATTAAATAACTTCAAGTGAAAATAATTATCCTTTAATAACATAGTCTTTTTAAAAAGATTAAAGTTTTCTGTTTAATTCTAAATTGAAAAAAAGGGAATCTTAATTTTCTAATAAAATACCACAATTATTTCTAAAATAGACTCAAAAAAAAAATACAATTAATAAAAATAAACCAAAAAATCATGAAAATCTTGAGGATAAATAATTAAAATAATAGTAAAATAAAATATCTATGCCTCCATTAACATAGTCAGAGAGTTTTTTATCTAAAGTGAAACAAATTAAGGATAAAATCTTTTAAAAAAGGATTCATAATTCTTTATTTGGATTTAGGTAAATTATTAAAAAAAAACATTTCAATATTTGTATTAATTCTATATTTTCAATTTCATCAATAGGTTTTGGAAAAAGAATGAGTATTTTAAATCATTAGAACTCAATCATTCATTTTTTTAAAACATGGAGAGTGATGTTTAATAGAACTTAAATATTTTTCATCTGTACAAATAAATCATTGTATTGTAAAAAGCATTAATGGTTTTATTAACTCCTGATTAATTTGCTGCAATAAAACTTATGGGTTGCTCTGAGAAGCTTTCTACTTTATTATTGAATAATAAAAAAGAAAAATTGTGTAAAATTTTTAATTTATTGAAAAAATAAAATAAATTTTTTAAATATTAAAAAGCTTAAAAAATTTAAATGAGTCATTTTGAAGAGTAATTTGTAAGCTAATTCTATGAAGATGAAGAGCAAAAACAGATAAACAATTTTTTTTAACGGTGCCAAAATAAAAAGAATGTATGTGAATTAGACAATAGAATATATCATTCTATAATAAAATGTTATTCAAGTTAATGATTTTTGTGGATATAAATAAATGCACTTAAAATTTAATCGAAAAAATTCTATCAAATTGAAATTTTTAATTATAAAAAAATTATTCATCAAATTTAAATGAGTCATTTTGAAGAGTAATTTTTAAGCTAATTCTATGAAGATGAAGAGCAAAAACAAATAAACAATTTTTTTTAACGGTGCGAAATTAAAAAGAATGTATGTGAATTAGACAATAGAATATATCATTCGATAATAAAATGTTATTCAAGTTAATGATTTTTGTGGATATAAATAAATGCACTTAAAATTTAATCGAAAAAATTCTATCAAATTGAAATTTTTAATTATAAAAAAATTATTCATCAAAATTAAAATCAATTTAAAAATAATTTTTATTTATTTAAATGTCAAAAATAAATTCTTAAAAATTAATTTCTGTAAAAAAAATTCTAGATTAAAAAATATTGGTTTTATTTAGTTTAATTATTCAGGATTTATATAAATTTAAGTTATAAAACACATTAGAGTTATTTTAAACTCTAAAAAACTTCTTAAAATTATTTTTAAATAAAATTATATGTCTTAGATATTTTAAATTATCTTCTACTACTATGAGTTCAAAGATCATATTATTCAAAATCTTCATTTTAAGAATTAAGTCTTTGTTATTTAAGTGTTATAATGTCTGAATCAAGATTTTGGTTCAAATTTTATAGCCTTCTTTCGATATTTAATTTTAAAGCAGATGTGTTAGATTTCATTGATCTTACTCTTTTTTATCATAAAAAATAGTTAAAAATAAATGGATAAACATAAGAAATTAGGTTTACTCCTTTTGTATGCTATCAATAATTAAATTCTATTATGGAAATTTTTAAGTTTATTAGCTATTTTAAGAGTTTTGTGCTAAGTAATTTTAAATTTAATAGTGCTAGGTTTCTATTATAAATAAAATGTTAAATATTTTTTATTTTTACTAAAAAATAAAATATACGATTGAGCTAAGGTTAAGATTTTAAATAAAAGTTAGATGTTTCTGCTTTATTTTCAAATTAAGATGGTGATGTAATTGATATTCTTTTCGAAGTTTGTGCTTTTTAGGTCTGTGGGAGAACATAAACATGCTCTTCTTTTTATTATGACTTTTCTCTTCTGCTTGTTAAATAGCTCTTTAAAGGAGAAATATCTTGTCTTCTAGGTCTTAGGAAATCTTGAATGTTAACAAATTACTGTTGCAACTATCTTTCATCAATGCTTTGAATTGCTCTTGAAGATACATAGTTGTTGTTAATAGCACTTTCATAAGTATATTCTGCTTTTGGGGCTTTTAATTAAATCAAAGTATTTTCTAATAAATTTTTTATAATAAAATATACTTTATATTGGAGTAGAAACTTATGCCAATGTTTCATAGTTTGGTTGCTAAATGGAATCGTATTGATTATTTTAATTTACTTTGAACTAGTTTGCATTAAAATTTTGATAAAATTTATTTGCTGTACTATTGTTACTTCCTACTTAATTAGTATTTATATTATTAGGATTATTATTATTGCTTAGATTATCTATAAATTAGATAGTTTATTTATGCTGCTCTACTACCATTAATTCAACCTGATACTCTAATCTTCTTAAATCATTCTTCAAATCTAAAATTTCATTTTCTTATCTGTGATTTTTCTCTTTTAAAACAATATTTTCAGTATCCAAGTTATTCTTTTCCTCTTTTAATTCAAGTAATTTATTTTCATAAATCGCACTGCTTTCTTCAATTAACTTAAGACATTCTTCTATCTTTTATTTATACTGATCTCTTTCGTCTTCAAAGCTTGAAATAACCCTAAGCAAGTCTTAATTCTATTAAAAAAATTATATTAATTTATTTTAATATTTATCAATTAATTAAAACCTCATTTTTTTAATTTTAAGATAGTATTTCTGCAGATGTGCATCTTTCTTCTAGCTCTACTTTAAGCTATTCTAATTTGGCAATATAATTATCTTAAGAAGCGTTTTTAATAGATAATGCTCCATATTATTCTTTGTATCCTCTTTCTTTAACTAATTTTACATTTTTTAATTTTATAGAAAATATTAATTTTAGTAATTTTCATTCAATTCAATTTTAAGAATTATTTTAAAGAAAAATTAAAAGCTTTAATTTTCTTAAAATTTTGTAAACATGAACAAAACTTACTTTCAAAATCAGATTGCATTTATTAAATGTTCATATTGAGTTGAGAATATTACTCCTTCAAATCAAATATCATTTACTCATACTTAGAAGATTTATTGACAAGTTCATTGTCTAAAATATTTAGCTTTTTCAGAAGTTCTTTATTTTCTGTTGAAGTAATCATGTGTTCGGTTTATAAATTTTCAATTTATTCATTTTTTTAAGAAATATTTAACTTTAATTCTTGAATAAACATATCCTTTTCAGTAATTTCAGATTTCAAAAAATCTATGTTTTAACTGAGAATATCTAGTTTGTTAATATAATCAATTTATTTATTATCAGCTTCGTTAGCATATCTCATATTTTAGTTGCATGCATCCTGTAGACTCTTAAGCATAAGCTCCTATTCAATGATTTTTCTTTTAAATTACTATATATTATTGTCCTTTATTCCCAAAATCAAGTAATGAAATACCTTTAAAAAAAAAAATATTTTTATAAATATTTACAAGCTTTTTAAATTTAATTTAATTTACTCTTTATTTATGATAAAATTCAGCTTTACTTAGCAATCTTTGTTATCTTTTTTATTTAGCAACATAAACTTTCCAGAATTAGAAAGCTTTTTAAAAATTTTAATTTAATTTAAAAACCTTTTGGCTTTTTAAAGCAATGCTCTTTGCCTTTCTGTTAGCTTACCTATCAGCCTTCTTTTTCATAATGTTCAAGTATTTTGATTATATCTTTAATTCTATTTTCTTGACTCTTTCTTTCTATATCTTTTACTCCTATAAATACTACTTAACTCCTTTGAAGTATTTTTACAGAATTTATTAATTTTTTTCTGAAATAATTTAGTTAGCCCTTTTTTCTATTTTTTTATTATTGGAAACATTCATTTTTAATGATTTTATCACTTTAATAATAAGTTTATGATCGATTTTAGATTATAAGGATAACTACTTTGCAATTTTATTCTCTCTTATTGTCTTGGCTTAGCATAGTGCCTTAAAGTATTTTATTTTTAATTAAAAGTTGTATTTACTGCTAAATGTTTTCTTTTTAACATATATCTTATGATAGTCATCTTTCCATCTCCATAACAACTTTTATAAAAATTTTTTTTGTTTTCTCTAAGCAGCTAATTCAGCTTTTTGCTCATTTTGAAGTCTAACTGTTCTTAAAATAGTCCATCTGTAGAACGATTTTTAAAGTATTTTAGAATTAAAGTGAATTAAACTCTTTTTAGATTTTTCCTTCATAGGTAAAACATTCTATTTAATGTAATTTTTCCAAAAAAATAAAACGACTTTCTTTTTGTAATTTGTGTAATGATTTTAAGCCTGTCGATTTATAGCATTAAGCTCTTTTTTGTTAACGATGTTATATTTTTAATAAAATAACTTAATTAGTTAAAAAGCAACTTTTTTTAACTTTTTTTAGTGAAATTTTACAGCGACAGAATCTTAAACTTTTAATTTTTTTGAACCTCTAGCAAAATCTTTTATTTTACAATATGTTTCTAATTCTATTCTTTTTTGTTATTTCAGTTTAAATTTTTAAATATTTTTACTGAATGCAGCATTATTTTTCCATTATTTGAAAAACGTTGTTACTATTTAGTTATTCTAAACAGCTTATTAATGCTTTACACGTTATCCTTTAATGGTGAATTCTATCCATTTTTTAAACAAAAATGCTCCTTAATTGTGCATAAATTTATTCTCAATTTTTTGCTAAAAGGAATTAACCTTTTTAGTTTATTAAGTAGCAAATTTTAGGCAATTAAGGCCGAACTATAAAACTCGTTTATTATAATAATCTCTAGCAAATGATTCTTTTTCATCTAGAAATTCTTGATATTAAAACGCAGCATTCATGCTTTAAATAATTTATTCAGATTTATCTAAGTTACTTTTGCATCTCTCCATTTCATAATTTTGAAATATGAGAACGTTTAGCTTTTATTTAGTGTCTTTTAATGATTATTCCATGGCTTTCATTTATTCTTAACAGTTTTTAATTTATTCTTCTTTAAATAAGACTTAGTTTTATAAATCTGAATTAATATTATCAGCCTATTTGCATTAGTCGTTTATTTCAACTCTTAAACGTTAATTTGTTTCTTCAAGTTTAACATATTCAGCAATTTTAGCATTAAGAGACTCACTCAACTAACATATTAAAGTATCTTTATCACTATTTCTTAGTTTTAGACAATTTGATGGATGATTTGCGAATTCCTTTTGTTAAAATTAATAAATAATAAATTTTATTTTTTAAATGGATAAATATTTTTTCAGATAATTTTAATTAGTTTATTTATCAAAATTAACTTAAAAAATTGTTTAAATATTTTTGATTAATCCTTTCAATTTTATTTCATCCATTTCTTTTAAACGAATGAATATCTTTTGATTTTTTTAGTTTTTTAAGATCTTATTAATTATACATTTTAATTAAGGAAAATAGCAATGTGTTAGAAAATAAATATTACTGTTAATTTAGTAAATTTGTTCATGGTATTTAGAGAGTTGTTAATTCTAGAAGTTGAAAAATATGATTGAGAACTTGTTTAATGCTGTAATTTTTAGTTTGAGCTATTCAACTGTCTCCTGCTCTAGTTTCCCCCATTGCTCATAATACTTAAATTCATTTAAGAATTATTTGTGTTAAATGTATGATGAATATTCTTATTTTAATATGTTTATTCTATATTCTCTTAGTTTTATTAAGGCACTCCTATTTTCTTATGTGAGCTACTCCTTAATAGTGAACTACTATTGCTCTTATTAAGCTGTGATTTCTTTGATGCACTCTAATTATTAATATATTTATTGCTTTATTATTATAGTTCCTAAAAATTTTAATTTCATACCATTGACCTTGAAGATTTATATACATTTTATGAATGAGGAGCTAATTTTTATTTAAAAAATTCATTATTTTATTCTTAGATAATTTATTCTATTTTATCAATTAATTCTAGTTTCTTATCAATTTGCTTTTAACGAAGTTGTTCAAATGCCTCATTTAAGCTATCACTTATTTTAATAATAATTAAGCTTTTATTTAAACATTTTTTGATATTACATGCTTTAAGGTTCGCTAAGAAGTAGATGGGCATCATTAAGAAGGGAAATTTTAAATTAAACGCAAATATCAGGATCTTAATTATCAAATATTCTCTGCAACTTAAAATATCTCTAGTATTTTTCAATACAAAAAGGTGGTGTATCTAGATTAAAATTGTATTCAGTTTTGAGCTCTGAGTGTAGTCTTATCTTTTTTAGAGCCTATTTTAAATAAATAATTTTATTTTCAGTAAAAATTTAATAACCTTACATCATTTAACTGTATTAATTCAATATAGTTTTTTAAAAGAACATCCAACATTTGATCTTATTATTTTAAGCTTTCTTCACTTTCCTTCTTTAAGCTTTCACTTATTTTCTATCATATTAAAATTTCTTTACTATTGAGTCATATATTTTTAAATTGAGGAATATATCATAGAATAATAAATAAGTTTTATTTATAATTTTAAGAAAACATCAAAATTTGGTTAATTACAGCACCATCCAAAAATTATAGGTTTGGCAATAAAGTGATAATTGTGTAAACATAATTTATTTAATCTTTTATAGGGTTATCTTCAAGTGAAAGCCATCTCAATTGTTATAGATCTTTGAGGAAGAGTAGGTTTTCAAGATTAAGAATCTAAAGTTGTTAAACGATGAATAAATTTATATCAAACAGACTAGCATATCAAATATAATTTACATTGTTGGTTGCCAGATTTAAATGAACAAGCTTTTAAAATTATGTAACTCCTTTAATAGAAGTTAAAATGTTTCCCCTTAAGTCTAAAGATTCTACAGCATGATATTTCTTTGGTACATTATCAATAACAGATATGTTTTTGAAAGATAGATTTATTAAATTAGAATCTTTCTAAGGAAATGATTTAAGTGCTTCAGATAGCTAATTTTAAAAAATTATTTTTATCAAATGGCTAATGTGTTTCATATATAAAATTTATTACTTTATATTCCTATTTGCATTTTTAAAAAGTATAATTAATAATAATACTTGGCTAAATTAGTTTTTAAAATCTTAAATTTAAAATAAAATTAAAATATTTTAGCATTACTTTTAAGCGTTATCCCTTTTTCATCTATCTGATATTTATTGATAAATCGAAACTTAAATATTTTCCTTTAATCTAAAAATTAAAATATCCTTTTTTCTTAGTATTAACTAAATAATATTGTTTGACCTACTTGCTACTTATTTAGAAATAATATAAAGTTTTTAGTATTTACAAATTCTATAAAAAGCTTTAATCAATTAATTTCTTTATTTTTATTTTATTGAATTCAAAAGATATGTTTCAAATTCAAAGCACTGTAATAAATATCAAACTATTTTTTCATTATCAATATCAATAGTGAACTGGATAAAAATTTTTAAAAATTTACTGAAGTCCTTTATATATTTTATCATTTATTTACTGCACATTTATTTTTGAGTTAAATAAAAACATAAACATTTATTTATTTATTTTTATTTTAACGAATATTTTAAGTTTTTTCTATTTATTGTGAATTAAAATTAATTTTTAATATTTTTATTTCTAATTTAAAATAAAGAATTAGATAATTAGGATAAATTAATTTTTTAAAAGTTATTTTAAAATTTCTTTGAGTTTAACAAATTAAATTTTTCTTTTTAAATATAAAAAAGTATTAAAAACAATTTTAATTAATCAGCAAATCATATTTTGTTTGTTGCATACCAAAGATTTATTAAACTTGATAAAGTAATTTTTCAAAATCACTATGTTGAATAGTTTAATCTTAATTCTTCAATATAAAACAATTAATACCTTAATCTACTTTTTAAAATATAATTTATCATTTGACTGGTTGGATAAGTAAAAAGAAAACTTCTTTAATTTTAGTAATATAAAAATCTTAACTTATATTTAAAATAATATGAAAGAATAATTTAAACCTTTTGTTAAAAGAAAGTATAAAATAAATAATTTATATTGTGAGAATTATTAAAAATTTTTTATTAATTTCTTTTTTATATTCATTCGGGAATTATGTCTTCTTCATCTTCATCTAATTCTTCTTCAATCATTTACCCTTTTATATTTAAAATTAATTAAAATGACAAAAAAAGTAATTTATTTTTTACAATTTAAATTTGTATCTTTTCCTGTCATCTTTATTAATTTTGAATCTTCAACTTCATCAAATACAAGCTCGTATTTATTGTTCTCTAATATGTTGTCAAAATTAAAATTCTTGTGATTGCTAAATGCAGGTGGAGGGAATAGCGGATCAATAGCAATCCTAATATTATTTAAATATTAAGCTGTTATAAATGAAATTAATTTTAATAATTTAAAACCTAAATGTATTTTCAATCATCTAAGGAATAATTTTTGATAAGAGAGGACAACAAATATCTAAAGCTGGATTTGTATTTACTTCAATCAACCAAACTTTTAAGTTTTCATCAATCATAAAATCAAGTCCAAATACTTCAAAAGTTGTTTCTTTTTTATCAGGATCTATCTTACCATATACTGCTTTCATTGTATCCCTAGCTATTTCCTAAAGATAAAATATCATAAACTGTTATTAAAAAGTACAAAAATACATACTTTCATTTGAGGCAATATTGAATTATAAAAGTCTTTTTCTGGTTGTAAAGAAGTTATGTATTTATCTAACTCGTCATAGCTAACTTTATTTCCTTTTTCATATTTTCCATATTAGTCATCTTTCTTTTGGACTGCATCATTCGTTAAATGTATCATTTTACCTAATTTAAAAAATTATTTTTAAAAATGTCAAATTAATTAATTGACCTTAAATTAAAATTTACTTGAAAAATAAAAATAAACATTTTATTAAAATTAAAAATTTTTAGTTCATAAAATAGATATTGATGAAATTAATTAAATTAATTTACCTAGATTTTTAGTTGTAAATTCTTTTGATGCAGTTCTTATATATCCATCTTAATACCAGTAACCTTTCAGATACCCATTAGTTGTAGTCAAGAGATAGTAACAACGTATATCAAATTTTCTTTTAAAGTAGAGTAAAGGATATTCAATATATTTTTAAATAATAAATGTTTTTCTCATTCCTGTTTTATGGAACTCATTAGACTCAACTATTTATTCTATTTAATCAAGATCAGATAATACTTTAATGCCTGATCCTCTGTTTGTTATTTCTCCAGGTTTAACAATCCAAATATTTTATTCTTTCTTTGCTGTGCTATTTTGATTGTTAGAATTGTTACTAGCAAGCTCTTTTAGATAATTGAAATGAGCTACAAATTTTGAGTATTCCTTATCTTTTTTACCTTCTTAGATATGAAAAGTAAGAGGAATATAATCAAATGGGTTTTATTGATTGGATTCATAATAGCTACGCATGTTGTAAAAAAGAGCCTTTTTATTACTTAAGTGAAAGTTATCTTAAAGATGATTATGGATTTTAAGTTAGACTGGCTCTTTAATTTATTTGCATTCTTACTCTCTTATTAGGCTGCTCATGACTTAAATGTTTGAGAAAGCTGTTTAATCAAATTTTTTGCCATTTCTATTCGAAAAAAGGTTATTAAGAGCTTAAAAATCTGATTAATTTGTAAGTTTTTTTAGGAATTATGCTTATCTACCCAACTTTACAACTTGTTTTGAATTTGATTGCAAATTGAGATTTGAAGCAGAAATTATTGTGCTTTCATCTGTTGTACTTTCGCTTTAAGAACCAAAGAGAGATTACGTGCTTGTTTATTAAGCTAAAGTTTAGAATTATTGAGTGAATGATGTTTAGCTATTCGAAGGTGAAAAAATCTAGGGCTACTAATTTAGGTTATTAGAAGGAGATTGTTGAGCAGCTAGAATTGAAGTAGAAGATGTCTGTCTTTATATTCTAGCTTAAGTTAATTCTTATTTCAAACTTTTTATTGTTTGCAAAATTTCATTCTTTCTGAGCTAAGTCCATACTAAATTTATATTTGCATCTTCTTTCTAATCAGTAACTATCCACCACCATCTCTATTTAATCACCATGCGAATGAGCATCTAGTTGTTACCTTTTCCTACATAAGCTTTATAAATGGGATGATTTTATTTCTCTTCTGGTATCGAAACATAGAGCTTATTTGAAAAGTTAATGGCTTGAATAAAATCTCTATAAGCACTAATTCTTACAGTGAATTGTTTTTCCTTTTACAATCTAACAATATACTTTTATTCGTAGTATATGGGATGAGACTTACCAAGTGCGTTAATGCTAGGGTCAGTTTTTTTAATTTGGAATTTCCTGATTTTGTAATCTTTTTACCTTGACTCATTTTTATTTTACTTGCAATTATCTCCTTCTTTTTGTTATTGATAATCATTTTCTATATTCATCTTATCACCTCCAATATTGTTTCCGTTATCCTCTTGCTTGTAAAGATCATTCAAGTATACTTCGCTTTCATTATCTTACTCTTCAAAAGGTTAGTGTAATTTGTATCCTAAAATTTATTCTTAGACACTAGAATTGTTAGCAATATTACCTTCTGAAATGATTCTTAATACTTTTGAATTCCCAGTTGCACCTTTTGTAATACATTTAGAAATAGGAGTCAATTAAATTGTCTCTAGCATAAATCTATTCATTTTATCTTAGTTATTGTAAAGTTTCTAAATGGCTTAATAGGCGCTTATTGCTTTTGTTGTGTATCTATTTTATTTTTAATCTTAAGAAGCAGAGCTCAAATTATAGTACATCTACTAAGGAGTTTAAGATAATAAAGACAATCTACTTTATTTATGTGAGCTTTAATGGTTCAATTTTTGAATGCTTAATAATTTCAAGATTTTTGAATTTTAGCTAGGAGATTAAATATTTTGCCTCAATTACTCAATAGAATTTCCTCCATTGCTATTCTATGGAAATATAAAATTGTGTGTGTCTTCTTCACTGTATAACTTCTCTTAAGCACCATAGTTAGCATTAATATCTTTTTATTTTTTTTAAATTAGAAATTTAAATATTTAATCAGTTCTAAGAAAAATTTTAGAAATGAAATAATTTTTTAGTTTGTCTTTGATAATATAAAGAAATTATTTTAATTTTATTATTTAATAATCATTAAATTTAAATGAAGTTTTTATTAAATGAGTTTACTTTATCTTTTTGAAGAGTTGAGTACTTTTGGGAGAATCTTTCTCTTTGGGCTTAGAAGGCTTTCAGCTGTTTTGAGGTTTTTTTAGTATGAATTTTAGTGTACGTTTTTAAATTAAGTAAAGAAATCTTAAACAATGTGTTATTTGTGAAGATCAACTAATTCTTCATCTTTAGAGTTTTCTAAAGAATAATTGGGTCGTGAAATATTCCATTGATCCTTTAAAACTTTTATATCTAAAAGCTTATTGCTATTTTATTTATATATTGTTTGAGATGGTGAGGGGCAAAAGGGTAATTCGCTATTCTGTCTGCTTGGAACAATCTATTTTAAGTATAATTTGTATAGATAATAAAAAAAATAAATAACAACCTTTCTTAACTCTAGTCCTACTGGCTAATTGTTCCTTTCGGAAGCCAATCTGATATCCTCATCTTTTTAATTTTTATGAGTTACTTTAGTTAATTATTATAAAACCAAAAATATACATATTTAAAATTAATTTGTTTATAATACCTTTAAATTTATAATCTACTAACTCAGAGTTCAAACCTATTTTATTTATTTAATTATTATATTATGTTAATATTTAAAAAAAATTTTTTTTTTTTGATGGGTTATCCATTTTTCAAGATAAATCAACTTTTAAAAATTTAATATAACATATTTTGATTTCTATCTAATTATTTATCTTAACAAATGGGAATTGTTCATGAAGTAGCAGGAAAAAAAAGAAAATTAATTAAAAAATAATTGAAATATAAGTTTTTTTTTTTTTTTGCATAATATTTCTTTGTATCACATTAATTCAATTCGTAGTAGAAGTAGTTTTAAGGTGCTTTAAAATTAATTACCTTTTACATTTCCAATTTATTCAGAAAGGCTTCTTTGTATCCAAAATCTAGGATCTCTAAGTTGCTCGTAGTTATTGGATGGAGACTCTGTTTTTTAATCTATTTAACCAAATGTTAATTCATAAAATAAGAATTGACATAAATTATTATTTTATTTATGAATTTAATATTATTTTGGAAATTTTTATCATTAAAGTTGATAATTAATTTGATGAAAATGTTTACTTCCTAACAATTTTTATTGGTTTGAAAGAGATTTCACATGCTACTAGCTGTTTTAATTGAGCTATTATTTTTAGTCGGATAGTGAAGAAGAATATTTTTGGTTATGTCTTCTCTTCAAAATCAAAGTATTATTTTAACCTATTTATGTTTCCCATTCTGATGAGGCTACATGCAGATACCTTCTGATTATTTTCATCATTTCTGAAGAAATATTTTTTACTTAAATACTTTTTTAACTGTGCTTTCCCAAGCTCAAAACCTTCTTTATTGATGATGGAGAACTGTTTTTATAAATTAATAATAGATTTGTTTGAACATATTTATGGATGGATATTTCATTCTATATTTAAATTTCTTTTTTTCTAATTAAAACCTTAAAAACTTCATTTTACTTAACTGTTTAGCTATCTTCGTAAAATGACGGGAGCCTTTACCTCCCTTAACTTCTGTAAACATCTTCACTCATTTCTTTAAACGTTATGAATATGTTGCTAAATGATAATTATTTTAATAAGTAAAGCTGTTTACTTGTACTTTAATTAATTAATTAATTATTTATTTATTTTGAGAAATTTCAACGATAATTTATTTGTTGTTTTTAGTTTCTTCTGTCTGTTTGATAAGTAGAACTATTCAATAGAGGAATTGGTGAACTAAAAATTAATACTATCAATAAAATAAAATAACTTAACTTTATTTATTTATTAATTAACTACCATCATTTTTATAATTCATTCTCTACAAAATCATTATTTGTATTAAAAAATAAAAAATATTAAAAAATTCTTTTTTTTTGTTTTTAAAAAAAATATTTTACAAAAAAATATTAAAAAAATAAAATAAAAAAAATTTAAATAAATAAATAAATTAATTTGTTATTTTTGTAAGAAATAAAATAATTAATTTAATCTTATTTTTTGTTATTTAAATAAAATAAATTTTTTAATCTAAAAAATCATTAACAAGATGCTATTAAATTATTAATATTTTGTTAGTTTGCTTTTTTGAGAAATGTATTTATTATTATTTTTAAGCTTTTACCAACAATTTTATTTTTATTTAATATAAGGCAAATATTTGAATGAATAAAGTCAAATAATAATTGATCAGAAATTTTTCATCTTTCAAACATTAAAACTCTGAGTAAATATTTTCAAAATAATACAAATAATAACATCTTCAATTGAGAATAATTTTTACTCTAAATTTTTGAGTTAGCTTTAATTAATTTTTAGAATTTTTAATATTTTTTTGTATATTGTAATTGAATTTGTTAGTAATAGAGATAAATAAATGATCAGGAATAAATTGGTTTAATGATTCAGGCTTTAGTTAGAATAAAGGTTATTAATTGAATGATAGACAAATCAAAATAAAAAATTTGATAAGAGCAGAAAGAGGGTAAATTAGTAAGAGTTTGTCAGAAAAAATAATTAAGATATACTACAATTTGAGATAATCGATCTGAACAATTTGGATTAAGCAAATAAAAAATGTATGTGTTTATTTGTTATTTTGTATAGAATGTTATATAAAGAACAACAGATATAGTCTATTTAAGTTAGTTAATTGTATATATAATAAAAAGGAATAATTGAAAAAGAATAATTAAAGAATATACAGGATCTCGTTTGATAGAGTTTATTAGTAAATAGAATGATAACGAATGTAGTATTATGAGATTTTAGGAAGAATAGAAGGAAGAGGGTCTAATTGAAAAGAAGATAGGTGGTATCTTTTTGATATATTTGAAAATAAAAATAAATAAATAAAAAGAAATAATAAATTTCTTAAAGAGAAAGTAAAAATTAATTATTTACAAAGCAAATATAAATAGAAAAGCAATTAAAAAGATGGCTGAGACTGGAAAGATTGATGAAAACTTGTACTCAAGAATGATGGGTGCATACGGAGTTGAAGCTGTAGGAAAGTTAGTTAAGCTAAAGATTTTCCTATCAGGCCTTAGAGGTGTAAGATATTAATTTTCATCATTTTATTATTCTTCTTGTCAAAAAAAATAAATAAATAAACAAACAAATAAACAAAAAAACATACGTTATGGCAATTTTAAATACTTTTTGATTGAGATTATCTCTACTAATACAAAAAATACAGTTTTAGAATAACTGTTAACCATTAAACATGCTTAAACTAAAGATAACGCTAGTTTTTTTAATGTTTTAAAGACAAAATCAAAAAATTATGCTAAACAGTTTTTATTTTAAAAACGAACGATATCTTATTTAAAAATAGGTTGGTATCGAAACAGCAAAGAATTTAATTTTAAGTGGTCCCTCTGCAGTTTGCTTGCACGATGATAGCCTTGCTGAAGTTGCTAATATGGGCTGCAATTTCTATCTAAAGCCTGAGCATATTGGTAAAGTTACTCGTGCTGAAGCTTCTCTTCCTTAATTAAAGGAATTAAATCCCTATTGCAAGGTTTCAGTTCACACTGGTTAAATTACAAAGGAATTATTAGCAGATTTTGATGTTGTTGTTATCACTGACAATTACAACCAAGATGAAATTGTTGATATCAATGCTTACTGCAGAGCTAATAAAAAGGGTTTCATATATTCAGGCATCTTAGGTCTTTACGGCTTGTGCTTTGTTGATTTTGGTGATAGCCATTCAGTTTTTGATACAAATGGTGAAGAACCTCGTAACTCTATTGTTGTTGGTGTTACCCAAGATGCTGAAGGTTTAGTTACAGTTCATGAAGACAAGAGACACGGTTTCTAGTCTGGTGATTACGTTACATTCAGAGAAATCTAAGGTATGAGCGAATTGAACGACAAGGTTTTCAAAATTGAAGAAAAGAGTCCCTTCACTTTTACTCTTGTTGGTGTTGATACCACCAAGTTCTAGCCTTACTTACGTGAAGGTATTGTTGAATAAGTTAAGGTTCCCGTCTAGATTGCTTTCAAGAGCTTGGGCGAAAGTCTTAGCAAGCCTTATGCTCCTGGCAAGAATGAATTAGATATTTGTGATTGGGAAAAGTTTGGTAGACCTGAATAGCTCCATTTAGCTTTCACTGGTTTATTGACTTTTGTTAAGCAAAATGGCCACCTCCCTGCTCTTCATTCTTAGGAAGATGCTGAAAAGCTTCTCCATATTGTTAAGGATATTAATACTCAAAGAAAAAACATTGACGAAGAAGGTGTCCTCAAGGTAGAAGAAATTGAAGAGTAAATTGTTAAAAATATTGCTCTCTATGCTCGTGCATAAATTACTCCTCTTTCTTCTTTCTGGGGTGGTATTGTAGCTCAAGAAATTGTCAAGTACACAGGTAAATTCACTCCTCTTAGATAATGGTTGCATTATGAATGCTTCGAAGCTCTTCCCGAAGGTGAAGTAGATAGAACTTTATTGAACTCTCAATATGATGACTAGATTGCTATCTTTGGTAGAGAATTCTAACAAAAGTTACTCGAACAACGTACTTTCTTAGTTGGTGCTGGTGCTTTAGGATGTGAATATATTAAAATGTTCGCCTTGATGGGTTTGGGAAGTGAAAAGAATGGAGGTGTTGTCGTTACTGATGATGACTAAATTGAAATGTCCAATCTCAATAGATAGTTCCTCTTCCGTAAGGAAAATATTGGTCACTCCAAGTCAGAATGTGCAACTCGTGCTGGTAAAATAATGAATCCTAAGCTTCACATCGAAGCTCTTAAAGAAAGAGTTGATCCTGAAAATGAAAGAATCTTTAACGATGCTTTCTGGGAGGGTCTCGATTTCGTAGTTAATGCTGTCGATAATGTAAAGGCTCGTCTATTTGTCGATGGACGTTGCGTTTGGTATGGTAAACCCCTTTTCGAATCAGGTACTCTAGGAACTAAATGTAACTCTTAAATAGTTCTTCCTAAGCTCACTTAATCTTATGGTGATTCTGTTGATCCTCCTGAGGAATCCATTCCTTTGTGCACATTGAAGAACTTCCCTTACCAAATTGAACACACTATTTAATGGGCTCGTGACTATTTTGAAGGTAACTTGGTAGAAGGTCCTAATGAAACTTCAAAGTATGTAGAAAATCCTCAAGCCTACATTGAATAAGTAACTAAAGAACTTCGTAGCAAGCCCGTTATGTTGAGAGGCCGTTTGGAAATTGTTAAGAAATTGGCAACTGCTTACTCTGGTAACCACTACGACAAGTGCATTGAACTCGCAAGACACATGTTCTAAGATATTTTCTATAATTAGATTTCTTAACTTCTCTACTCTTTCCCTCTTGACCACAAGACTGAATCAGGCTAACCTTTCTGGTCAGGACCCAAGAGACCTCCTATTCCTATTAAATTCGATACCAATGACGATATTCATGTCGACTTTATTTAATCTGCTGCTAATGTATTTGCATTCATTTTCGGTCTCCCTTACTGCCATGATAGGGAATACGTCAAGAAGGCTGCAAACTCAGTACATGTTGAAGAATTTGTTCCTAAAAAAGCTAGCATTAAGGTAGACGATAAAGATAAAACTGAAGAAAAAGTCGAAGACGATGAAATTGTCATTGAAAACTTAACCAAGGAGTTGTTGAATTTCAATCTCTCTTAAAATAAGCCAAAATTAAATCCTATCGAATTTGAAAAAGACGACCCAACCAACTGGCACATTGATTTTATTTCATCTGTTGCTAACTTACGTGCCCGTAACTATAAGATCAAGGAAGTTACCAAGTTTAAGGTTAAAATGATTGCTGGTAAAATTATTCCTGCTCTTGCTACAACCACTGCCATGGTCGTAGGTGCTGTCGGTATTGAAATCTTCAAATATATACTCTAAAAGCCTCTTAACAAGATGAAAAACTCCTTTATGAATCTTGCTCTTCCCTTATGGATCTTCTCTGAACCTGAACCTCCCATTAAGGCAAAGGATAAAGATTATGATCCCGTATTGATGGGACCTGTTAAGGCTATTCCCTCTGGTTTCACTACATGGGATAAGCTCTTCGTCTAAGGTCCTCTTACTATTTAAGGTCTTAAGGATTATTTCAATGATAAATATCAAGTAAATATCTCCATTTTATCAGTTGGTAAAATCTGTCTCTACAATTCATACATGACAGAGGCTGCTGAAAGGTAAATTACATTCATTTATTTATTTATTACATTTTATTTAAATTTTTAAAATTATAAACAGAGAAAGTTGGGATATAGCTCAAGGAGTTGAAAAGCTTGGAGGTTAACCTATTCCAGACTTTAAAAAGTTCTTAGAATTAGAAATCTGTGCTGAAACTCAAACTGGTGAAGATGCCCTTATGCCCACAATTAAGTATGCATTCAAAGCTTGATTTAAATAAATTGAAGTCCCTTTTTTATGCTTGATTGCTTTATTTGTATCTTGCTAATAAAAAATGAGATAGAAATTCTTGAAAATAAATATAAATATAAAATATTTCTATAAATCTTATAAAACAATAATCTAATATTATTCATAAACAATAAAATATTATTAAAATATCTTAAATATATATATGCTTAATTTACGACATTATAAATTCTTTAACTACATTCCAACCTTAACTTTATATTGATCATTTTGTTATTGATATCTCTTTAAAATAATAATTGTTAAATATATAAAAAAACAAGCAAATTAAATTAATTTTTTTCAAAATATATATATCTAAAATCAATCTAGAGTTTATATATAAGATATAGTAATTTTATAATAATGTATTTATATTTTAGTTGAAAGAAAAGTGTATTAAATTTAGTTAGTTAGTAACTTAAGAGTAAAATATTTTCATTATAAATGATTTTTTATACAATTTATTTTAATTATTTTTGTGCCTCTAAACAAATTATTTAACATTTTATTATGCCTTATCAAATTATTCATTTTAATTTATTATTTCTTTTGATTTCTTGTTAAAATACTTCTATTTGTACAGTAGCCTATGTTTTTTCATCATAATCGCACCATGGCAAGTCTGATAAATCTATTTCTTGGAATAAAGATCCAGATTCTTTTGCAGTAACATTAACAGTGACCATTGGAAGCCATTAAGTTATTTCAAGGTTTCTGCAATCGAAAGTAGCAATTACGCATTATGATCTATCATTACTCAAATCCATTTTCTTTGCAGAGTCTTTATGAATACTAATATAGCCTTCTCTTTTGCATTCAGGGCAAGTCATTCCAAAATTAGCAACTCCCTTACCACCTTTCATTTCTACTTCATCATTTTCAGTAAAATAGATATCCTTTTTATGGTCTTAGTGGCACTATGTGCATTTAACCATGAAATACCATTCACAATTTTATGTAATGAATAAACTTTCTAAATTTTCACTTTCAACTGAAAGGGCTAAATCTAAATAGACCATTTTTCTTTTTATCTAAATAACTTGTCTAAGCTTGCTTCTTTAGTAAATTTATCAATTTAATTAATAAGTTTTTATGTTATTATAATAAACTAATGATGATTATAATAATAATAATGATATCTTCTAATATTTTTCTTTTTTCTCTGTTCTTCTAATGAACTCTCTATTTATTTTTAATAAGTATATAATTCAATTAAAAGACATTTTAATACTTCCTGAGTGAGTGATTCTTTCTCTCTGTATAAATAAATCTCATAAAACTAAATATTAAAATTAAATTATATTTTTTTAAATAAGCCTATTATAAAGATGTTAAAAGTATTAAACAAAAATGTATAATGTTAAGATTTCTTATTTATTTTTAAAGAAATATTTAAATTTTTTAATTTAATTTATAAATTTATTTTTTAAATTTAAAATAGAAAAAATTTTTTTTTTCTACTTTCTACTACTACTTAAAGACTTTTCTTATTAAACAGGAAATGAAATACTTTTTTGAAAGTATTTTTTGCAAAGATTATATTATTTTAGTTTAATAAAAAATTTAGTTTAATTTATTAAGACCAAAAACGAATATCAAAAACTTAAATTAGTATATTCCTTAGTTATTTATATTTTTCATTCATTAATATCTGAAACATTAATTATCTTTTATAGATTAGTCTTTTATTTAGAATATAAGAACAAATAAAAAATTCATTTTCGAAGGATTAAATGTAAAATTTTATAAAAAATATTGATCTACTGAATATATTACAATCATATGAATTATTCTTAATATTCAAAATATTTATTTTTAATAAGTATATAATTCAATTAAAAGACATTTTAATACTTCCTTAGTGATTCTTTCTCTCTGTATAAATAAATCTCATAAAACTAAATATTAAAATTAAATTATATTCTTTTAAATAAGCCTATTATAAAGATATTAAAAGTATTAAACAAAAATGTATAATATTAAGATTTCTTATTTATTTTTAGAGAAATGTTTAAATTTGTTAATTTAATTTAGAAATTTAAAATAGAAAAAAAATTTTTTTCTACTTTCTACTACTACTTAAAAACTTTATTATTATACAGGAAATGAAATACTTTTTTGAAAGTTTTTTTTGCAAACCTTATATTATTTTAGTTAAATAAAAAATTTAGTTTAATTTATTAAGACCTAAAACGAATATCAAAAACTTAAATTAGTATGTTCCTTAGTTATTTATATCTTTCACTTATTAATAGCTGAAACATTAATTTTCTTTTATAGATTCGTCTTTTATTTAGAATATAAGAACAAATAAAAAATTCATTTTCGAAGGATTAAATGTAACATTTTTTTAAAAAAATTGATCTACTGAATTTATTACAATCATATCAATTATTCTTAATATGCAAAATGACCAAATAATTTTTCGATAGCATTTCAACTTTAAGAAAAATTGGCTTTTAAATTTTTGAAATTTTATTATATTTTAAACAATAAAGCTCCATATAGTAATGATGCCAATTTTTTACTAAAAGATATGGGTTAATTAATATTTAAATGATATTGAACCTAATTTTAGATTAAAATAATTCTATTTTTAATATAAATTGATTTAAATTCAGTTAAAAATTAGAATGATAAAATTTCTTTTAATTAAAAAAAATGATTAATATTTTATTTTGAAATTTAAATTATTAATAAAATATATATAAGAATAAATTATTTTTGTGAACATAAAATAGTTTTAAGGAGTGCAAATATTTAGTTCATAACATATTTCATTTCTAGTTTCATATAAAAATAGATATTTTTACCTAGACAATATTTATCGAAAATTAAATCATGTAAATAAAAATAGGTCTAGTAAAAATTGAACCTTTCCTTCCAGGATAAGTATTTTAAAGCTTTTATTTTTCTATATGAGAAAAACAATCTTCAATCTTTTTAAAAATTTAGTAATCTTGGAGATGTAAGATAAAGTTTATTTAATTAAAAATAAAATGAGCATATTAAAAATTGTGAAGAAAAAAAAGGTTTTTTATTTGATCTACTTCTGCTACCTGAATTATCAAAATATTTGATAAAAGAAAAATAATCATTTATTTAAGGTACCAGAATATAAATAAAAATGTGGCTAAATAAAACATTCATTATTGTATTTGAGCAAAAATAATTTAAGTAGTTTTAAAAAAACAAATAAAAATAAAATATGTTGAATTTATTTTAATTTTTCAAGTGTATATAATATTTTCATTAAATTAGATTTTAATTCTATAAAGGGAGATTCACATTAATAAAATTTTCTTCATATCATAAATTTATTCTTCAAATTCAAATAAAAATCAAAAATCTTAAAACAGCATCATTAAGCTTTGTACCCCCTATTTTAATTAAATTAATAATTTTATTGACCAAATAAAATTAGTTAGTTCTAGAGTTAGAGATTAAATATTTTGTGATGAATTTAACTAATTTTTGAATAAAAATTGAAAGAAAATATAAAATTAATTTATGAATTAAGCTATAAAATAATTATTTTATAATTTTAACTCACATTATATTAATTTAATATCTTTTAATTTTTAAATTTACCTTTTGAATACATTTAAATGCTATTCACAATTAAATAATATCAAATTTTTTTTATTTGATCTAATTCAATGAATATCTAATTAGGAGATTAAATAATTTAATTTAACACTTGAAAGAAAATTAGACTTAATAATTAATATCTTATTTTTAAGCAAAATAAAATCAACTTATTTGAAGATCTGATTATTTAAATTAATTTTGGCATTGCTTTAGATTTTTATAGAATAATATTTCAGCTTTTAATAATTATAATATAATAATAATTTTCTAAAAAACTAGAATTACTATAAAATGTAAATTTTTGGAATAATATAATTTTTTAGCTCTGTAAAGTAAAGCATAGGAAAATTAAAAAATATTTGTAATTTGATCTCATAGAAGCATCATCTTATGTTGGAGAATGAATAAATAATATTAAATCATTACTTTCAATAAGAATTATAACCACAAAAATTAGCTAAATTTGATTATAAGGATATAAAAATACTCTTTTTAATTTTGATTAAACATATTAGAAATTAAATATTATTCTTATATTAATATTTAGTTATTTTAAATATACAATAATTGAAAATTTATAAATATTTTTAATCATAATAAATTAATTAAATAAATAAATCATATAAAAAAGTATTAAAAAAATGAGATTTGTTGCTTTTGCCTTAGTTGCTTTGATTGCTATCAGTTATGTTAATGCTGATATCACTAACGTTGATCCCTACAAAAAATGTACTTCCTCATCTTCTTCTTCTTCTTCAGGTTCAACTGTTGATCCTTGCTCCAAAGCATCCAATCCTACTAGCTGTACTGCCTAATTAGTAACATTCGGTTTATGTATGGCTGCATCTACTAACTGCGTCCCCGCTACTGCTCCTGATGTTGCTTCCTATATTACTTGTTACAAGGCCTGTCAAAATGCAAATCCTGATGCTAAAATAGTAACTCAACCTTAACTTGATTGCCTCAGTGGTTCTTTCTTAGCTTCAGCTGTTATGATCTTACTTAGCGTTGTTGCTTTATTATTCTGATTCTATCAAAATTATCAAATGTTATTTTTATTTATTTATAAATAAATATTTGGATGTACATTATTGTTAGTAAATAGTTGTTTGTCCTGATGTATTTGTTTTATAAATACTTGAATTAACTTTTTAATATTAAATTAATTTAATTTTTTATTTTAAGTGGGAAATCAATTATAAATTGAATTTCTAAAAATTTATTAAATTGACTTTATCTAAACCCTATATGGAAGAAAACAATAGTAAATATAATTTGTTACTAGCAATATTTTATTTTCAGTAACTTAATTTAATAAAAATATTAATATAATTAATGGGGAGGAGGGTCTGATATGATTTAAAAAAATCGTAGTAATTATAAATAAATAAATTCAAAATATTGCATTTGAATCATCTATATTACCTAATCTATACAATAATCATAAAACATATTTAATCTATGAATTTTTATTTCATCGTATGTCTTTTATTCACTATTGAAAGTTTATGATATCTTTTCACAAAATCTCAACTCTCTTTGAATACCTAAATACTCATTCAGATCTTAATGAATATTTAGTGAAAAATATTCAATCTAAAATTTAAATCTATATTAATAAAATATATTTTAATTACCAATATTAACTTATCTTTTGTGATTATCTCTAATAACCATAAACAGTTTTAAGGTTAAGTATTATAAAGTTATATAAATATGCTTTTATGAAAACTTTTAAGAATAAATTAAATACTGTAAATTTATTTTGTTTTTAGAGTCAGCAAATATAGCAAGCAATCCAATTTTCTAGTTTAGATTTCATTTATTATTTTTGTTATTTTTCAAATCATAAGCAAATCAAATATTTATGGGGTTGGGGTGG